TTTGATTGCAAGATGGAAGTTCCTCTTTCTGTTTCCGAGTTTAAATTGCTGTGGTGACAGAGGGAAGAAGGGTCCAGTATTTATAGTTTCTCCCTCTATAATTTATTTCTGTTTCATGGAAATAACTTGTACATGTAGCTGGATGCATCTCCAGCTTCTTTTGTTCTTATTTGAGGTACAAGAATAATTCTTTTCCCTTAGAAAACAGACGGTTTTTCTCATTAAATGTTTCACTGGCCTATTTTATTAGCGATATAAACTTAATTGAAAGCTCTGCTGCTCAACTGTCTGTTGTATTTAATGCTGACTCGCAACAGGCCTTTCCCATTTTAACACATGTCATTTGTTAGTTATTGTAGGCAAGCTTACACCTCAAAAACGAGGATTTCAAGTGTCTTGTCAGAATTAAGTGGCGTTTTCAGGCTGAATTAATTCCTATTTAAGAAAATCCAAACTCTTTAATTACACAGAATATTTTAAATTCTTCTCAAGTATTTGCTAGGCCACTGAAGGCTCTCCCTGAAATACAACAACTTCCCTCTTTCCCCCTGTATTTTAACTAAGAAGGGAAGATCTGAAGTGTGTCAATTATTACAGATGTTTGTCTTGCTGACAAACATTGACAAGCTCTTGGTTTGGTCTTTATTCTTTCTTCGCTGCAGCAAACACCCTCTAACCCAGAACCTCTTAAAAATCATGGTGTAACTAAACTAAACAGAAAACTATGGATAAAGGGGCGATGGAATTGATTGGGAACTCTCACTCTTTGTGAGTCCTTGGCCGTGTGTAAATAGGTGCCAACCATTTAATTCCTGTGATTTCAGACCAAACCAGAATTGCCTGTAATTTGATTTTCCTCGAATTTGAAGCGCAGCCTTTTGCCTCTCTTTGATGCTGACAAATCATTGCAAGCTGTGAAGGCTTGACCCTGACTTTGAGAATCTGACAGTGGCGCGGGCAGCTTGTTTGGGTGGGTAAACAAACCAGCAGCCCAGAAGTAGCTGCTTGGACTTCTGTGCTTGGAAACGCGGCCTCTGAAACTTGGGAATGCTCCTCCGAGGGCAGGGAGATGCAGCTTTGGAAATGCACCTTTGGGTGCATTTGGAGAGACGGATTGACAAAGGAAAAGAACTTTTGTCTCGCTGCAGGTGATTTCCGTGGGTTTATAACACTGAGGGAGAACTCTCATAAGGATATTTTCTTGTGTAATTTAAGTGTTCTCCCCCCCTCACAGCCCAGGAAAAAGCCTTCCTTGCTCATGTTCCTCAGTTTTCAAGCTTTCATTTCAAAGTTCTTTTCTCACCTTCCCTTTCTCCTGATGGAGGAGCCAAACCCAGCAATTGTGTCCCCGTGAAGTGCTGGGTAACCTACAACTCTCCTTGTCCCGTGGCTTCCCAATATTCCAGTGGAGGACTGATGGACCTGTGGCTGTTCCTCAGCCCTCCTGTGACCCTGAACTCTCCCACAATGTGTTTTTCACCCTTCCCGCAGGGGGATGGTGGACAAGGGCCTTTCCCTGCATCCCTGTCTGGCAGCAGTTCTTCCTCTCTGCAGCTACCTGCAGTGTCAGTGGGTTCTGAATCTTCCCCCCACCACTTGTTAATGAAACCCACTTCCTTGGCAGCCGCTAAGCTGGGTAAGAAATACTCCAATTCTTCTGTCCAGGTCGTGTTTCTGAGGAATGAACCCGACCTTTGGTCGTGCCCTGGGTTTTGCTGAAGGTCCTTGGATGCCTTATCTTTGCTTCCTTTGGTGCTGCTCCTTTCCTCCTGCTGTAACAAAGTTTCCTTGGCTGTTTTAATCGGTGTTTTCACTTATTAACTGTGCTCCTGAATGGTGTTGTTTCCAGAGGTTGTGGTGTCTGATTCCTAACACAGAACTGGGAATTGGGAGTTAGCAAAGCAGCTCTGAAGGCTGGCTCAGTTACCTTCAGATCCCTCCAGTGCAGCTGAAATTGCTCCCAGTGCTCTTTTGAAATAAAAATCCAACATCCAGGATACAGAACTTGGGTTTCAGGTGTCTGTTTTGTCCTGACTGTTCCCTAAAGCTTTGGAAATAGGTGTTCAATTTGGGGAGGCTGTGCTGTAATCCTTGTTCAGCTGGGAGGTTTAAGTCCCATTTTAGTTGACTTAACCAATCAGCAACAGTAGCATATATGTGGGCATTTCCTCCCCCCAAAATGACCATTTCCTCCACAGGAACTGTGGTTTTTAAAGATACGGCAGATGAGTTGGGATGCACATTCTCACCATTTACTTTTTTATTTTTGGGTTGGTTGGTTTGGGTTTTTATTTCTGTGGAGCAGGAGAAAGGAAGTGATAAGGGAAGGAGAACTGGCCTTTTTTGGGTTCACGTTTTGTCAGTGAAAATTGATTTGTCTCTGCCTGCTGCTGGACAGATACATTTTTATATAAAATATGAACAATTTCTTTAATAACTGCAGATTAAAAATGTTATGTATCTGGAAATTATGCATTAGGTGTGATGTTCAGGGCATCATCTTGGTCACATTGTAGTTCCAGTGAGAGCTGTTCACTTGGAAGGTTGGGAGGTTCACTGCGTGTCAAAATGACAGTACAATAAGTTACATATTATTTATAGAATAAATTATTTTCTTTAACTGGAGCCCAAAATATGAAAATACAAACACAAACCAAAATGCGATAGGGCTCCTTCAGGGAGTTCTTGGTGGGGAAGTTGTGATACAGCAGAACTGAGAAGGGTCAAAGAACAGCAAGTGGTCATTCAGCACCCACCTAACGCGTGGTTAATGATTAGAAAGCAGGAGTTCAACAAATCTGGGCTGTACAATAGGAGGTAAAACGTTTGGGGGTTATTTTAAATAACGCTTCTTCTTTAAAGGAGCAGTTTGAAAATGTTCTTTCCCTCTGGAAAAGCCTCCCTGCATTTTAAGGTGTAAACTGCCTTGCCCAAATTTACAGGTGACATCAAGAATCCTCTTGAAGAAAGTGGAGTTCTAAATGCTGCCAGCATTACAATTAATAACTCAAGTGTCTCTTTGGGAGCAGAGCGTTCTTTGGGTGTATTAATTTTTAAAAATTTTCTCAGGCATAGACTTAGAAAAACCCTGGACTCGACTGGTGATCAGTCTATGTTCTTGTGTGTGAGATATTTTGCAGACTCAGTGGATGTTTCTGGAAAATGATCCTTTATCTGTGTAAAATACCAGAAGGTGAGGGCAGTGTATAATTCAGAGCAGGCATAAATCATCGTAATTCTGAGATGTGCTGATCAACCCTGCACCTCAGTAGTTCTCCAGATCTAAATCTTGAATTAACTTGTCTGTTAAATGTGTTCACGTGCACTTTTCAAATAATAACCAGCTAACCTATAGCTGTGGTTTAAAAGTTTAAAAAGCAGTTTATTAACTTTGTGACTCTTTGAGTATTGCAAAATTGGGGGAAAAAAATGACTTTTTATTCTTGATGCAGATTACGGGGGATTTATTTTTGTGACATGAATCTTTTCAGAGAAGATCTTTTTTTTCTTAGCCTGAAATACATTTTAGGACTAGAGAATTCCTCTGTGCTGTGTATCAGAATTAATTGTATTCCTTTTCAAAAAGGTTTGCTATTTCCATTTAAAACTCAGTGCAGAGGTCCCTCTATACTTTTTGCTGTCACTGTTTTACCAACTTATTCATCAAAATATTACATTGTTGGTTTCAAGAGAGAGAAGATCTCTCAGAACTTAAATAGAAGCTGACTTGACTTTCCCCCCCTTTCACTGCCAAATTTTATCTTCACAGCATATGGTTCTTCAGTAAACTGAAGTTTTAGAAGTAGTTTATTTGAATTTGAAACCTGGGAACCAAAAAAGTGCAGTCCTGGCTAATCAGTTGTAAGCCCTGAAAATACTTGTCACCTAAAAGGTAAATTACAAGTGATTTAGTAGCAAAGCTCTGACCCTTCTACCTCCCTGCAGGGAATAACAAGGGAAAAAGGGATCCATCCATTCTGCTAAAGTTGAGTTCAGGCAGTGCCAAAGTCAGAAGGGTTGTGTTCCAGGAGCTGGTGCTGGCCAAAAACACCTGTGTGGTATGTGCTGAGGAATTCCCATTTTCACCATAGGATTCCCAGGAATTTTGTAGTAATTTCATCCTAATGTTTCATTGATTTTGATTGAATCCTCATAAAACTGCCATGGTTTATAATGTGTTGGGGTTTTTTTCCCCCTGAAATTTTCAACAGGGAAAAAAAGAGAATATATCAAATTCCTTGTTATCTTTGATTTGAAGGAATGTCATAAGCTGTCAGGTTGGTTTGGCAACCAGTTTGACCTTTCCTGGTAAACCAGCGTTGCTTCATTATTAATTTCTCTCCTGCATCATACTTTGCGTTCAGGCAATGGAATACCTAATTTTGGATGCTGTGAATTTACTTGTCAGTAGTTGTATTGTGTGTTTGGCTCTGGGGAGCCTGTTCTCTGAGTAAATAGCACTGACAGACAGTGCCACTCGAGCAGTGCAGCCATCTGTCCTGCTTGCCATTGACACTCTGCCGTGGATTTTAGGGAGATGCCTTCAGAAAGGGGAAAGAGTGGCTTGAGACAGGAGCCCTGCAGATGTGTTTGACAGGTGGAGCCCTTAGCTATGACCTGAGTTAGTGATCTTGTTTGTTGTAACGTGAAGGTTTACTCTGGTACTCTGTTCACTCGTGTGTTTTTTGATGTCTTTGTCCTCTGTTTTGCTGTCTTGGAAGAGAAGGTGGTTTTTTTTTCAACTGTGTCTTCCTTGAAGCGCAGCAAAATTAAGCTTTGTGTGAGTGTTTGTGTACATGGGCTTAGAAAATGCAGACTTAGACTAAAATGCTTACATCACGTTAAGGAAGTCGCACACACACGTGGGTAAAATGGGGAAGCCTTAGTCGTCCTTGGTGACTGATCTTCTGGTGCTTTCTCTCTGAAGGGATTGTTCATATTTGTCCTGCTGTGAGCTGTAAGATCTGTAGATGATGTTGCACTCCTGCTGACAGCTGTTTCCATCCTCAGGACTAATGGCAAAGGAGTGACCCAGCATGGCAGCTATGGTGCCACCAGTGAAGCTGAAATGGCTCGAGCATCTCAACAGCTCCTGGATCACCGAGGACAGCGAATCTATCGCCACGAGGGAGGGAGTGTCCGTCCTGTACGCCAAGTTAGTGAGCAATAAAGAAGTAGTGCCATTGCCCCAGCAGGTTCTGTGCCTCAAAGGACCTCAGTTACCGGATTTCGAGCGGGAATCTCTGTCTAGTGATGAACAGGACCACTACCTGGACGCCCTTCTTAGCAGCCAGCTGGCTCTGGCCAAGATGGTGTGCTCGGACTCCCCGTTTGCCGGGGCGCTGCGCAAGCGTCTCCTGGTGCTGCAGCGCGTCTTCTACGCGCTTTCCAACAAGTACCACGACAAGGGCAAGGTGAAGCAGCAGCAGCACTCCCCGGAGAGCAGCTCTGGCTCCACGGACGTGCACTCGGTCAGCGAGCGGCCCAGGTCGAGCACGGACGCGCTCATCGAGATGGGGGTGCGGACCGGGCTGAGCCTGCTCTTCGCTCTGCTGCGCCAGAGCTGGATGATGCCGGCGGCGGGGCCCGGCCTCAGCCTCTGCAACGACGTCATCCACACCGCCATAGAGGTGGTCAGCTCCCTGCCGCCCCTGTCTCTCGCCAACGAGAGCAAGATCCCCCCCATGGGTTTGGACTGTTTGGCACAAGTCACGACGTTTCTGAAAGGAGTCACCATCCCCAACTCCGGGGCGGATACTTTAGGCCGGAGATTGGCGTCGGAGCTGCTGCTCGGTCTGGCTGCCCAACGAGGTGCCTTGAGATACCTTCTGGAGTGGATAGAGATGGCTCTCGGTGCTTCAGCTGTGGTGAACACCATGGAGAAGAGCAAACTGCTGCAGAGTCCCGAGGGGATGATCAGCTTTGACTGCTTCATGAGTATATTGACCCAGATGCGACGCTCTCTGGTAGGTCCAGACCAGCTCTGGCTCGTCTGCACTGCAGTGTGCTTGTGTTCTTAACTAAACAGTTTCTCCAGACCGAATGCCAGTTTGCTCAATATGTTAGTAAAAGGGTTTTTTTGTGAGTTTTTCCCCTCAGGATTTCCTTTGTTGCCCACCAGCTCTTTCTCCCCCTTCTTGCCCGCCCGTTTTCCTCATGGGTAAAGATGGAACAGCAAAGCAGCCCCTGTGTTGTCACTTTTGTCATTATGCTTTAACTCCAGGGGAAGAATCAAGGCCATGCTTGATCCACTTGCACTTGTACATTGAAATTCATAGCAAAAAAGTTACAAAGTACGGAACTGTTTTTCTGGCTTGAAATTCAAACTTTTTGCCATACACCTTGTTTCCTGTTCAATTATTTATTCTGCCTCATAGGCCCAGACTGAAACAGAGCATGACTTTCCCTCACCTTGGTCATTCTTTTCTCCTCAGGCTTGTGTTGCTTGTTATCAAACATAAATTTTAAAATCTAAACAAATGTTAAAGAAGGGGGACCATGAGAAGAGCGTGACAGTGGCAGTACCTGAACTGGATTGTATGTGCTGATGGGCAGCTCTGTTTGGTGTTGGTTTTAGGCCAGATATGAAATTGGAGTCCAAAAGATGGAAGATACATAAAGATAAAATAATTTTCACTTTGAACACAAATAATATGCATTTCAGAATAAAACAGTGTTAGGAGAAATGAACTCCGAACACAGATATTTTCACAAAAATGATCAATAAGAATATTTAAGTAGCACTTGCGACACTTCTGTTTTCCTGAAGTGTGTGCAGATATCCCAGCTCAGGAAAAGGTGGTGTACTCGTAAAAACAAGCCCAGATCCCTGATGCATTTGGCACAGGTGCCCTGTCGCTGTCTGGGAGGATGTCGGTCGCAATAACAACCTTTGATTGTCGTAGGGCTCGTCTGCCGACCGGAGTCAATGGAGGGAGCCAACCAGGACGTCTGATGGCTTGTGCTCCCTGTATGAAGCAGCTCTGTGTTTGTTTGAGGAGGTATGTCTGGGAAAAAACCACGGAAGGTCATTGTAGTTTCCTTCCCCCTCACTCGTGGGGTCGCTGGGAACGGGGGCTGCAGCCCCGTCTTGGCTGAGATACTCAAGAGTAGAAAAGGGGGAAAAAAAACCTGTGAAAAACTGAGATATAACCAAACAAAGTCACTTGGGCGGGCTCATGACGTGATGGTGGTGATTTGTGTTTAAGCAGATAGTTGTACTGAGGGGCAGGGAAAGGTGCATTAAACGTTGTCAGTGTGGGGAAGGAAACAGCAAGTGGTGCTTGTTTTCCAGGTGTGCCGAATGGCCTCAGACTATTCCAGGACATGTGCCAGCCCTGACAGCATCCAGACTGGGGATGCCCCCATCGTGTCTGAGACCTGTGAGGTGTATGTCTGGGGCAGTAACAGCAGCCATCAGCTGGTGGAAGGAACTCAAGAGAAGATACTTCAGCCCAAGCTCGCTCCAAGCTTTTCTGATGCACAGACGGTGAGTGACATTTCTGGGGGTACATTATGTGACATTCAGTAGCTTCATAACTAGTGTGGAATTGAGAAATGCGGCTTCTGATGCTCAGAACCGATCACACAACTTATTGAACTGAAAGTATCACACACCTGAATATCCCTGTAACAAGAACAGCTGAATTTCCTGACTTGCTCTGCAGAGACAAGTTGGTTTGCCTGTAGGGTTTTTTTTTTTTTGGTGGTGTTTCTTTGTTTTTGGTTTGGATTTTTTTTTTTCCTGTTGCTTAAAAGGTGTCTTAACTATTCAATCTTCTTTTCCTTTGGTGGTTTTCACACCAAGCTTGCCTAGTTTAAAAGTCCAGACTGGGCAAGCTGCTGACACAGCAACCTTAATGAGCTCCCTGAAAATGAATGTAGCAGCTCTTCTGCTCCCAGTGCCGGGTTCTGCCCTTGCAGCTGAGCGCTGTTGTTGATGCCTGGCACAGGATAGAACAGTTTGCTTTTCTGTTCCTACGTGGGCCTTGCAGTGTTGACTCAAGTAAAAGCACTTTTTGGTCACTAGACAATTCAGGGGCGTTCTGTGCGGTTGTTTCTATTGGCGTCACTGGTAGATTTGATGTGCCAGTGGACTGCAGGGCTGGGCATCACAGAGGAGTTTATGCATTGAGAAAACTTTCAAAACACCAATGCACAAGGGTGGAATGTGAATGAGTGGGTTACTCCTTTATTAGTACAGTTTACACCCATCCAACATATTTATGTGATTATTTTTTTTTCCCCACTGGGATAAAGATTTTTTTCTTTAGCTTTCTAGCTAAAACAACTGATAATTGTAAATTAATCAAACGATTGATAATTGTTTTAGGGTTGTCTGGATATTAATTCCCATTGAATAGGGCAGTGGCTGTGCAGTCTGACACCTGTGTGGGGCTGTTTTCTGTGTGCCTTTATGGTTCAGATTTGAACCTGCTTTGCACTTAAAGATTCCTGTAGCAAATTATTGCTGGGTTAGTTGATTTGCTCTTGAGTCATTTGCCAGCTGAGCTCTGACTTCCCAATAGAGGCAAGTTCTTATTCTCTTAAAAACTTTTATTTCTTTGATGTTTGTGTAATTAAAATGTATAGTGTCAAATGAGAATGGAGCTTTAGCGTGTGGCTTATTTTTGTAGTGTTATCACTTGGTATTGGTTAAAATCAAGGCAGACCTACAGTGCTGTAGCAATCTGTCACTTTTTGGTTTTGCTCTTAGCAAATGAAAATTTCCCTCTGTGACTTTTGGAGATCTGAATTCAGCCCAGTGTTTTTACGTTATATTGTATGGAAAGGTCACAGAAAGAAACCTCACATACTGTTATAAAAATACAAGCTTTTAGGCCTGTAGGTGAATTTTGCATTTATCTAAACTCTGTGAATCACTTTTTTAACCTTTCCTTTGCAGATTGAAGCTGGACAATATTGTACCTTTGTCATTTCTACGGATGGCTCTGTCCGAGCCTGTGGGAAAGGCAGCTATGGCAGACTCGGACTGGGTGACTCCAATAATCAGTCCACACTGAAAAAACTGACTTTTGAGCCTCACAGGTCTATCAAAAAGGTGTCATCTTCAAAAGGATCTGATGGCCACACTTTGGCATTTACAACAGAAGGGGAAGTCTTCAGCTGGGGTGACGGTGACTACGGAAAACTGGGACATGGAAATAGCTCAACTCAGAAATATCCCAAACTTATTCAGGGTCCCCTGCAAGGAAAGGTATGTTTGGTATAGCAGAACACCTGGTTTTGTTCTGTTCAGTTGGGGTGTTGTGTAAAATGTTAAATGTATAAAATCTTAAGAAAAACTCCGTGTTTTTCTCGACTTCTCTTTGAAGCTGGGTCTGCTTTGAGTAAAACAGTAGAACTTGTGATTGCCTCTTGTGATCTGGACAGTGGCCTTGTCAGGAAACCTTCTCACAGTCTGAAGGAGTAAAACATTCCAGGAAGGAAGGGGTTGCTTTTGGTACCTCAACACCAGGATTTTGACTTAAAACTGCTTAGTGTGGCTTCATCTGGAAAGTGGTTCTGTGTTGTCTTACAAGGCCTTCTTCTCCCTGTCTGTCTGTGTTTAAATATTCACTGATGCTTCTTTTTCCTCCTGTAAGCCCAGGATATCATCATGTTAAAGCTGCCTGATTAATAAATCATTAGCAGTTTTATATTAGAAACCTGCCTTTTTACGTACTTATTTCTACCAACCAAATAGGAACTGGGGAGGATTGCAAAGGCTCACTCATGTGTGCATTTACTCCACATGAATGAACAAGTTAATTTACACAGATTGCTTCTGATGCTTGGCTCCCAGGAGCTTTCACACTTCCTGTTTGGTTCGGGTGAGAACTGAGTTTCTTTCTGCCTGTGGTGCAGGTGGTGGTGTGTGTGTCAGCGGGGTACAGGCACAGCGCTGCTGTCACAGAGGATGGAGAGCTCTACACGTGGGGAGAGGGAGACTTCGGGAGATTGGGTGAGTTTCAAACTTCAGGGGATGCTTTTGGAGGAATTTCTGTGTCTGGTCGTGGTTCTGCACGTTTGTTCTCTAACTGTCCCCTCTAAATACACACATGATGCAACTGGTGACTAACAGGTCACAGAGGTGTCCTATTATACACATATAGGTGACTAATGCGGTTACTTTTATAAAGAATTTAAAAAAAATATTTGTGATTTCAAGAAAGATTGCTTTTATTCGTAACAACACATATGATTGCTATTGCTACTGAAATGTAAACAGTAGACATTTTAAATAGACTAGAATTCTGGTGTGGTGGGAGGGTGGGTGAGAACAGGGAAGTGCCGGGGCAGAAGATTGAGGACAGTGGTTTACAGTTTTCCAAGGCAATCAGTGGAGGTGCTGAGCCTCTCCCTGCTGTGTCAGGGAAAGAGCATTGGGTTAGAGGTTTAACTTACAGCTTTGGTGGGAAATGTGGCTAACGTGGAGTTTTGGTGTGCTTTGGGGGTCTCGGAGCGGTGACTTCCAGTGCGCAGCTAAAAGATGAGATTAATTAGTAAGTTGTTCATATTTAATCAGTTTTGGATGGGCTGTTCTTTTCCCCTCTTCTCCATTTTTCTTCCATATCTGCAGAATTTCTGGAGTTTCCTAGAGATGAAACTTTTTCTGGGGTAGGAGGTGCTGCAATGTCTGGTTGCTGCAGAAGGGCCCAGTTGGGGCTGTGAGTGTCCCCATCCACCTGTGATGCTGCTGTGATTTGGCTGTGCAGTGGTGACACTGCGCCCTTACTGCAGCTTCCCCTTGCTGCCCACTGTTAGGAGGTGCAGCTGCCTCATCAGCTGCTGTTAAAGCCACTTGTGCTGATAATTCCTTACATTTCTTTTCAGCGAGCTAGAAAACAGCCCAAGGATTCCATGGCACCTTTACCACAGGTGGCCTCCAAACCTGACTAGGAATCTTCCCCAAAAAGCGGGCAGAAATTACCATTTGTGATGAGCACAGAACACACGTGGGGTTTGCAGAATCTTAATGATTGCAAAAGACAAATAGAACTCGAAGCTTCGCAGAAAGAAAACCCACGTTTTTTCTTGTTGCCCCCCCCCCCCAGGTCACGGTGACAGCAACAGCCGCAACATTCCCACTCTGGTGAAAGACATCAGCAACGTGGGAGAGGTTTCCTGTGGCAGTTCACACACCATAGCTCTGTCCAAAGATGGCAGGACAGTGTGGTCATTTGGAGGAGGAGACAACGGTAGGTGAAAGTGCCGTTTGGGTTGTAATTTTCATGTTTCAGCGCTCCTTGCGCTTCGGTTCTGGGTTTTATTTGGTGGCTGTACAAGGAAGGGATTCTTGTAACATCTAAACACCATGTTTGAAGTTTGACTGCAGGATTATGGAGTTTTGAAAAGGATTATGGGAGGGGAGGGGTTTCACAGAGCAGAAAGCTGAGTGAAGGCCTGAACAATTCAGATGAAAATGCTGTGCTGATAACTTTGAAATTAATTCACTCCTGGCATGACGGTAGCTCTTCACATCCTGGGAGCTGTTGCATTTTAACTGCCTGGGATTAATAGTTCAATTTTAAAATACACTGTAACAAATATATATTCCCTTAAGACTATAATTGAAAGAGGAAAGGTTTTATAGAAATTGTAGTAGGTTTTAAGTTCAAAAATCCACTCTGACATTTTTGGAAATCCCAAAAGAATTCTTTTTGGGGGGACTTTTAATTGTTGTTTAGCCACGGAAAATACCTTGGAGTTGTGTTTCCTCCTTTTGTAGGCAAACTTGGTCACGGTGACACAAACAGAGTGTATAAACCTAAAGTTATAGAAGCCTTGCAAGGAATGTTCATTCGGAAAGTCTGTGCTGGGAGCCAATCCTCACTTGCCTTGACATCGACGGGGCAGGTAGGCAAAAAACCAGGTGTCACTCCAATATCAGAGCAGGTGAAGGTGCTGGGGGTTCACGTTCCTTCAGCTTTCATTGTTTTGACTGTTGAGAAGACGTTCAACTAGTACTTTAATGACAGGGAAGTTCTTGATTAGAGTTTGAGGTTATTAATGTGCTGGAGTAATTCAGAATTACGTAAAAATGCTCTTTTCAAGATCCTTGCTCAGCCACAGAAAATGTATTATTTTTAGGTTAGTAAAAGCCACCAGTGTAAAAATCAAATTGGATCCAGGAAACAAAAAGCAGTGAAATGCTTTTAATTTTAAATGCATGAACCAGCTCAGGTGACTGGGTGATTCCATAGGTGTTTTTTTTCAAATGTATGTGTATTTTAGAATATAGGTGTTAACTGAAAGTTTTATTTCTAATCTAAAAAAATCTCAGGAGAGCTTGGAGATAAATATTGGGGTGGTAAATCCCCATGCCAATCCCAGTGCTGGGGGGAGGCAGGCACGGGATAGGAGATGCACGTTTGTGCTGTGTCGAGGGCCTGCCTGCAGTTGCTGTGCAGGTGCCATGCTGGGGATGGTGGATCCCCGTGCTGGGGATGGTGGATCCCTGTGGATCCCTGTGCCCCCAGGGGTGGTGGATCCCTGTGCTGGGGATGGTGGATCCTGCCCCCAGGAAGCCCAGTTCAGGGTGTGTTGTGTTGCTCTCTCCAGGTGTACGCCTGGGGCTGCGGGGCCTGCCTGGGCTGCGGCTCCTCGGAGGCGACTGCGCTCAGACCCAAACTGGTGGAGGAGCTGGCTGCCACCAGGATAGTCGACATCTCCATCGGGGACAGTCACTGCTTGGCACTCTCTCATGGTAAAAAGCGTAAGGTGTAAAAAATACATAATCCTCCCCTCGGTCGAAAGCAGGTGGATCTCAGGTTTTGTTTTCTGCTCTGTTTGTAGATAATGAAGTTTATGCTTGGGGTAACAATTCCATGGGGCAGTGTGGGCAGGGAAACTCCACTGGTCCCATCACTAAACCGAAGAAAGTGAGTGGTTTAGATGGAGTTGCAATTCAACAGATCTCAGCAGGAACTTCCCATAGCCTTGCCTGGACAGCTCTTCCAAGGGACAGGTAACGGTGACACTGGGGACAGGTATCATTTGCATTTTGTGCAAGTCACTTTGGGATACATTTAACTACTCCCTGAAGGTGTTGACCACACCATGTGTTTCAGGTGTTCTGCTTGCAATGTTTTGGGCTGGAGAGTTCTCCCTCCCTCCTCTCCTCTTCCCTCTCTGTTGCATATTGCAAGTGAAAATACATCAGCACCAAGGATTTGCATATTAGTTCTTTGTGTATGAAGATATCTTACCTGCTGTTAGACCTCTGTTTATTAAAATTTTAGGCAGTGGGAGCTGAAACAACTCAGTGTTTATTTTTGCTTCTGAAGGGACTTTTTATGGCTCAGGAAGTTTCCTGCAGTGTAACAAGGAGTGCTATAAGCAGGAGACTTTGGGAAAGGGGAAGTTCAGACAGATTGCTGAGGTGGATTTAAACATATTAAAGAATTTCTTTATGGTTACCTGTTAATCTAAACTGAAACCAGGTGCCTAAATAAACAGTTTGGTTATTAATGTACAATAAGTGAAATAATACTTTGCTACACCAAAGTGATTGAAGTGAACCAGTATAGTTTTATACATAAACTAACACGAAGGAATAGAAAAGCTTAATATTTGGAAGATAACTCAAGAAGAATTTCAAATGCCCTGTTTTCTCAGGAGCTGTCAATTCAGAAAATAGTGAGACTCAAATAGTACTAAGTGGCACTGCTCCTTCTGAGCTCTCCCTGCATTGTGTCAAAGTCTCCCCAATCTGACATTTGTACCAAAACCAGCTCTGTGAGTACTGGGCAGCCTTTGCACCAGCCAGATGGAATACTCATGGCTTCATCTTTGTGGCACTGTCGGTGTTTCTGTTCTGTAGAGTGATTGTTTGTAAACAGTTTTACAGCAAAGAGAGCAGAACAGTTAATCTGCCGCGGTCATACTGGGTTGTTCTAAGAAACAAACCGGTTCAGTGTGTGTTGAACCCGCTGGAAATGTGAAGTTATTGAAGCAGTGGAGGATTTGCAGAGGCTGATCTCTGGTTGTGACTGCAGGCAGGTGGTGGCGTGGCACAGACCCTACTGCGTGGACCTGGAGGAAAGCACCTTCTCTCATCTCCGCTCCTTCCTCGAGCACTACTGTGACAAAATCAACAGTGAAATCCCCCCTCTTCCTTTTCCCTCCTCAAGGTACACACCCCATGTGCTTGTTACAGATTCTTGTAAGGATTTCAGTTTTCTTTACAGCTTGGTTTGTCTGTTCTTTAACAAGCATAAATCTGGTTTCCTTGCTCCTTCAGGAGCTCTGCAGTGCCCCAAATGTAGCAGGATCTTTTTCTCTGGAGTTTATTCTCGTTATGCACCGAATTAAATGCTTTATTTCAGAGTTTTCCTTTGAAACACGTTTTTCTATGTAGCTGAAATGCATTTACTGTTTCTGCTATGTCAGTTCTTACTCCTTTTAACAGTTTTTCAGAAGTTTTTTACAAAGACTAGAGATTAATATCCTGACCTTTTGTTTTCAACCCCGTTTTTGTGCTTTTAAACCTTCTGAGAGAAGATTACATTAGTTTTTTTTTTTCTCTATGAATAATACATTTTACTCTTTGTGTATTTTTGGATGGTTTTGCCTCCTGATTCACGGGGCTGCTTTTCTAAAGTAATTTACTTACCTTTTCTGGCACAAAATATCACAGGAGAGTTAAAAGCACTGCAAAGTGATTAGAGAGATTAACAGGGATGTATTTCTTTTTCCAGGGAACACCACAATTTTCTGAAATTGTGTCTGAAGCTGCTCTCTAATCACCTTGCACTTGCCCTGGCTGGGGGTGTTGCCACCAGCATTCTGGGCCGCCAGGCCGGGCCTCTCCGAAACCTCCTGTTCAGGCTGATGGACTCGTCTGTCCCTGATGAAATTCAGGAAGTAAGTCATGTTTGTTGTTTGCATGTGAAAATTGTGCTGCTTCTCTCTTTCTTTGTGCAATTAGAGATATATCTGACTTGCAGCAGTTGGCACTTTTGATAAACATGAGCCTGACTTAGTGGTTTTTACTCATGAAAGGTAAAAACTGTTTTATGATCTGAAAGCAGAGGAGAATGTTTGCAGAAGGATTTCAAAAAGCTGCTTTATTTTGTAACTTTTCAATTAGTCTTCCTTGTGATAACAAGCCTAAAATGTCAGAGTTATGGATTGAGTAATTAACTCAGTTGAGTAACTCTCCTGAGATGTACCCTTACAGCAAACAGCAGCTTTTGGTGCTCTCCTTTCACTTCTTCAATGCCCTGCATGTCTTTGCATCACAGTAGGAAAAATTAGTGTGCTCTTGTGAGATAGAACTCTGGTGTGAAATGAAATTAAGCAAGATGTTCTGGCTGTATCATGGGTGATGCACTGTGTTTTTGAAAGATACAGGTGAGTTGATTATCTCCCCCTCCCCCACTGAGGAAGGATTTTCTGCTGCTCTAATTTCAGGTTGTAATCGAGACTCTGTCAGTAGGAGCAACTATGCTGCTTCCTCCACTGCGAGAGAGGATGGAATTGCTCCATTCCCTTCTCCCCCAAGGCCCTGATAGATGGGAGAGCTTATCAAAAGGACAGGTAAGGTCAGGTAAAAATATACCACGCTCTGAAAGCAGCTGTGGTTTGCTTTGGCTTGTTCTGCTGGAACATTGTGAGCTGAGGTGAGCTCAGAGTGCCAGCACATTCCTGGTGAGGTGCAGAGCAAAGCCCAGCCTGACAAAACCTGGGGGTAGCCTGGCTAAACCGGAGTCCAGGGAGCACTGCATGTTTCCTCAGGTGAAGGCTGGCTGCAGACAGCTTAGGAATTGCTGTGTCAGCATATCCAGACAAGTATCAAGAGTTTTGGAATTTGGATTTAATGTGTCTTAGAAAATTATTTTCTGGGAGGAATACTCGTATAATGCTTTCCCTACATGGATTTCACCCTCCTTTGCAAAGATAACTGCAATGTTCCTTTTGCCTTTTTCTACTCTCAGATTAAAAAATGAACAAAAGTACTGTTCAGTTCTGTGCACACGGGATCCTGGTCAAATCCTGTATTTTACACACTTAAGGAAGAGACTGGCTCACACTTGATACTGAAACTCTGAAATAGAATCTTCTGATTCTGATTTTCTGGGGATTTGTGAAGATGGGTATCGGTACAAACTGAACCCCCTGACAATTACTAGGGTAGAACAGGTTTAGGTTTCAGAACCAGCAGCAGGGGGGAGGAGCACTGAAGGTGAAGGTCATTACTCTGCTTCTGCCACTTCCCTTGGTCTCCAGTGTGCTTGTTCTGCTCTTTACCCTTTTTCCTGTGTACAGCCTAGAAAAATGATGTGTCCCCCACCAACCCCCCAAATAATCAGCTCCAACAAACTGGAGAAAGCATTTAGTCCAGTGCCTGATATCTCCCTCTTAACCTCAGATTGTACTGGCTATAGCCATCTAACTGATACATTTATCTGTTCTCCAATACTACAAACCTGCAGGAAATCCTGGAATTTTTTGGTGCAGTCCTGCAGCTCATTCTGTGTCCCATTAGAACATTTTCATTGTAACTCTGTCTGATCCTTTTTGTTGCTTAGCTCCTTATTCTCTCCTCATTACCAAGCAGTGTTTTTTGTGCCTGTAAACATCTCCCTTTAGAGAATGCAGCTGGACATCATTCTGACGAGCTTGCAGGATCACACCCACGTGGCCTCCCTGCTGGGCTACAGCTCCCCCTCGGACAGCAGCGAGAGCTCCTCGCTGGGCGTCAGCTACGGGAACCTCTCCGAGCAAACCTACGCCGTGCAGAGCAGCCACCCCGACACTCACCTGGCCGAGATCCTCATGAAGACTCTGCTCAGAAACTTGGGATTTTATACAGTATGTACAGGCCTCGGAATTCGTTGATTTATTTTTAAAACGAGGACGAATTTTGTGTGCTTTTATAAGGGTTAATGTGTTTTTCTCCGTCTCAAGAAAGGGGTGCTCTTTTTGTCTTTTGTCCTGAAGTGGCCTAAAATCAGTTCATCGTTTCTAACAGTATAGTTCTCATGTTATTATAGTGCTGTTTACTGTTTAAGATGACTTGTGTAAATGCAGCTGTCTTCGTGTCAGACTATTTTACCGCTCCAGCTTTGGCTTCAAGTTTTTTGGCAGGTAGAATGTAAAACAAGATGTTTTCAGTCAGTGTAATCTCAGCCACCAGGGAACAATAGGCAGACACCAGGAGCATCAATCTGTCTAATTAACTTCACCAGGGTTATTACCTTATGCTTATTACCTGACAGAACATCTCATGCATCAGCCTCCAACAGATCCTAAAGATTATTACTTATTTTAATGTACTGGGATTTGGGGGCCAGGGGAGGGAGGGGCTTTTTTTCACCCAGTTAGCCTTGGGGAGTTGAATAAAAACATTGCTGCCTGTGAAAGAAACCTTTTTATAAGAGAAGTGTTCTCTTGACAGCCATCAAACTCACTCCTATGACCTTCTAAACAAGTGTAATTTTAGGTGTGGTTATCCCATGATCCACTGGCACATAATAAAGATTAAAAAAAGTTTCTTTTTAAGATGGTTGTCAGGTTTCATGGCATTTGAAGCAGAGTTAATTGTTCTTTTCCTCTCCATCCCCCCCCCCCCCTTTTTGTCTTAATAGGACCAAGCCTTTGGAGAACTGGAAAAAAACAGTGATAAATTTTTACTGGGTACATCATCATCAGAAAACAGCCAACCTGCTCATCTTCATGAGCTTTTATGTTCCCTGCAGAAACAGCTGCTGGCTTATTGCCACATCAACAGTGTCAGTGAGGTGAGTGCCCTTATTTTTATCGTCATAAGCACCGGAATGTTGTGAGGTTCCTGTTGTAAATCGGAGCATTTGAAAGCTAAACTTAATTTAAATAACCCTTGAAATATATTTACAGGATCATTCTTATGTTGTTTTTTTTTTTTTTCCCTTCCAGAATTCCAGCAGCGTGGCTCTGCTCCACAAACACCTCCAGCTTTTGTTGCCTCATGCCACAGATATCTATTCCCGTTCTGCAACCCTGCTGAAGGAAAGCTCTTGGAATGGTAGTGTTGGGGAAAAACTGAGAGGTAAATGCTTGTGGAAAAATCACTATTGATGGCTCTGTAAGCTTAGATTTAAATAGTAAAATAGCTTGTTTTTCCTGTGTCTGCATAAAGTGGACATCCCAAGCGTTCCCCAAAGGAGGAGATCAGGGATAGCGTCTGGTTCATGTTTTTGATGCAACATTTGACACACAGGGAAAATCCAGCATGGAGGAGACATTGAAACAATGATTCACAGGGGCAGTTTTGTTAGTTCTGGATTTCTCTTTTCAAAATTGCTGGTTTTGTGATCACTGACAAGTGTAAATACCAAATAGATTAATAATTATTAAACCCATCAATTCCACGTGTGCTGTGGAGACCCTTTGAGAAAGCTGAGGTATTCTATGCAATTCTTTGCCTTGTTGAATGGCCCTGTTGTGCTTGGAATGATACTGTGTGACTGTAACTAATGCAGCTTTGCTTTGCCCCCTGCAGATGTGATTTACGTGTCAGCTGCTGGCAGTATGCTCTCCCAGATTGTCAACTCCTTGCTGCTGCTGCCTGTGTCGGTGGCCCGGCCTTTGCTGAGTTACCTGCTGGACCTGCTGCCGCCTTTAGATCGTCTCAACAGACTGCTGCCTGCTGCAGCCCTGCTGGAGGATCAGGAACTGCAGTGGCCTCTTCATGGTGAGCATAAATAACCTGCTTTTAACCTGAAAAATAGAGAATGGCACCTGTTTGTAGAGGTTAGTTTAACTTTCCCTTTTAAGGTGGCTTTTTTTCACTTAAACTGTGTCTTGCTACATCTCCTTTTCCATTTGCTAGATGTATTAATAATAACCCTTGCTGTGAAATGCTGCTTCTGCTTTAATTGAGGGCAGTTTCCAGCTGTTTCCTGTGTCTGTACATGTTTATCAGAACAGAAAGAGGTGTGTGGGATAAAATTGGGCAGAGTTGGAAGGAGCCTTTCCTTCACGAGCAGCTGTGCCAGGAATGGTTACCATGTCCAGCAGCCTGCTTGTTCTACCTGCTGTTCCCTCAGCCGACTGAGGGGCTAATCTGCCACTAACAGGGAGATATGAGCAAGATCTGTTCGTTTTGCTGATTTTGGAGTTGTCTGTAAGGTCTGGGTGGCAGTGACTGACGTGCCAAGGACTCCTTGCAGGTGGCCCTGAGCTGATCGATCCTGCGGGGGTGCCCCTGCCACAACCCGCCCAGTCCTGGGTGTGGCTCGTCGACCTGGAGAGGACGGTGGCCCTGCTCATCGGGAGGTGCCTTGGGGGGATGCTCCAGGGCCCTCCAGTGTCCCCTGAGGAGCAGGACACGGCCTACTGGCTCAAAACTCCCCTCTTCAGTGACGGGGTGGAAATGGACATTCCTCATTTAGGTAAATGGAAATGCAGGTGCCTCGCGATCACTGTCAACGTTTGTGATCCGCTGGAAGCGTCTGGGGGGGTTTGAACGGGTCTGTGCACTCAGGGGGTTGGGGTGTGTTTGTGGAGGAGTACAAAAAGTTGCAAAATGGATGTTTAAGGGTGTGGTTTAGTTTACAGAGGGTCTTGGAAATGCATAAGGAAGAAAAAAAAATCTGCAATTCTCAATGAAATAACACAGATTTCACTGAGTTAACTTTAAACATTTTACTCTTAGATGCTCAGCAGCATTTAACAAATTTAACAAGCACGCCAGGGCCTCAATTTTTCATAATAATTATTGGAAAATGTTATCTTACATTCTACTTGCAAAGGGAATTTTTTATTAATTAGAAACGGTACTATTAATAACAAACTTCAGTCTTTATGATCTCCCAGAATTGGTAACAACTCAGCATTAATATTCTAGTCAGCCCTTCCTATCTGAACAGTGCCCTTGCTTCTGCCTCTTTGTCACCTCTTCCTTAGTTCCCACCTCTGTTTCCATCCCTTCTGGTTCTGAGTAGACTGCAAGACTTATTTACAAGCCAGGGTGCTTTGAAATGGGTCCAGGCAGTGACTGCAGGCTGTGCAGCTCAGGTGGAATGAATGATGCAGATTTATGCTATTGCAGAGGAGCTGGAGAATGTTTCTAAAGCTCCATAGGTTTTATGTAAATTGTAACTCTTACTTCACTTCCCTGTCTAATGTAAATTTGTTTACAATGAGATGTCTTGATTTTTTTGAAAATCTTTTTTTTAACTAAGTGTAGAGTGCTTTTAGGTGCATGTATATAATCCTCAAAACGTGCAGAGTTTAATTTCTTGGGTATTCCCCTTCTGGCAGACAAATGCATGAGCTCCCTGTTAGAAGTGGCCCTGTCTGGAAACGAGGAGCAGAAACCCTTTGATTATAAACTGAGACCCGAAATTACAGTTTATGTTGACTTGGCCTTGGGTTGTACGAAAGAGCCAGCAAGGAGCCTGTGGATCAGTATGCAAGACTATGCTGTCAGTAAAGGTAAGGTTGAAAATGTGTGTTTATTTTAAAAGCATATTACATATATGACCTGCCTCAGCTACACTCCTAGCACAATCCTGGGTTTTCTTTGGCAACATTTTTTAATTCTGCAAAAAGAAAAGTGATTTATTGTCACGTTCCGCCATCTCTCTGCTGCTGTTTCTCTTACTTTTGTCGTGGATTTCTGTGTTTGCCAAACATGTAGTTCAGTGTTGTTTTTCCCTCTGAACCGGTAAGAAGAAACTCTTGTTTGCTTACTCAGTTGTTGGTTTTTCTGTTTCCCAAGTAGAACAGGGTAAAACTAACAATTAAAAAGGAAAATTAATGGGGAGGGGAAGGCAAAGTAACTTGCAAAATATGTTAGGAATGGAAGGCAGGGGTAAGTCACCCTTTGTTTGTCGAGTCCCTGAGAGGCTGCCCTTCCAGTGTTAATAGTTCTTCATGCTCACAGCCTAAAACCTGGGCTCCTGCTCAAGCTTTCCAGGTTCCTTCTGATGAAATCCACTAAACATTGTGGTTGTGCTGTAGCTCTGCAGCACCCAGAGATCATTTTCTGCAGCTCTGGCCGAGCGGAGCGGGATGAAGAAAACAGCGAGTGGTTTCGAGTGCCTGCTGAGAGCAACTCAGAGGGCTCTGTTAGAGAATCCCAGTACAAAACCTGCTGGTTATCTGTTTGTAAATCTGAGGGGAATGGGTTGAGATGTGTCCTTTTGGCTATGGAAATGGGCTCTTTAAAAGTTGATGTGGTTCTGCTCTGTTCACAACGCAAGCTGGTGTGTTAGATAAACTGTAGGTAGGCAGGTGAGTTTTTGTCATTTCTACAGCAGTGTGCAAGGATTCATAGGTGATATTAATAGAAAAAGATATTCTGAAGATACTTATAAGGAAGTGGGACATTTTTTTTCCCCCCCCTGTGCGAAATGATGTTTTTTTACAGAGGTTTGCTTGGCAGTTTGGCTATTTTGTGGTCGAGTAAAAAGGACCATTATGAAAATAATATTAAAATGGGGAAAAGTTCTTTCGAAATTAGGAGGTCAGTTCCTGAAAATACTGGTTGAACCTTCATTTCAGAACCTGAAAGTGTCTCTTGGTAATATTAGCAGTGAAGTTTGTGCTGAAGCTCGAGCAGTTGGCCTTCCTGCTGGAGATGAGGCTTTCCCATCATGAGCAAAACTGTGGAATGGTGTTGGAATGTGGTTTCAAACATGTGCAACAGAGCAGAAAGTTGAAACTGTGGTTTATTTCTAAACAAGATCCAGGGGAATTTGTGGCCCAGAAGAGAACAGCTCCAGTTTGCTGTTGTTAATTGAAAAGCAAGTTGCACCCTGGTTTCTGCTCTCTGGTGGCACTTGGTGTGCACACCCTTGGCCATCAGACTGAGGGACCTTGAGCAGCCAAACCCCCGCTGGTCTGAAGTGACGTGTGAGTGATTGATGCTCAACATTCCTTAAGCACTGAAGCTTCTGCTGAACTGAAGGATTTAAAGGGGTGAAGGTTTTTTTTAATGATGTCACCGAAAATACTTTTGTTTGTTGGAAAAACCAGTTCTGATGAATCCTTTCCATTTTCAGATTGGGACACTGCAACTTTAAGTAACGAATCGCTCCTCGACACCGTGTCCAGATTCGTTCTTGCAGCTCTTCTGAAGCACACGAGTTTACTTAACCAAGCTTGTGGGGAGAGCAGGCAAGTATCTTAAAGCAGCTTTTCAAAGTTCACTTGAGTTGTGGAAAGGCAGTTTGTGTGATTCTTTTTTGTTTCTGGTTGGCAGGTACCAGCCTGGCAAGGCCCTGGCAGAAGTTTACCGCTGCGTCTACAAGGTTCGCAGCCGTTTGCTGGCCTGCAAGAACATGGAGCTCATCCAGACCAGATCATCCTCAAGAGACAGATGGGTAAGGCTGGAAATGGCCTTGAAGTTCTTCAGGCTCTGCTGGGTATTCAGAAAGTATGACATAATGTTGGTGTAGTGTCTGCTGCTGGGATTTTTCGTTGTGTCTTGTCGAAAACTCGCCGGAGTTTTCAAGTGAAAACGGGTGTGAAATGAAACATTTCATGGGCTTAGTCCTGGCATTGCTGTGCTGGGACCTGCCTGAACATCTGCCATTGCTCTCTGCCCTGCACCATGGCAGCCTGTGAATCATGGCATTTGGGGATGGAAATGTTCGTGGAATTACTCAGGGCTGGGGCCTGGTGGGCATTACAAAGTGCTCCTTAAAGCAGGATTCAGGTTGCTCTGATAGGATTTTAAAGCAAGATATTTTTAACCAACCAAATTCCGAGGTGACGTGTAAATTGAGGGGCTTTTTGGCTGTACTGTGAAAGCACTGGTGATGCTCTTTAAAACCACGTGCATATGTTGCCTACTTTTAATTAAATGAATTAAAGTGCTCTGAAAACATTGGGTGTGTGCAGTAAGTTCTGGGACTCCCAGAAGCCCTCCCAGTTGCTGTGCAGATGCAGCACAGCAAGTCTGAGACCTGCAGGAGATTTGTAGTTCCAGATTTACTACTGTGGGGGAAAAGTGTCTGGTTTGCATTTGCAACAGCAAAGCATCGACTCAACTGTATCCGCTCAATCAGAAAAAAAATTGAAATTCAAGTTCAAAGCCCATTAAACTTCCTGTGCACCTCATTTGCTAATCTTTTATCTTGGGATGTAAATCTGGTAATTCCATGGAAATAAAAGGGAGGAAAGGCACTGCAAATGCAGAACTGTTAAAGGATAAAAATGGGAACGTATTTGCTATCGCTTTAAGGAACAATCTTATCCATCAAAGTAAGTTTTATCGTATTCATGTTCTTTTTAAGGGAGTAGTTTTTATGATTCAGCAGGATGAGTCTCCAAAGGCTTTGATGCTGAAGTGTCAGAGTTTGACAGTAGACTCTAAGTAAGCATTGTAAGGAGACATTTTTATGTAAATCATCTGAGTAAGGGTTACTAAAGGAAAATTAAATTTTCCAGCTGACATAGAGCCTTGAATGTAAACGGCTGATACTGTTTATCCACAGCGTATCAAAATTACCTTTTTGACAGGAAAAACCCCCTCACTCAATACCTGTGTCCTTTTGCATTCATCTTGCATTTTGGTGATAATTTTTCCCTCTGTGATTTGTGGGTTTTTCCCATCCAGATGCTGGATAACCAAGAATCTGCTGATGTCGATGCTCAAGAACATTCCTTCACTCGCACAATCGACGAAGAAGCAGAGATGGAGGAGCAGGCAGAACGTGACAGAGAGGAAGGACACCCAGAGCAAGAAGATGAGGAGGAGGAAAGAGAACATGAAGTTATGACAGCTGGTAGTAAGTACTAGTTCTGTGTGTCAGTAACGTCCTTTGGAAGGACAGTGTCCTTTTCTCTTTGAGGCAGAGTCAAGAAATGAGTTTAAAAATAACGAAATATTTTTCTGCACAAACATTGTGAGCAGTTTATTGTTATAAACTGGTGTGGTGCTTTTATCGATGCAGGGAAGTCTTCAGATGCAAGGGAATGGGAATCCTGGGCAAGTGCACTGCCTTTGTGGGCCATTCCCAGGGCATCTGGCATTTACCAGCACTTCTCATCTGCACTGTCTGCAAGACTAATGGCTTTCTTACTGTTTGCTCTGAAGTTCTGGCCAGTAGATCTCCGAGTTTTCATCAGCATTTATGTATAGAACTTTTACTGTGTTTGTGTGTGATGATGTTTTTTCTAGTGAGCTTTGAAGGGTAACGTTATTCTGAAGTTTGGAAACAAAACTGCTGTTGCTAACAGTGCTGACTGAGTGGGAATTCACTTCTGTCTTTGAGTATCTCAGTCAGAGTTTGGTATTTGTGGCACTGTTTGCAATACTTTCTGATGGGCTTTCTAAAAATCTTATTTAATTCTTCAGAAGACAGCTTGGAAAAGGTAAACCTTGCAAACTGTTATTGTACTGATTTGGATTTGTAATCTGGCTCAGTGGGATGGTTAATCTTTCATTTTTCCAGTCACACTGGGCTGGTTTTCTCTGTGCTAACTCAGCATTCCCAAGGACAGCACTGGGAAATTTTCTGTGCGGTGGATGCAGCTTAAAAAACAAAATTGGCTGACTTGAGATATTGTCCATAGATTTTGTTTTCCTTTTTCCAAGTCCTGTTCCTCTGGATGCTGTTGGAATATTTGTCTTCTCCCAGCCCCTCCGCTCACCCCCTGCTTTGCTGACAGTTAGGACTCCTGTGCTTCTCTTTGGGACTTCACAGACCAAAATGATGTTATCCCTTTAGTTTTCTGGGATGTGCAAAATAACGTGCACAAATAAGTAGGAAGATGCTGATGATTTCACTGAATCTCCCAGGGAAGCTGATCCTGACCTGCAGAGTTCAGTTGGTGTCCTTGCTGCTTCTAACTGCTGATACCAGTGAAGGAAGTGTTTAGCTTCACCTCTGCCTTTCCAAAAGGGAATTGAATCTTTAAAATTGAATTTATAAAGTCAAGAGAACTTAAGGTCTTTGGACAGAGATGAGGTTTCTCACACAGCTTCTCTAGAGGAATCTGGTACCTCAGCAGAATTCAGTGAAGTGAAGACTAAGAATTTTGATAACGTTTTCTTTGTACTACCCAAAGCTGATAAAAGCCTGGAACTGTTTCAGTGTTGACTTGGAGATACACTGGAGTCTGAAACACAGATTTACAGAAGCATTACTTTTATAGGTCTGCTAAAAGGCAAACATGAAATAATCTCTCTCTCTTTGATGCCATCCAAACAGGAGTTGGGTTGCTGTAAGACACTGAAAAGAGTGTTTGGTGTTCTGTCAAAGTGCATCGTCCTCTTCATTTGAAAATTAACATTGTGTAAATGCTTCATTTAACCTGTTTGCATGACCTCTTTGATGCCATTGTAGTATTAACGTATTCTTTTGCTGTTGGAAAAATTATCAGTTGTGCTTTGTAGCTTGGGCAGCTTTTGGCCCGAGATGTAGATGAATATTTTTTTTATCCTCTGTAGCTTTGTCTAGAAGTTAAGACCTTCTTTTTGTGTGTTGCATGTTACAGAAATATTTCAATGTTTCCTATCAGCCCGTGAAGTAGCTCGCAGTCGGGATCGGGATAGGATGAGCACTGGGCCAGGGACTAGACTTGATGATCCACCCCCTCAGTCTCAGCAGGAAAGGAGGATCAGCACAGACCTGACGGAAGGGCAGGATGTTTACACCGCTGCCTGCAACTCGGTGATCCACAGGTGTGCCCTGTTGATCCTGGGGGTGAGCCCCGTGCTGGAGGAGCTGCAGAGGCGCCGGGAGGACGGGCACTCCCAACAGCCGCCCCCGGCCACCCCCGACGGCGTCGGCATCATGACCAGGTGGGCTCTGCTCCCTTCAGCAGCGATTGAACAGCTCAGCTTTCCTCACAGCAGTTCAATTCACGATCCTTTCAGAAGGAAGATTTTGCTCAGAGCAACCTCACGCTGCTCTCGAGGATCTTGAGGATCGTGGGTTTGCTCGGTTTGCTTCGTTCACGTTAACTAAAAACTCGAGAGTTTTATTTTGGGTTTAAGTTTCAAAGCTGGGTTTAGTGGTAGAATAGTTCAGATCATCAGGTGTACAGATTATCGTGGGGTACTTGGAAAAACTATTTATTTTTCCTCTAATTTGTGTTTGGATTTCTTTACTGCCATATTTATGTTTTCTTGAGCCTTACCAGTGTTGTGTATAGTAGTGCCAAAAAAATTGTAGCATATGTTTAAAACGGAAGCTTCAAAGCCTCTTATGATAAAAGTGTTGTTCATGATTGATTTTTGTAAGTATTCCCAACATTGACATGGGTAAGACACTATTATTAGGTCTAGGAGAAAAAAACCTGAAGCCAGGCTGCTCAATGAATGGGAAGAAGTGTTTAATTTAAATACTGTAAGTACTACATCACCTATTTTAAATTTTGTAACCACAGATATTCTTGGTAGCACAGTTTTATTCTAAACTTGACTCACTTAAACTTTTATTCTGGCAATCTTTCTGTTTCAAGTAGAATATAGCACAGGAATTGTGTAGGTGATGTTACTTGTCTGAATCTACTTATGCTTCTAGTGAACAGAAACTCTGTTTGGTGTTTTAAATTAAGGTACTGATGGGGAGTGTAGAGGAGGATTCTATATATTCAGTACCTTTATATTCTTTTTGCCTCTTTCTGGAGATCTAGTCCCTAAAGCATGGGTGGCTGCCTGTGTCATTGTCACAGTGCCTTTCATCTCCAGCATGTCAACTTTAGGGTGCATTTCACGGGTGGGTTTTTTAATAAGTCCAGTGCTTTGTCACCCACTTAACTCTGTGTTTGTTTTCCTGTGCTCTGAGCTCAGAGTGTGTGTTACACTCCCCAAGGCACTGGAGATCCCTCCCTCCCTGAGGGCACCCTCTGTTCAGCTGTGAAGAAGTAACCAAATTTACTAATTTTAGAAGCATAAACCAAAACCATCAGACCACTTTTGGCCTCCTTAACGTGGTCTTGTGATGTTCTGTGAGAGTCTGCTCCCAAACAAAACTATGGTACCTGCTAAACTTGACCATCAGCTCTGATTTTGTCTGATATCAGTGGTTTTTTTCTGTGTGTGTGCACGTAAATGTGTGTGCCCTGGAGCAGGAGTGAAAGCCTGACAGCAGAAAGTCGCTCCATCCATGCCAGCTCGAGCTACAGACTGATTAAATCGAGGAGTGAGTCCGATTTGTCTCAGCCTGAATCAGATGAGGAAGGTTATTCACTGGTGAGTAAACCAGCATTTCCTTGTAGATGGAAAGCACATCCTAAACATTTGTTTAGGGCTGTGTTTCAGTAGATCAATTCAGCTTTTTGAAGAGAAAGTACTAGTGGTAAAAAACCAATTGAAATTATTATAGCTCTTCTAACTTTCTCACTTTTATGGGTGAGGGGTGAAAGTTAAATACTCAAATATCATGCACCACATGTGTTCACCTAAAGAAACGAGGCTTTTATTCCTCTTTTCATGTAGAGTGGAAGACGAAATGTTGATTTGGATTTGGCAGCATCGCACAGAAAGAGGGGTAAGTTTCCTTGTTTACCTCCTGAATATTGACCAGATAAATGGTGGTGTTTCTGAAGTTCAAGTGTGTTTGCAGTTACGTGCAGCTGGACAGTTGTGTAAAAGATGCTAAAACTATTTAAAAATAACGTGTAAAAGAATTGTTACCTACTGTTTGTTGCTTTGTGACTTGGCTTTAGTATTTCCTAGGCTATAACTCCTTATTTTAGGATCTAGAATTGGGACTTTCTGAAGCAAGTGAGGGTTCCTGAGAAGTGAAGTCAATTAGGAGCTGTCATTTTGTTTTCACTCTTGTGACTTCAGGAATAAAAAACTGGCCGAGAAGGTCATGTGGAAGTTGTGCTAACAATGAACTTTTAGCATGCAATGGGCTTGAACGAGGAGAACCCGTGTTCAGAAAATACCACTTTTAACACCAGCACACCTGCAGAACCAAGCAACCACTGGTTTCATTGCTCCAGTATAAATCAGATTTTTTGCTTTTGTACTGCTTTGTGTTGCTGCTTCACCCTGGGGAGTCTCAGTGAGCTTCTTGATAGAAGGTTTGGAGGGAGCAGAGGGTGTTTGTTCCCACTGAGACCAAAAGTCCCACTTCAGTTTGGATGGTGCAGAATCTCTGTGACAATCACAACTTAAAGGTCTGTTGTACCTTTAAAACCATGGGGAGATGTAAACAGGAATTAGATTATGTTATACCTTAATAACAGAAGCCCCAGTACCATTAGGTCAGGTAAGAATTCTTGTTTAAAAGGCTTCATCATTAAGCAGAGCACTCAGAGGTGGTTGCTTTTTGAAGTCTTCTGGAGCTGTAAAACAGGGTATCAGTGGCAGCACCCACTGGATTTAGCATTTAAATAATGTGGAAGGGAATTCCTTGTGCTTGCATAATCAATTGAAACAGCTGAACCAGTAAAGAAATGTCGTAGAGCTGTTTGCAGTGTGACTGCAGATGTGTCGTGGCGCTGGCAGTGCTGGGAGATCTGTCAGAAGGCCTCTGTCAGTCACTGAAACCAACATTATTAGCTTTGCCATTAATCTGACATAGAACTCTGCACTTCATTTCCTGGGTCCTGAAAGTAATTCAGGACATGATCTTGGGCTAAATCTCAGATACAGGTGTAATTTATGGATTAGAGTTCCTCAGCTGCTGGGTAGGCTGATGTTGCCTCAGGAAATGGGGAATAATGCAAGAGGAGACTTTATTAAAACTCTTCTTGCAGCAGAAGATTCTGCGCTGGGTCTGAACCACTGAGGAGAAATGGGGGAATGCAGCTGATCTGTCCAGAACCTAAAGAACCTCCAGTGGCTCATTTACAAACTGACTGTTGTGACAACATGGAACTCTGTTCTGCCACTGGGAGACTTATTTACAGTCCTGTGGCACTCAGATTTTTTTTGGTCTGGTTTTGACAACTGGGAGCACGTCCTGGTGTTTGATGAGGGTGCAGTTGGGGTTGTCCCCTCCTTGTCACCTGGCCAGCACACTGAGGTGCCGGGGATGGTGCAGTGCCAGTCACAGATGTTGGAGTGGTGAAACTCCTGCAGATTTATCTCCATCCTTGTGATGTGCTGGCAAGGATGAGGGGGATGTTTGTGTTCCCTGCTGCCTCAGTTTGAGGAGCAGGAGAAATCTGGATTCTCACAGTATATTCACTTTCCAGTGTCCTCCATCCCCACTTGCTGGCAGAAGGAATTAAAGACTTCATCTGCATTTGAATTTGCTATGTTTGTTCAAAATGGGAGTGATGAAAAAGCCCAGTTTCCTGTTTATGGCAAGAAATGACCCTCAGAAGACTCCAGCATTGTTTCTCAGGGTCTTCTCCAGGTGGATTTTTAAGTGCCACCAAAGTCAGATCCCCCTGAAACAACCAACAGATATTTTCATGAGAAACAGGCAGCATATTTTTATTTTTAGGTTGGTTTTTTTTTTGTTTTTTTTTGACATGTTCCTTCCATATTTATGACTGTACCTTGTACTCCTACATCTGATCTGCTTTGGAGTGGAGGATGTGGAAGATTTTGTGTCCCTCTAAATGACAAGGAGAGGAAGGAAACTTGTCCTCTAGCTGCTGAAATCTGTGTCTATTTTGGGTGCAGAGGACAGTCATGCATTACAACAGGAGTGCATGTGGGAAACTCTTCTCAAATTGCAAATAATTTCAGTCCTACAGAACAGCAGCAGAAACCAGTGCTGCTTTAAGGGACTTGTAGCTGAATTTATCCAATTTTTGTTGGGTTGACTGGAGAGCTGGCAGTGTTTGGGGGGGAAGAACCAGTGGAGCCTCACGGAAAAACCAAAGGGACCACTTTTCATTTCTTTCTGCTGAGGTTTATTATTTAAAATATTCGATCACATTTACTGGGCTGTGCTGCTTGGAAAACTTGAAAGGGAATTTTGACTAAAAAGCTGAGGTTTTGTGGGGCTGCTTTATCCTCAGCTGCACCCCATGCAGAGTGTCTGATCCTTGCAAATTTGTCCAAATTACAGGGTATTGGTGAGTGGTTGATTTGTTACAGGCAGGAGAGCAATTCCCCCTGGAGGGAAATTATTATTTTAGATCTACTTATTTGTGTTTGTGGAGTGCAGCAGCTCGTGGTTCACAGTTCAGGTCACATTTCCTTGCTGATTGAATCTCACTGTTGGTTATAACCTGATTTTTGTGCTGTGAAAGCTGGTCCTTTTCATCAATTGCAGTATAGAAAAAGTAGCTAATCCTGTCAGTCCCTATGCTCTTGCAGATGAGTCTGGAAGGAAAAGCAGTCTCTTTTTATTCAATTAACATCTCAGCCACTCAGTCCAATCTTTATTTAAATTGCCTTCTTCATTCTTCCCGTCTCTTCAGAAATAGGACTGGGATATTCCTACTCCAGCCTGAGGATCCTTTGAGTTTCTTGTCCCTTGGTATTTAGTGATTTCTGAATCAGCAAACTTTTCCCTCCATCACAACACAAAAAGTCCTTTTCAGTGATTCTGCAGTGAGGGATGAAGACATTGTTTTCCCTTTGTATATAAAGGGTGGGGTTGGAGCAAAGGATTTACACACCTCTTGGTGGATGACACAGCTGTGTTAGGGGATTAGTTTTGCTTCCTTGACAAGAAGGTGGAGAATTTAGCAAGCCTGTTATCTCAGGCAGCACTAATTCACAACAAGAGTAAGTATTTTTTTTTCCACATACTCGGTGTATTGTTGTACTGATTGAGATGAGACTGATCGTTTAAACCTAAAAGTAATATGAGGATGGGATTTTCTGAGTGTGTTACCTCCTGTTTCAAATGTCTGCTTTTGTCTTCTGATTCTTGTGTGGTGTAGTGTATTTACTCCTTTTTGGCCAGTTGAGCCCCAGAAAAAAGAAGAGCTTCAAGCAAGTAACCGATGGCATGTTTATTTTTTTTTTATCTCTAAAGCTTCCCCACATAATTTTTTATTTTCTGGAGCGTGCATTGCAGCTGTGCCACATTCATGTAGAAAACTCATTATTACAGGCTGGCTTATTGTAAGGACAAGTCAACTTTTTTGTTTGTTTGTTTGTTTTCACTGTTCCTTCCTCTGCACAGCTCTGGCCGTGTGATTGTAGAGGCTTGGGAGGTGCTGCACTGCAATCAGTTCTGTGTGGTGGATATTGCACAGAATCAAGCTGAGCTCCAATTTACAGCCATACATTTGGTTTCTCTGTTGATAATTTAACATCTTCAGGGGAAAAAAAATGACTTTGTTTTAGATCTGCGTGCTCTGACTCTGAAATGTTTTTAACTCTGAAGTGTGACCTTTGATTTCTGATGTCTCTGTGTTTAAACACTTTCACTTGTAACTTCTATTGTCTTACATTTAATCTGTATCAAATCCAGTTTTGAAACAATTTTAAACTGGTCTTACATTTAAACATTCTTGCATTTCATATTGAAATGGTTAGCTGAGATCTAATCTTATTTCAAACCTGAAATAATTTAGTTTTTTTATTCATACACAGTGAGGGTTCTTTCTTACCAGATCTGTTGATCATCAAAACTAAATTTTCTTACGATATCCTCCTTGGAATAGCTTCTGATTTAGGACACTGGAGTTGCTGTTTGTGCCTTTCCAAATGCTTTGGCTCTGGGCTGTGTCATTTATCTTGTGTTTCTCACCTCTCACTTTCCCATATAACTTAGATTTTAAAACAACTACTCTAATAAATAATGTTAAAATTAGGGTAAGGTGGTATCTGTCTTTGCTGTTGTTTTAAATATTTCTGCCAGATATAAATTATAAAATCGAGTAACAGAATTTCTTTAAGTTTTTTTCACAGTTTTTCACTGACAAAATAAATTGTTCTCTGTAAACCAGGTGGTGTTGCTGTGTCACAGAAAGCAGCAGAGATTAGAAAGTTAGATTTGCACTTTGAAAAATAGTGTTTAAGCTTAACTTTTGCCTTACCCCAACTAAATTTGAGGCTGTATTTTTTTGTCCAATAAGTTGTGTGACCAAAGCACTGTGATGGTTCTTTCTGAAGCCATTGCAGCTGTTTAGTAGTGAGTGTAAGGGATACCTTGTAAATGCACAGAAACACTGTTTACAGAGAAGAAAATGGCATGTGAATGCTTTTTCCTAATTCACAGCCCCGACAATTTAAATAAGTGGGGATTTACTACCGAGTTTACAAAAGGCAAGCACAGTTTCACAGTATTTTGAATTTGTGAGTTGTGTGGAGGTGCAAATCGTGAGCTGCAGGTGCAGGCTTGTTGGCAGAATAACAACATTTGACGTAAGTGGTTGCCAGGAGAGCTGTCCTGAGCTGCAGGCTGTGTGTCTGTCTGTCCTTGTGCCTCTGCAGGTAGGCAGGAGCTCCACAAATGAGGATCTAATTCCAGTTGCTGAGGAAAGAAAGCTTTGAGCAGATGGATTGTTGTCAATCTGGGTGACTTTTCCCTGAAAATGACCATTTTTTAATAATGTTTGAGGCTGAGCCCCTGCAGGAAGATTTTTAAAACCCAAAATGATACAGATGTGTCTAAGCCCTGTGGATGGGTCGTGGTTTCCCCAAGTTTGATCTGAAACTCACTGTGCATAAGATAGGTGAATAGATTCACATTTTAAAAATTCTTTGGAGGTTGTTTAAGATAATCCAAGCTAAAATTTCCGAGTGACTTTAAACACAGATCAGGTTTCCACCAAGGTCTCCTTACACTGCTTATCTTTACAGATGGAAAGTTCTTCTGAGCAGGGTCTGCCCTCTTGGGACGCCTTGCACAGGCCCAAGTTACCAAGAGCATTTAGAACAATAAATCACTGCTGTAGGTTGTTTAGCTGCTGATGGACTTGTGACCTGAGTGACGTGGCCCTCACTGGTGCCAGGGTTTGAGTTCCAGCAGAGCTCTTTTGGAGATGGGGTGCAACCTGTGGTGGTAAAGGGGTGCCAGTGCTGCAGACTGGTGGCTGGGGTTCATCTGCAGACCCATTTGTTAGTGATGGTGAAGTTTCAGTGGAAGGACAGAGGAAATACTGGAAAATAGACTTGGAAATTGCCAGCTGACAGATATACAGATCTAATACTCGCTGTAGATAGTATTTAATATACATGTCTCTCTCTTGAGTCCAAGTTCTCTGTTAGTCTAAAATACTTGCTGTTCCATCTGCAATCTTGATTTCTGTAAATATTTCATCCAAAATAACATTGCTTTTTTCAAACTATGAAATGCAGCGGCTCGATTAAAACCAAAACTACTTTTGCTCTATGGCTAGACCTTAAAATGAATATCCCAGGACATAATTTCTGCTGTAGCAAATCTTTCCTTTACTGTTTTGTCATTTAGCTGCAGAGCATTTTATTCGGTGTTCTAGCTTTAAGCTGAGCAGTTTGAGTGGCTTCTGCCTTTTTTTTGTTCCCTCACTTGGCACCGTGCTGCAATACTGCTTACCACTGAAAAGAAATACAGCCTTTCCTTTAGGGAAATCGCTGTAAATTGAAATCGAGTGTTTTTTGCTCTTAAGTCGCTTAATGCATGGTGTAATTAACATGAATATTCATTTTCCACCCGTAAATAGCAGCAGTTCAGCCTTCAGAATGTGTTAGCCGGTGAGTGGGGACTGAGAGCCTTCCTTGTGTGTGTCTTTAGGGACAATTCACGGGCAGGTGGAATCCCTGAGCGAGTCGTGGGTGCGGCTCAAGCACGGCAGGGACTGGCTGTGCACGCCCTCCTGCTCCTTCCTGGAGCCCGACTTGGACCTCTCCCGATCCCTGGGGGTCCACACGTTGATTGAAAACGTCGTCAGCTTCGTCAGTGGAGATGTGGGCAACTCGCCGGGGTTTAAGGAGCCCGAGGAGAGCATGTCCACCAGCCCCCAGGCATCAGTCATTGCAATGGAGCAGCAGCAGCTGAGGGCTGAGGTAAATAAATCTCACTTTGGCAGCTCTTCTTGTTCTTTAGAAATTCTGCTCGTTTTAAGGATTTTTTTTTTTCTTGAAATATCGTCTAAATTCCAACTGTTGATTACATTTTTCGTTCTTTTCTGTTAAATATCTTTATTGGAACTGAGAACTCTAAACCAAAACTGAAAGCGTTCCCCTCTTTAAAAAAATTGTGTGGAGGAGAAAACATCTGCCTGGTTCATCCTTGCTTACAGCTGGAGATGATCCAGTTTCAATTTCTGAGGATAATGGCTGCTTCATAAACATTATCTTTTGCCTGCCTTTCTCTTTCAGCTTCGTCTGGAAGCCCTTCACCAGATTTTGGTGCTCCTGTCAGGGATGGAGGAGAAGGGCAGTGTGCCGCTGATGGGAAGCCGTCAGGTGGCAGGATTTCAATCCTCTTCGTTGCTCACCTCTGTCAGACTGCAGTTCCTCGCTGGCTGCTTTGGTTTGGGCACCGTGGGCCACGCAGGTGCCAAGGGAGAGAGTGTCAGGCTGCATCACTACCAGGTAGGCACTGCAGGAGTGCCTGCTGTTTCAGTAACCGAGGGATGAAAATGCATCAGCCCCTTGTAACACTTGTTTGTTTGGCCCAGGATGGTATCAGAGCAGCCAAGAGAAGTATTCAGATTGAAATCCAGGTGGCTGTGCACAAAATCTACCAGCAGTTATCTGCCACTTTAGAAAGAGCCCTGCAAGCTAATAAGCATCACATAGGTAAGTGAAACCAGGTTGGCAAAAGATGTCCTGTGATACAGAGTACAGCAGCTTGTACATTTACCAAAGCAGCCTGGGGTGTCAGTGACCAGGATTCACTGGATTATCTACTTCTTCATCTGAGAGAGAAACTTTTGAACCTTTTTCTGTCTTCATTCTCTTCAAGTGTTAGACCTTCTTATTCTAAGTCTTTTCAGCCTTTCTGTTCCACATACCACGATCTTCCACAGTCACTTTTGGGGCTTCAAAGTGATTTTTAGGCTTTTCAGTGATATAAGAAAGCAATTTTCTGAAGAGGTGAGAAATTTCCAATCCCTTCCTTTGGTGAAGTGAGCTTGTTTTAAACCCAAAGCTGAGGAACAGGGCATTTTACCTCTTTGGAAAGCCTTTTGTCCTGTCCTGTATCCAGATATTACCTTGTGCTCAAGGGATAGCTGAGCTCTGCACTGACCAAGAGCTCCAGCACTGCAGAGAACCCTGGAGTTTGAATTTATTAATGGGACCCAATGGCCATTCTTACCTGAATTGTTTTACTGTCTCACTTACAATTAAACTGAGAGGAGTTTCTTGAGAATCCATGTGAAGTACAGGTAGAAAATGAAGTATTGTACCCAGTTATCCTTCTCTAGAGAGAAATATCTGGTTTGAGATTTAACCTCAGAACATTTACCTCTCAAACCAGATCTGCATGATGTTCTTCCTTTGGCCACCTTGACAGAGTCACCCTGATTAAAGGGGTACAGCAGAAAGACCCCCTCAGAGTGTCTGACAAAGCCTCACTGCTTCCTTGAGAATTTCACTCATTAAATTGTGTTTAAAAAACAATCTGCCGTTCTTCTGCCTTGGTGTCGTTCCTCTGAGCAGCTGATTAATCAGAAACCCCTCTCTGACCCCCTAGAAGCACAGCAGCGCCTGCTCCTGGTGACAGTGTTTGCTCTCAGCGTGCACTACCAGCCCGTGGACGTGTCCCTGGCCATTTCCACGGGGCTGCTGAACGTGCTGTCCCAGCTGTGTGGCACTGACACCATGCTGGGCCAGCCCCTGCAGCTGCTGCCCAAAACTGGCGTTTCCCAGCTCAGCACAGCTCTGAAAGTGGCCAGCACAAGGCTCCTGCAGATCCTCGCCATCACCACGGGGTGAGTGTCATCTGCTCCCTTGCTTTTGGAAAACTTAAATGTTCCACTCTTCATCACCCTTGAAAAATAACCTTTCTGTAGGACGGTAAATGTTGCTCAGGAGTGCGTAAGTGAAGGGCAGATCAAAAAAAAATAGTCATATTCTTCGTAAGAAAGATGGACATAAGACTTATAAATATATTTAACTTGTGAGTGTTTGGACCAGAATAGTTACAACTCTCTGGCCTGCAAACATTGTATTTGATTAGTCCCCAGTTGGTGGTTCAGCTTTTTATGTAGATCTGCTCAGTTGATGGGATAAGACTTTCTGTTGCTGTGTAAAATCATTTCTGTAAAAACAATACCTGTAATTTGGTAGGAGTTCTTCAGAGCAGGGCATCGCGCTGCTTTTCAGAATATGAAATCATTTGCTGAGGATTAGTGGCCTCTGCTAGACCGTGGAACAGGATGCAGAGTCCAATCAGTACTTAAATATTTAATTTAACTCAGTACACAGCAGTGGAGAAAGTATTTTCTATTTGGGGCAAGACTATTATTTGATATTCAGTGCTTGCACCTTCATTCAGTGTTCAGGCAGCACGTTGCATTTACCTGCCAGGTGTGTCATGACAAAAACTCAGTCACCCTCCACCAAAAAATCCCCCCAGCCATGGAAACAACCCCTCATCCTTGGAACTTGCAGTGGAATTATGATTAATAAACAAAGCTGTTCTTTTTTTCCCTGGGAAGTACTAAAAATATATCCTTTGACTCCAAAGATTAGACAGTTTTAGTTTAATTAGACATTAGTTTTAAAAGAGTTAAAAAAAGTAATAATCCAAGCCTGTGGTGGAGGGAGGTGCTGCGATTATTGTTCCTTGGATCAGTTCAAATACTCTTCTTTTTTACTTTTTGTGTGTCTGGACAGAACCTATGCTGATAAACTGAGCCCAAAGGTGGTGCAGTCTTTGCTGGATTTGTTGTGCAGCCAGCTGAAGAACTTGTTGTCACAAGCTGGGGTGATGCTTATGGCTTCCTTTGGAGAAGGGGAAGGGGAGGAAGAGGAGGTGGAATCCAAAAAGGCGGATTCAAGTGGGGATAACGAGAAGAGAGACTTCAGAGGTAAATATTTTGCATCATTTCTGTGACAGTTGTAAAATACCAGAAACCATAATAGAAGAGATCACTGCAGTGTTTTGATTTTTGTTGGGTCATTTTTAACTCTGTAAATTAGATTCAGGCCGTCAAATAATTTAGTGCTCTGTTCAGATTTATATAGAATCGATGCATAAAGTGATGTAAGGACAGGAGCAGGCTGAGAACAAGAATTACTCCATCTGGTTTGGAATTAGGAATAAAGTATAGTTTCCCTTGAAGAATGAGTTGGTGGTGGTGTTTTTCATGTGTGTGGTCATAGGGATTCATCTGAATTTCAATCTAGAAATAAATGTAGTTTTATTCAGGGAATTGTTGTATTTGAGCAGTTTTGCAGTTTGAGTGGATGGCAGGAGGGTGACACTACTGCCATGTGAAAAAAAAGCTGCAAGAAAAGATTTTCTGAAATTCTGATGTCTTCCCAGTGTTTGCAGTCCTTAAGGAACACTTTGATTTTCTGTGGCAGTTATGGGTTTGAAGAATTATCATTTGTGGCTTGGTTTTAGGTGTACATATGTTTTTGTTTGTGCTTATAATGATCTTCACTTACAAATAATGCAATGGCTGATGAATCAACAAGCTAATTAATCACAAAATAGGATATGAAGTCTTTCCACAGACATTTTCATGCTAGAACTTCCTTGGGAATACCCCTCAGGGTGGGAAGAAGTTCAGTGTTTTGCATCAAAACCACTGCCCTACTGGGTGGTGAGACAGGAGAGCTGGGAGTGATGTTGAGGTTACATGGAAGATGTTTTAATTTTCTCTTCCTCTATTTTTCATTGGCAATTAATTAAATTATTCTTCCCCCAGTTGAGTCTGGGATAATTCGCCCATGAGGATAAAAAAATATCTTGGGCCGTGAACGTTTAATCTTCTTTTCTGTCCCTGTCTTGCTGAGGAGCAGAAGTGAGAGCACAGCTTGGTGGGCGCCTGTCAGCCACCGTGGAATAACTGAGCATGGCATTTTCACCTCCAGAACAGTAGCAGGACTGCCAGTGGAGCTGTCATGTTGAGCTGTGGTGACAGTGTTTCATTTCCCTCCCCAGCTGCCCTGCGCAAGCAGCACGCGGCAGAGCTGCACCTGGGCGACTTCCTGGTTTTCCTGCGCAGAGTTGTGTCTTCCAAAGCCATTCAGTCCAAGATGGCATCTCCCAAGTGGACAGAAGTGCTCCTGAACATCGCTTCTCAGAAGTGCTGCTCAGGTACGACCCCGGCAGGACGTGCTGGGGGGGTTTCTTGTGGTTCCAGAAATGGAGCCCTGTTAGAAACACGTCACACGGGGAGCAATCAGAACCTACTAGAGTAGATGTGCACAGGAGTTGCACTGGTGGGGTGTAACCAGGTGTAGGCCTGATGCAGAGGGCTCTTTGAGATCGCTGACCTGTTGTTTGTTCCACCCTCAGGAGTTCCCTTGGTTGGCAACCTGAGGACCAGGCTGCTGGCGCTGCACGTGCTGGAGGCGGTGCTGCCTGCCTGTGAATCTGGCGTGGAAGATGATCAGATGGCTCAGGTCTCTATATTTTGTTATAAACCTTTACACCTGTCTCATTAAATTCATGAATGTTTCCTAAGTTTGTTCAAAATCCAGTCTAGTGAGGCTCAGTGTAGATATTCAGTAATCCAAGAGTACTAAATATTTTGATGTTTATACATGTGAAGTAAAGTAAAGCAATACAATTCTACTTGTCCTCATGTGGGAGTTAAAATAATCTGAATTCTATTCCAATGCACCAGGTTGTTGAGAGATTGTTCTCACTTCTGTCTGACTGCATGTGGGAGACTCCAATAGCTCAGGCCAAACACGCCATCCAAATCAAGGAGAAAGAGCAAGAAATGAAGCTGCAGGTAACGACGCTCGTCCTTTGTCTCGTGGCTGATTGCTCCTGAATCACACTGACCACTCGTGTTTTGGCCTGTTCCTGGCAGAAGCAAGGAGAGTCTGAAGATGAGGATGAGAATCTTCCCATCCAGGAGGTGTCCTTTGATCCTGAGAAGGCTCAGTGCTGCATAGTGGAGAACGGGCAGATTCTGACTCATGGAAGTGGAGGCAAAGGATACGGTTTAGCATCCACTGGAGTCACTTCTGGGTGTTACCAGTGGAAGGTGGGTTGCACAAATGTGCATTTCTTCTCTCACTTGGATTTGGAAATATTCTGGGATGTATTAACAGCAGCTGCCTCTGGTTTTTTCCCTCATGGCAACATTCTTGAGTAAATGGCGTTGTGATGTTTATGGTTGCATTCAATCATCTTAAAGATCTTCTCCAATCTAAATCATTCTGGGAGTTTATGATTTTTCAGTCCAAAGGGAAGAGTCTGTGGCTGCTTTTTGAGTGCTGCTGTCAGGGTATTTCAGTGCACAGGTTGGAGAGTGTCAGTGTGTTGTGTGTTTGTAGAGGTGATGGTTCTTGTCCCTAAGATCCGTAATCAGCACGAATGTGCCTGGCTTTGCAAAAGTTACCCGCTGAAATACGTACATTTTGAATTTTTTCTGTAGAAAAACACTTCACAAAACACTGTTTTCTTGCAAAAAGGCACATCAGCCTGACTGGCAAGAACAGTGTTTTAATACACCATCTGAAGTGATTTTAATTTTTTCAGGAATATAGATATATACCTAGTTGTGGTCCTTGTTGGTACCACCTTTGAGCATAACACTTATACTTCTTTTTTTTCCACTTGAGTCTGTGACCATGAGATAAAAAGCTTTTTTCTCTCTGTAATATTATTTTTAGCACTTGTAGCCCAACACCTCTGTTATGTTTTGAGTCCAGAAAAAAAACCCCCAACTTCTTTGTGTATTTACATATAGTCTTCTTTATTACTGGTACGTGAAGATTAAATGACTTGTCAATGATTGACCTTATACACCAAGATGTCATTTTAGAGCTAGAGCACAATTTCACCTTATAAACTTGAAACAGAAACGTACCTACCTACGTGCCAGGAAAATCTCCACTGCTTTAATGTGTTCAAGTGCCCATTCTTGCATTTTTTTTTTTTCAACCCTGCCAGTTCTACATCGTGAAGGAGAATCGAGGCAATGAGGGCACCTGCGTGGGGGTTTCCCGCTGGCCCGTCCACGACTTTAACCATCGCACCACCTCGGACATGTGGCTCTACAGGGCCTACAGTGGCAACCTCTACCACAATGGAGAGCAGACTTTGACCCTGTCCAGCTTCACCCAAGGAGATTTCATCACCTGTGTGCTGGATATGGAAGCGAGAACCATTTCCTTCGGGAAAAATGGAGAGGTATTTAACGTCAGTTGTTTGGTTTTTAAGTGCAACGTGGATGGACGTGACGGTTAAAACTCGTGATAGTTTCGGCGCTTAAAACCTTTATCACACAGACACAACTTTTTCGTGTTTTAATGATTTTGCTTGTTAAGCTGTTCTGAGTTTGAGGGGGTTTTTGTTGTGGTTTTTTCTCACTAGGAGCCCAAACTGGCTTTTGAAGATGTGGATGCAGCTGAATTATACCCCTGTGTTATGTTCTACAGCAGTAATCCAGGAGAGAAGGTAACTTGAGTGCTCATCTGGGTGGATGTGCTGGTTTTGACTGGGCTAAGCCAGTAATTCATCATGGTGCTGTTTGGGATTTCTGACCAAAACCATGTTGGTAATACAGTGTTTCAACTGTTGTAATCTATTGTAAATTCAAAATGTATTTTAATACTTAGCCTTGATTTACAGACTTGATGTTCTACATGGAAAATTCAGTTCCCCAGAAACCAGGGAGGATGTACTATTAGGATTTCTGGATAGTCTTTTGTGAGAAACCATGGACTGTTGTAGTTTCAACATCCTTGAGTTTGAAGGGGTGAAGGTTCTGATCAGCGTTCAGATGGATTAGGAAAGCAAGAAGAGGCAATGCTAATAATTACTTCGAGTCAGGAGACTCCTGTGTTTATAAAAAGAGCTCATTCAGGTATGTTGAGAAGACAACTTTGACACTGTTCCCTTCCACGTGTAGGTGAAAATCTGTGACATGCAGATGCGAGGGACACCCAGAGACCTCCTGCCTGGAGACCCCATCTGCAGTCCCGTGGCCGCCGTGCTGGCAGAGGCCACCATCCAGCTGATCCGGATCCTGCACCGCACCGACCGCTGGACACACTGCATCAACAAAAAGATGGTGGAGAGGCTGAACAAAATCAAAACCTGCCTCAAAGAAGCGGGGCAAAAGCTCAAGAAGAGCCGCTCGGTTCAAAGCCGGGAGGAGAGCGAGGCGAGAGAGGAGAAGGAGAGCAAGGAGGAGGAGAAGGCCAAGCACGGGCGGCACGGGCTGGCCGAGCTGTCGGAGCTGCAGCTGAAGATGCTGTGTGCCGAGGTGTGGCCCGTGCTGGCCGTCATCGGAGGGGTGGATGCCGGGCTCAGGGTCGGAGGGCGCTGTGTGCACAAGCAGACGGGCCGGCACGCCACCCTGCTGGGCGTGGTCAAGGAGGGCAGCACCTCTGCCAAGGTGCAGTGGGACGAGGCTGAGATCACCATCAGGTACGTGTTGGGTGCTGGGGCTTGGGAACCGGCACAAGTGTCGCTCAGCTCACACCGGAGTCAGGGTTTGGGAACCATCACAAGTGTCACTCAGCTCACACCGGAGTCAGGGTTTGGGAACCGTCACAAGTGTCACTCACCTCACACCAGAGTCAGGGTTTGGGAACTGTCACAAGTGTCACTCAGCTCACACCAGAGTCAGGGTTTGGGAACTGTCACAAGTGTCACTCAGCTCACACCGGAGTCAGGGTTTGGGAACCGACACAAGTGTCACTCAGCTCACACCAGAGTCAGGGTTTGGGAACCGGCACAAGTGTCACTCAGCTCACACCGGAGTCAGGGTTTGGGAACCGTCACAAGTGTCACTCAGCTCACACCGGAGTCAGGGTTTGGGAACCGGCACAGTTGTCACTCGGCTCGCACCAGAGCCGTGCTGAGCAGTCACTCTGAGTTTACACTGGAGCGGTGGTGAAGTTGATGCTGCCTCGAAGGGGGGTTCATTCACGGCCTGACTCCCGTGGGGAGCCCAGGGGGTGCCCCTGTGCCAGGTGTGAACAGGCTGGAGCTGCTGTTCTGCTGAGGATGGGGAGAACCAGGGAGGAGGCTGCAAGGAGATACCCCCTTTTCCACTTGTCTTGCCTTCAAAGGGAAGGCACCTGGAAGGAGACTCTGCAATGAAGCCAGTGGCTTCTCTGGGCTCTCTGGTGCTCTCACAGGACCTACCTGTGTTTCTGTGTGGAAAGATTGGACTCATTTAATTTCTTAAGCTACTTCTGCCTGTAGCTGAACCACAGTCTTGTCGAGAAATTCAGCACTAATTATTTTCTTTCACTGCCAGTAAAAAAAAAAAAGACATTTTGAAACAGCCAAGGTCAGTTTACCTCTTAGAGCTGTTGCAGAGTTGTCTCGATTTAGTTCCAGGTATAAATTCTTTTAAATGTGACAGTAGAGCCTTAAAGTGAGTGTGGCCTTGAAATAACTTGAACCTTTATTTGAGTGAAGTGGCACAGCACTTGAACTTGGTAAAGCATTGAGTTCAGTTCAGAGTGTACCTTCTTAATTAAAAGAAGGCTAAAGCTTGCTTTCATTTTTAGGTAGAAGTTTATATTGTAAAGTGGGAAAGAAAACATTTTGGGATAATAAAAGGAAGATTTAAAAATTGTTTATCTGCTGGATGTATGGAAAATACAAGATGTAGGACATATAGACTGGTGAATTTTTGTCCTGCTTCAAGTGAAAATTAGCCAAGTGTAACAGTCCTAAATATTACCTGAAGGTACCAGTGGATGTAGATGACAGATAGAGCTCTGTGTCTGTTGGCTTTTCTGAGCTGTGTTTTTAAAATCACTGTTCTCACCAAGTAATCTGTCCTGACATACCAGAGACAGAATTACCATGAGCTGTCAGCAGTGTGGTGATGAATACTTGAACAGGAACATGAGGTCCATCGAAGCTTTTCCTTCCTGTGAAATGTTTTTCCTTTATAAACTTTTGTATCTGTGCTCAAGATTCAGCTCAGGTACAATGATAAAATTGACCTTAAGGTAGTTTTTTAGCAGAAGCATGTTACATACTTGTAAATAATCCAACCAAAGCCTATGTCAGCAGAGAATTGAGAGCTTCTGAGGGGCTTCTGGGTTTCAGTGCTTGTTGAAAACCTGTGTATGCTTTGTTGCCTTTACTTTGAAACCATATCTCCCTGTTTTCTGGCCATAACCTCATTATCCCCCCACCCCCACGTTTGCATTTGATTTTTAGAATCGCTTTGTTTATTTTATCGAATATATTTTACATCTTACTTTGCCTACATTATTTCCTGTACTTTCCTCCTGTCTCTCCCTCACTTGCTTTTTCCTGTGTCATTCTGATCTTTATTAAAGCTTCCCAACTTTTTGGTCGCCTAGTGACACCCCCCTGTATAACCTGGAGCCCTGTGAGCCACTGCCTTTTGACGTTGCGAGATTTCGTGGGCTGACAGCCACCGTGTTGCTGGACCTTACCTATCTGACTGGCATTCACGAAGACGTGGGAAAGCAGAGCACCAAGAGGCACGAGAAAAAACACAGGCACGAATCCGAAGAGAAAGGGGAAACGGATCAGAAAGCGGAGGGCGACGCCGCATGGGACGCGCGGTCGGGAGCGAGCGCCGACGACAGCAAAGGACACGGTGCCACGAGCTCCAAGCTGGAAAATGAAATCGTTTCCTTCTCTTTAGAACCTTCGACGCTAGGTATGGAATCCCAACACCAACCTGGGGAAGGCAGGAAAAAGAACCACGAGCACAGCCCGAGGAGTCACGACATAGTGCAGTCGGAGATCAGGGCTGTGCAGCTGTCCTACCTTTACCTGGGGGCCATGAAGTCCCTGAGCGTCCTGCTGAGCTGCAGCAAATACGCCGAGCTGCTGCTGATCCCCAAGGTGCTGGCGGAAAACGGGCACAACTCGGACTGCGCCGGTTCCCCGGTGGTGCACGAGGACGTGGAGATGAGGGCGGCCCTGCAGTTCCTCATGAGGCACATGGTGAAACGGGCGGTCATGAGGTCACCCATCAAGAGAGCCCTGGGGCTGGCAGACCTGGAGCGGGCACAAGCCATGATCTACAAGTTAGTGGTTCACGGGCTGCTGGAGGACCAGTTTGGTGGCAGACTTAAACCAGGTACGTTTTCAAAATGATGGGACTATAAGGCTACGTTGATTTTTATTTTTTCATTTTAATTATAGTTGTTCGTGGCAACGATAATACAGACAACACAGTCTCGTAATTTTGTGGTGGTTGTGCTTTGGAGGAGTCTTAATTGGACAGAGAAATTTTGAAAAGCACTTTTACTGTTTTATAAACGTAATACTGACTTTTTTGCCTTTTTTCCAATTCCCTATTAAAATAAATAGTGAATGTATATCAGTCAATCAGAAATATAGGAGCTTCTAATTTGCCTATAGTGCTATTTAATAATGAGCAGTTCTGTCTGTAATTGTCAGAAGGATTTGCACTCCTAAACCAACAAAAAACGCCTCTTAAAAATGTTACTCGGACAACGGGGTTAAAGATAGCTTTGTAGTTAATCAGCTCTGTTTCCATGTCTGAGACCTCTTCCCTGTTACCTGTTTTGGGAATAATCCTGGCTGTTACAACCATAAATCTAAATACAGTAAGATCTGCTGGAAGTAAATGTCTTACTTGCTGTTTACCTTGTGTTGGTATCACGACAGCAGGAGCTCGTGGGCTGATTTCTTTACATCAGTCTGTGATTACTGGCAGCAGAAGTGAGTGTATGGTGTGCATTCCCGGGGAGAATTTGGAATAATGACAGTTATTTTTGAAAGCTGGAAGTTCAGCCATGGCTACTGTTTTGCCCTACACAGTTATATTAATGTTGCCTGTAACCTCCCCTTTTCCCCTGCAGAAGTGGAGCAACAAGTAGAAGAAGGTGATCAGTCTCAGCAAGCCCAGACTCCGGTGACAACCAGCCCTTCTGCTTCCAGCACAACTTCTTTCATGAGCAGCTCTCTGGAGGATACAACCACTGCTACTACTCCAGTCACTGACACAGAAACAGTTCCAGCTTCAGAATCACCTGGGGTTATGCCTCTCAGCCTTCTTAGGTAAAACATCTGCAGCATGTATGATTTTGGGGGTGTGGGGAGCCAGCTGTGTGGTTTATTTACAATAGATGTCTTTAGATAAGCCTTTGAAGATGCTACTGTTTGTATTTACTGTCCAGAAGTGCCTCTGCAGAGGGCACAGTTTAATTAGTTACTTTGCCTTGCAGGCTTTGTGTTATTAGAAATAAAAAACTGTTAAGCTTTTATTCTGCGCTGTGTGTATGTGTAATATCTGAGTGGTTCAAGAGGGAGAAAATACCTTGCTGAAGTTGTCTTTCAGTTCTCCTGTTTATTTGGTACAGCTTAAATTATTAACGTCTGTATTGTTATTGTTAACAAATGTTTGTTGATTCTCAAACCAGAGTAGATCTTAGCTGGGAGGTGTCATCCTGTAAGCTAAGACATCGTTTCATTTTATATACTGAAATGGAAGATAAACCTGGGTGATCTGCAGAGACTGATTTGGGATGTTGAACGCAATCTGCTTTACGCTGCATGGAGTCCCATTCTAAGTTTAATAATTCTTAGAGGTTTTGCAGATATAATTTGATAAAAGCCAGAATGATGTCTTTGTACCGGGACAGTGAAAATATTCACCTGTTTTATTACTCTGCCTGAGTTCTGAACAAACTGGGGAAATGGGAAAAGCGTTTACTCATCGTTTAGTTCCTAGGACAGCCCTTGGTCTGGGAGGGGATTTTTAGGTGCATACTTAGAATTAATGTTACAGGTAAATTGGTAGGAATGAACTGTTCTGACAGGGTTTCTCTGCCCCTCTCTGTGTATGTGCTGTGCCTTACCCTTACAAAACACAACTGCTGTAAAGTAGGATTTTACCAAGTGCACTCCAATTTGAAGCATTTCTTGTGTCAGACCTTTCCCAGCATAACTCTTTTGGATAGAAACATCTCCTGTTTTCTTTTCCAGGCAAATGTTCTCCAGCTACCCAACCACAACTGTGCTTCCAGCACGGCGTGCTCAGACCCCTCCAATATCTTCTTTACCAACATCTCCTTCAGATGAGGTTGGAAGGAGACAAAGCCTGACTTCCCCTGACTCCCAGTCTGCCAGACCTGCCAATCGTACAGGTAACCTTGGAGGTGTCGATGGAAGTGTGGACGAGTCAGTAAATTCCCAGGAGCTCAGTGTCAGGATTGCAGAGATTGAAAACAAACCCAGTTTCTTTCTAAGGCAGCCTAACGTTCAAAGCATTGTTGAAAACCTTTTGGTGACTATTTTAGCACAAAAAAATGTAGATTATCTAGCTGCAGACTTCATCAAGCAAATGAAGTGAGTTTTCAAAAGCTGTGGGTTGGATTACCAACTGCATGTACAAAACCAGAATGCATGTCATTGGTAATTGCTTCAAAATGTTGGTCTGATTTGGGCTTGTTCCTTGCTTGTGTGCCACTGTCACATGCACTAATTTTCTAGCATGTTAGATCACATAACCATGTAGAAAACAAGAACTGGTGTATTTTATGATACATACACCAGTATGGCTCATTAATTGCAATTCATTACATTTAATGAGATGGAAAGGGCTGTCCCACCTTCCTGGGGTCCTCATGCTCCTGTCAGAATAATCTTGTGAAGGGAATGGGAGGCTTCAAAACAGAAACATGAAATAATTGGAGACTGAGCAAATTGTTGAGTGAGGGTCTTGAGCTTCTGAAGAGCACAAATGAGTGCTGTGGGGCAGAGGAGATAACACTAAAACCAAAATACATATGTATGTTTTGCATTAAATGAACAAAGGAGCCCAAGGTAAAGTATGTTCTCCAGATTTCATATTCGTGCTGAGAAACAAAGTCTGTGCTTTAAAATTCCCAAGTGAGAAACTTTTTATTCCTATTCATTTTCAGATGCATTACCAGCTTAGTTGAGGTGCCTTCCTGCCCCTTGTGAGGGATGTGTGCTGGTGTGATCTCTTAACATTTGGGAGTCCTGATTGGGACAAGGAGAACTTCTCTAGGCTAGCTAAATACAGATCAAATAGATAATTTGATACAGCTTTAAATGAAAATAATAGAGGTGTCTTAAAAGAAATATTTCTTTGATTGTCGTCAGTACCTTACTGGAGCAGAGGCACAGATAACCTGGGTTATCAATAACAATGAACAGCTTGGGGTTTCATTCCAGAAAATATCTTACTTTGTGGCAAGTGATGGAGAGAAAAGTTGAGAGCAGTTATTCCCGTATGTGAAGCTGATGTGGCAAAGCAAGGCCTAGTAAAGTAACTCCAAAGAAAGATTTATGCACTTGACATTTTCCATCTTTCCAGCTCTGTCTGATCCAAGCAGCCGACTTTCCACATCCCCCCCTCCTCCTGCCATCGCTGTGCCATTGCTGGAGATGGGCTTCTCCCTCAGGCAGATTGCCAAAGCTATGGAAGCCACAGGTAAATCAGTTTAAACCGAAAGATTGGATGCGCATGAAACACTTTTCTCCAGTAAAATGATTAATTTTTAAGTTCTTTAACCATTTATGGGGAAAAACCGATTTTTTAAAATAACCATCAGTGATAAAATACAGGTGTGAAGCGTGATTTCCCTGCTTTCAGGTGCCAGAGGAGAAGCAGATGCCCAGAACATCACAGTGCTGGCCATGTGGATGATAGAGCACCCTGGCAATGAAGATGATGAGGAGCCCCAGTCGGAGGGGACTGCAGAGTCACGGCACGGGACAATCGTCTCCGGCAGCGGGGGGAAATCTGGAGATCATTGCTATTTACAGTCTCCAGGGGATATCCCTTCTGCTGATGCCACTGAAATGGAGGAAGGCTTTAGTGAGAGGTAACATGTCGTTCTCCTGCCACTGCTTGTGATGTTCCTGATCCTGGACATCTCACAGGTTCGGTGCTGCTGACAGAGTTACTGTGGTGCTGCTCTGGAATTTTCTTACTGCACGAGTAGGAGCAAAGATGCAATTTGTTTAGGTGTACCTGGTGAATTTGTTTTCCAGTGCTGTGCAGAACTGAGCAAGAATGTGACTAAGCATGTTTCCTTAAAAAAAAAAAAAAAAAAAGGAAAGGAAGAATGAAAAAAATGAGGGCTTATAATTGCATTTTAACTGAAAGATGGAGTAAGAAAACCAAATTTTGTTGGTGCACTTCTTCCCCTGCAGTTTATACATGAACTGGGATTTTTCTACCTTTTAAAATTAATTCTTGGTTTGTCCAGAGCAGATGAAACTTGAAGTTTACTTTCTCAGTCACCTTCACAACCTTAGAGCTAAACTAGCTCTTAAAGAAGGTGGTGGTTCTTTTTGGGGCTTTTTGGTGGGTTCTTTTCCGTTGCTGTTTTGTTGGGTTTCTTTAAATCCTGGAAGTGGGGTTACATTTTGAAGTGACCCCTGTCAGGAATCATACCAGCATTTCTTTTAATACAGAGAATGACCATTACAAGATACATTTTGGGGCCATTTGTTCACATTCCTCAGTCCTACTGAGATAGGTGTTTTTAGGTTTCCTCCCTTAGTTTGTCCCAGATTAACTGTCAGTTCATGGAGAACTCATAGATTTCAGTTGGGACAAATAAAGTAACTTAAACTGATGTTTAGCAAAAGATTTGGGGCAAAAGGGAGATCAATTCAGTGAGCAGCAACAGAGATGTTGGGTTTATTTCTTTTAAAAACGAGAAAAAACCCAGTTCAAGCTGTAGTTAACACAGAGATGAGTGCTCTCCCAAAACATCTGCAGTGCTTAGGCCCTATGGAGGGCATCAGATAGGTATTGACATTGCTGCATCTGATTTGTTTGGGGTAAATGTCACAGTCAAAACCACAGCAAAATACTCAGTGCTCAGTGGGACTGAAAATTCTTGACCTCCAAATTCCTCTTTTTTTTCCTTCCACGAAAGAAAGGAAAAAAAAAAATGCTCCTAAACATGACTTTGGTATTTTTCCTCCCTTACTGTATTGTGGTTGGTTAAAACTTGGTTTGACTAACCAGTAAATTACGAACTCTTGTAGCCCTGATAATATGGATCACGTGGACAATGCAGCTGCTGCCAGTGGCCCTCCCTCCAGGAGTCGCTCGGCTGTGACACGGAGGCACAAATTCGACCTGGCTGCCCGGACCCTGCTGGCACGGGCTGGTGAGTGCCCTCAGGGACACATAAAGGGCTGGCACGGGCTGGTGAGTGCCCTCAGGGGCACATAAAGGGCTGGCACGGGCTGGTGAGTGCCCTCAGGGACACATAAAGGGCTGGTGAGTGCCCTCACAGACACACAAGGGGCTGGTGAGTGCCCTCAGGGACACATAAAGGGCTGGTGAGTGCCCTCACAGACACACAAGCGGCTGGTGAGTGCCCTCAGGGACACATAAAGGGGCTGGTGAGTGCCGTCAGGGACACACAAGGGGCTGGTGAGTGCCCTCACAAACACACACGGGGCTGGTGAGTGCCCTCAGGGACACACAAGGGCTTGGCCTAAGCAGGGAGGGAACAGGAGGGGGACTGGGACTTGGCCTGAAATGTAGAAAACTCCCTCTCACCTGTGTGTCGCTGCACAGTTCAGTGTTTCGTGTGGTAATAAGCAGAGGATGGTTAGCAGAAGAGTTACAAATGAAGTCAAAAGTAGAGCCGTCTCTGTTCCATGTCAAATAAAAGTCGTGCTTTCCCGTTTGTCCCTCCTTTTCTGCCTGGAGCGGGGTTGTACCGCTCTGTGCAGGCCCACAGGAACCAGAGCCGGCGGGAAGGGGTCTCCTTGCAGCAGGATCCGGGGGCTCTGTACGACTTCAACCTGGACGAGGAGCTGGAGATCGACCTGGATGACGAAGCCATGGAAGCCATGTTTGGGCAAGACCTGGCTAGTGATAATGATATTCTGGGAATGTGGATCCCAGAGGTATTGGACTGGCCTACCTGGGTGTGTGTGACTGCAGCGGGGGCTGCTTTAACTTACTGCTTTCTGCATGCTCGGGTTTGGGAATTTTCAAGTAACATGTGAACGCTTAAATCCTGTTTGGAAACGGCTCTAAATGCCAGCAGTGCTTCAAATCTTTTTGTTTATTCTGTAGCTTCATTTCTAGATCAAGAATAGTGTTTTCCCGTGTTTCTTGCTCAGCACTTCCCCATGGATGTAGTTTTTCTTCTCTCTCCCCGGACAGATGAGAACACAACTAGCGTGTGTTGTGATGTGTGTAGAGTTGTTCTGATGATATCAGTTAAAAATCAAGTAGGTGTTTCCAGATGGCTTAGCTGTGTGAGATAACACAGTTCTAAATGCCTCTTCTAGTACTGCTATTAACAGTATCAGATCTGCAGCAGCATCATTTGCACTTAAATCAGTTTTTCTTAATTTAATCTTGTCATATGTTTCATTCTCTGGGAAGGATGTGGTGACAGTGCTCACTGAATTGTTGTGTGGAGCAGTAAAATACTCTTGAGGTGGAAAAGAAATGTAATAACAGCAGTTTGGTAATCTTTGGATTATCCATGTCAAATTAGACAACTCATAAGACTAAGGTTTTGTCTCCTAATTGTAATGTTGGCTGACTTTGATATGGAAGCAAGTTTCAGTGTGCATATTGAATTTTTCAGAGCACTTGTTTCACTGAGACACCTCACTGAAATTACTGTCTTAGGACAGAAATGTACTTACAGAAAAATGAACTTCAGATTGAGATAAAACCTTGAAATTGGCTGATACGTAAAATTTGATTGTCTGAAACAAAAAAATATTTGTTAGATTTAGTTTCAGACAAGTTCTGAGGAGAACCAGATCAAGACAGTGTTGCCTGTGAGCAGGGTTAGAAGAGTTATATGTGACAAGAATTATGAGTCAATCTGAAATTGAATCGGAAACTTGGTGTTCATTTGTTTCGGTGTCTCCTCCGAAACTTTACTTCCAGCTGTTTTTTCCTGTTTTGAGGTGGTGTTCTCTTCATTATGTCCAGTGAAAGGCAGAAAGGAAGATTTAGGGACTGGAGTATCCTCTGAGGAAGGGCTGAGGGAGCTGGGACTGTTCAGCCTGGGGCAGAGATGACTCAGGGCAGTCATCTTACTGATGTGTATAAATACCTGCAGGCAGTGTGTAAATCCAGGCTCTTTCCAGTGACAGAACCAGAGCCAGTGGCACAAACTGAAGCCCAGCAGAATAAGGAAACACCTCCTCAACTGTGAGAATGTCCAAGAACTGGCACAGGTTGCCTAGACGGGTTGTGGTGTCTCCATCCCTGGAGATATGGAAAAGCCACCTAGACAAGGTCCTGGGCTTTAGGTGGCCCTGAGCAGGGGGGGTTGGATGAGATGATCTCCAGAGGTCCCATCCAACATCAGCCATTCTGTGATGCTGCTTTGCTTCTGTGCCAGTTGAGCATATAAATCTCACCGTGAGTGTAACAAAAACGTGCCGGGACACCCACCTGAGCTCGTGGGCGCGGTTTGTACCTGACGTGACGGGATCTGTTCTGCGCCAACAACACGTGCAAATCTTCCCGTGCAGCACGTCTGCGAGTCTGAGGACAGAGAAGAGGTGGTGGTCTGTGAGCTGTGCGAGTCCAGCGTGGTGAGCTTCAACCAGCACATGAAGAGGAACCACCCGGGCTGCGGGCGCAGCGCCAACCGGCAGGGCTATCGCAGCAACGGCTCCTACGTGGACGGCTGGTTCGGGGGCGAGTGTGGCAGTGGCAACCCCTACTACTTGTTGTGTGGCATCTGCAGAGAGAAGTACCTGGCCCTGAAGAGCAAATCCAAAACGTCCACTTCCGAAAGGTACGGAGAAAGGAGCCCGTGGAATTCCCAGCGGAGTTCCCCCGGCCTTAAAGTCTCTCGCTGTGTTCGATAAATGCGTATTTAGAAAAGAAAAGTGAACTTGATGCTTCTGGGTTATGAGTGAAAAACAGGGATTTTGCTTCTTATTGACTTGTGGAAACCTTTAATCAGTTTTATCTGACAGTTGCGGTATTTTCTGTGGGCCTTTCTCACATTAATACTGCCAAATTCTTCCCCCTCTCCACACACGCTTTTAGCCCCTTTTATCTATTTCTCTCTTATTAACCATTTCCACAATCACTCACAAACGTATGCAGACGTAACAGGAAGGTTAGGTTTAATAAGGAACCAACTTTAAAATTGTTATGCATGTTTTCAAAATATTGGAGCCATACAGTTGTTTCCTTTGTTCTTTTTTCCTGCAGGTACAAAGGCCAGGCTCCTGATTTGATAGGTAAACAAGACAGTGTTTATGAAGGTAAGTTTTGAAGTTGCACAGTGGTTTATATTTTCATAAAAGTACTTCCATGCAAATAAACCTGAAACTGCACACAAAGGTATATTTTTAGATCTCCCAATTAGATGTAATATTTTAGTTTTGGGCTTTTTTTTTTTAGTTCAAATCAGAAAAAAGCCCAGTGATTTTTTCCCCCCATTTTTCATCTAAGCAGTTGAAATGGCAAATACCTGACTTGGGGTGATAAGGTGTTGTGGGGAGATATTGTGTCCAGAACTGCACATGCAAAACCTGATGTTCAAATACTTCCCTTCAGCTACCTTTGTGGGAGAAATTAGTGTAAATTAATGTCTTAAAAGTCTGCCATTAGACTTGTTCTTAATTCTTCTACCTTTGGCCTGGGAGTGGTTTTCTGCTTTAAACAGATTATTTCTGGTATCTGTAGAAAAGCTTTCCCAGATGGTTCTTTGATTGTGGTCCTTTCTGTGAGCTGCATGATGGCAATTGTATGATTTACCACATCTGTGTATCTGAGACTAAACGAGTGCTCCAGGACTTGGGGCAAGTCCATCTACTGATAGATTAAAGGTGTTTGGATTCTACTATTGTGTCTGTGTCGACATCAGGAGATGAGTTTTTAAGATTTACCGAGTTGCAAACGACAATACGCATTTTGCACCTTGCACTGTTTTGTTTTTTTTTTAATTAATTGGAATTATTTAATATTCTAGCTTTTGTAACCAAGTCTAACTCTATTTCCCCAACTCTAGAAGACTGGGATATGTTAGATGTAGATGAAGATGAAAAGCTGACAGGGGAAGAAGAGTTTGAATTGCTGGCTGGACCTCTTGGGTTGAACGATCGACGAATTGTCCCCGAGCCCGTCCAGTTCCCCGACAGTGACCCCCTGGGGGCTTCTGTTGCAATGGTCACAGCCACCAACAGCATGGAAGAAACGCTGATGCAAATAGGTAAATGTCAAATGCATTTCATTCAAAGAAGAAATGATCATAATATACCACCTTCCCCTCCCCTTTAGTGTGGTTTTTGTAGGTGTGGTGCAGTAACAGTGACAATATTTCCTGCCTGCCACCCTGAGGGAGTGAAGACAGGCTCTAAAATGGCCTTAATTACAGAGCAATGAGGATTATGAATTAGCAGGAGGCTCGAAGCTTCATTTACCAATAAATCTGTGCCCATAGTTCAACAGTGGATGCCAGTAGCATGTTTTGCACTCAAAGAATGGATTTAAGTTGGGACTTCAAGGAGGCCTCTCTGATAGAAAAGGGAAACAGAGGAGTTGAGATTACCCTGAGTATTGTCAAGTAGTTCTCATCTATGCAAATGAGGAAGGATTAAATTATGGAGTGTATTTCAGAGTGTATTTTCCTCTCAGTCATTCTCACCATATAGTTCTCTATGAAATACTGAAAAATGCATGAGTGGATTACAGACTTAGGCTAGATTTACTTCTGTCTGATGAAGTTTTGGTTTTCTTTCAACACTAATACAAATCACGATTGTTTCCAAGGCTGTCACGGCTCAATAGAGAAGAGTTCCTCTGGCAGGATAACCCTGGGAGAACAGGCAGCTGCCCTGGCCAATCCTCACGACCGGGTGATGGCTCTGAGGAGAGTGACAGCTGCTGCCCAAGTCCTCCTGGCAAGAACCATGGTTATGAGAGCACTCTCACTGTTGTCTGTCAGGTTGGTGGCATCTTTGGCAACACTTTTACCTTCAGAACCAGTTACCGAGTGATGTTTGATAAGGACGCGATTTTAAACTATTCGGGGGAGCGACTCTCATTTTCTGTAACTTACATAATACTTCTAAGAGAAAGAATTCTGCTGTTTTTTGTTGTTTTAACCATCCATTTCCATCCATCTTTCCAGTGGTTCCAGTTGCAGCCTGGCAGCTGGCCTGGAGTCCCTGGGGCTGACGGACATCCGGACGTTGGTGCGGTTGATGTGCCTGGCGGCGGCGGGGAGGGCAGGGCTGTCCACCAGCCCGTCCACGGTGTCCAGCTCAGCAGAGAGAGCCAGGGGCATCCACAGCAAAACCAGCAAGCCCATCTCTTGCCTTGCCTACCTGAGCACTGCAGTTGGGTGCCTGGCATCGAACACTCCCAGTGCTGCAAAGCTGCTGGTGCAGTTGTGCACACAGGTAGGATTGCCCTCTCATCTGCGACACTTACATACCTGAGATGAAGCAATCCCTTCTGTACATGTGGATCATTCCAGCTTCTGAGCTCACTTTGAGGATCTCCTCAGAGTTCTTGTTTCTGGCTTTGCACAAGGCTGTGTTTTATTGTTGGTAAAAATCAAGTAACTATACGTCTTTTTGTTGAGTGCTCTTTTTTTAAGTGGGGAAAATGGATGTGCTCTTTGTTTTCATAGGAGTTTTCTGTTTAGGCTCTGGTGGAGTTTTGTCTTGAGTACAGGAAAAAAAAAATTAAAAACCTTTAAAACTTTGCCTGATTCATCTACCTGAAAACGTTCTCTAAAATTTCTGTTTCTGTTTGTTCTGCATAACCAGAACGATAAATAATTATCGTCTTCAATTCTTTGTTTCTAGAATTTGATTTCTGCAGCAACTGGCGTGAACTTGACAACAGTTGATGATCCAATTCAGCGGAAATTTTTGCCAAGTTTTTTAAGGGGGATTGCAGAAGAAAACAAACTTGTCACATCTCCAAATTTTGTGGTTACTCAAGCACTTGTAGCATTGTTGGCAGACAAAGGGGCCAAACTGAGGCCAAACTATGATAAAGCTGAAATTGAAAAGAAAGGTATGATATAGCTTTGGTTTTAAATGTTGATCATTAAACCTTGAGTTCCTCATTTTTATATGTGAGGGAGAGACTTGCTAGAAAAATGTCTAAATAGATATACTCTGAAAAATGTACAAAACTTGTTTTAATCAAAGGTATCTTACGCTTTGTGACAGACGTTTAATTAGAAATACGATCTTATTGCATAATTGAGTATTTAAAAAAAGCCTGAATAGAGCTGAGGCATCAATCCTTGGTTGTGCCTGCTGGTGAAATTAGGGGGAGTAACAGCTGATTGCTTGCACCCAAGTGCTGTTCTGTGTCTGGTCACAAAGTTGTGCTGCCTGTACTTGGAGAGGTCAGGGAGCTGTGATAAGGAGAGGGAAGGACACACAGCAGTGACAGCACTGTCAGGGGAGGCATTTGCTCGTTCAGAAAGCACTTGCTCTCTGAATTTTCCCTGGGGTGGAAATCAGGCTGTTTATAATTCCATTCTCAAGAGCAGAATATTCTTCTCATTTACTAAAAACATAACTGGGGTTGTTTTAGTCTCAGAGGACGCTTTTCCTGAGGGGGTTTTTAACTCGCCCTGTTCTGGGAATGCTGGCTAATGCTGTGCTTCACCTGCTGACTCCGTGTGGTACTCATCCCGGCCATCATCTCATTGTTTCGTTTAAGCAGGTTTAATTGCCCATTTGTATGCCCATCCTTCCTATGATCCCTCTGCTGTAGGCCCTCTGGAGCTGGCGAACGCGCTGGCCGCGTGCTGCCTGTCCTCGCGCCTCTCCTCGCAGCACCGCCAGTGGGCCGCCCAGCAGCTCGTGCGCACGCTCGCCGCCCACGACAGGGACAACCAGAGCGTCCCCCAGACCCTGGCTGACATGGGGGGGGACCTCAGGAAGTGCTCCTTCATCAAGCTGGAGGCTCACCAGAACAGGGTAAGCCTGCTTTGCCTGCCTGAAACGGGAGGAGAAAGCTCTCCGAGCAACTTAGTGTAGGCAGCGTAGAGAGCGGTTCTGTGATGAAAGCCTTCAGGTGCATGGGGACACTCACCCACACTTCTGTAGCTTCCACTAATTACCACGTCTAGTGGGTACATCCAACCCAAACCCCACTTTTGGAGGCTCACCAGAACAGGGTAAGCCCTGCTTTGTGTGCCTGAAACGGGAGGAGAAAGCTCTCTGAGTGACGTTAGTGTAGACAGTGTAGAGAGCAGTTCTGTATTAAAAACCTTCACATCCACACAGAGAATTCCCACACTTGTGTAGCTTCAACTGATTACCACGTCTAGTGGGTACATCCAACCCAAAACCCACTTTTGGAGGCTCACCAGAACAGGGTAAGCCCTGCTTTGCATGCCTAAAACGGGAGGAGAAAGCTCTCTGAGTGACGTTAGTGTAGAGAGCAGTTCTGTAATAAAAACCTTCACAGCCACACTGAGAATTCCCACACTTCTGTAGTTGCAACTGATTACCAGGTCTAGTGGATACATCCAGCCCAAAATCCACTTTTGCCCCTGTTGCCACCTGCAGAGCTGCCTGGTTGGACCCTTTCTGAGGGTTCCAGGCCCTCTGGCTTGTTTTGACTACGACTCATCATTCCGGGCCAGCTGCACGTCCCGGACAGGATGTGCTTGGTAAAATCTCCTCCCTTGAAAAAAAGTGCTAAACAGAAGTTCAAGAATGCGGCACAAACCGTGAGAAAGGGTTTTAGTAACAATCTGAAGTGAAAGAAAATTATACAGCCACATGAAAATCTGCAAGAAGCTGAAAATCTTCAGGCGTCAGTCTCACGTGGCAATTTGAACACTCTTTTTGTAGAGTACATTAAAAATAAAATAATATTACCTTACACATGCGCTGACTGAAATGATTTCCCACGAGAAGCAGTTTTTTGGAGATTAAGTTGTTGCCTGAGGTAAGTTGTTGCACCTCTGAAGCACAAAAATGCTTGACTTTTTTGAAGCTTCAATTAAAGGCATCATGAAGAGTGTTCTTACAGCACATGGAGCCAGCAGAGTCACCCTGAATGTTTTCTTAGACTAGATCTGAATTTGCATTCATTCTTCTGTCATAGTAGTTCACATCTTAGTTCAGTTTTCTGTGCAATAGTGGCCTGTGAGGTGAGGGGTGGCACCCTTATAAAACCTGTTTAATTGCAATATAATTATATATATTATATTATATATCTATATAATATAATAGTACTGTAAAAGTAGAAAAAGAAATCTTGATTGTTATGGTGTATTTCAATGCTGCTGCTGCTGCTCTGTCTCACTGGTTAACGTTTGCTTAATAATTGTGAGCAAAAATAACTGAGTTTCCAGTTCTGATTTTGCCATAATTCCTTCGGTATTTGCAGGTCATGACGTGTGTTTGGTGCAATAAAAAGGGACTTTTGGCCACCAGTGGGAACGATGGCACCATCAGGGTGTGGAATGTGACCAAGAAGCAGTACTCACTGCAGCAAACCTGCGTGCTCAACAAGCTGTAAGTTGGTCCTTTACAGCAGTCAGGGATTTGATTGGAGCTGTAATTGTGCAAGATAACGAAAAGAGTCTGTGTAAAGAGATCATCTGAAAGCTGTTTGAAATGAATTGATACGAGGAGAAATGGGTAAAATAAAGACTGGGGGGGGACTGTCAAGAAGAAAAAATTGAATATCCCTTCAGTGGAGAGCTCCAAAGTATAACATGCTATATAACATTGCAAGTGTGGGCATTGGGGATAAGTGTCAAAAAAGAACTTGTGACTGGTGAGATTCAGGAACTGAGTGTGATTCTTCCGCGTGAGAATGTCTGGGAAGTGCTTTTCTATCGTTTGGATGTGTCCAAAAAAAGAAGAGAGCAGAAGGAAAGGTTAAAATGTAATTCTTTAGTAGAGCACAGGAGAGTTTAACTCAGGAGAATGAAGGAACAGCAGTGAACCACAAGGTTGTTTCCTGATAATTTCTTAGTGGTTGTTCTAATTCTTGTCTGCTTGTCAACTTGTCTGGTAGATGTGGCCTTGAAAGGAATAAATGGAGTGACATAACAGTATTATAGCCTTCATTTTTCTGTTATTAAAAGCAGTAAAAAGTGCTGTTTATGATCTTAAGGGCAATTAAAGGTATCAGTGGTCCTGTTCCAATTAGCCAGAGCAGACAGTGTAACAGTAGAACAGGAGGAAGAGTTCAAAATAGAATTGAGAGCAAGATGTGCCTCTTTAGTGTCTTGTCCAGAAACTTTTGCTCTCACTAAAGATGTCAAATCTGAGAAATAAGTAGGTTAAGATAATTAAATTATTTTCCAGTTGAAATCTAGCTTGAAATTTCTTGGAAATGACTAATATGTCATTCTGTAATCTGAAATGGCTTTAGAGAGAATGTACAAGTATGAGCAGAAAAATGTTCCATAAACCTGCAGTGATGGCAGGACACCAGGTTTTAGCTCAGCTATTTCATGAATTCTGTGTTTTCCTGCCTGCTTAAAGGAAATGCCCATTTTAATTGTGGTTTTTGTTTTTTTTTTTCTGTTACAGAGAAGGTGATTCTGAGGAAAGCCTGGGGTCACCCAGTGACCTGAGTTTATCTCTTGTCTGTTGGAGCATCAGTGGCAAATACCTGGCTGGAGCTACAGAAAAGATGGTGAACATATGGCAAGTCAATGGTATGCCCTTAATTAACTACCTGTGAGCTCTCTGTGATGCTCACATTTGGAGGGAAAGTTACTGCACATTTGTTTACCCAAGTATTTAGGTGTGTCTGCTCTTCAGTTTAAATGCCTGCACCATAATGTCTTGTGAGGAAGGCACTGACCTCGAGTGGATGTGGGATTTACATCTTTGAGAGGGGAGACTTTTAGTCCCTGTCGTCTGTAATCTTGGAAACCTCATTCTTTGCACTTAGGAAAAGCACCTGTGTGAATAGACAGCCCCCAGGGAAGGAATGAATTTACTTCAATAAATATTGAACAATTCAGTTTCATCCTCTACAAAACTATGTAACTTGACTGATAAATGAGATTTTTTTAGCTGTATTTTATATCTGTGTAGATTAGTGGACCATTGCTTTGTATTCTTGTAACTTAGTTGAATTTCTGATAAGTCCTGTTGGTATTTTCTCATGGAAAGTATCTGTGTTTGTTTTCTTTATGAAGATCATGTCGTTTTAAAAGACTTTTTGGTCTCCTAGGAGGAAAAGGGTTGTTAGATCTTCAGCCTCACTGGGTGTCTGCTCTGGCCTGGCCAGAAGAAGGCCCATCTGCAGCCTGGACGGGGGATACTCCAGAATTCCTGTTAATTGGCCGCATGGATGGATCTCTCGCCCTCATTGAAGTTGTGGACATCTCAGCCATGCACAGGCTAGAACTGGAACACTGCTACAGAAAGGATGGTAAGGGACTGCTTCAGCATGGGAAATTAAAATTGGGATACATCCCCCTCCCTTTTTACTAAGCAAGTATAAAATCTCATTTTTTCTTGTTATCGTTCGGGGGGTGGGGGGTGAACTCTGGTACCTGCCCTGCAAGGGTCCTTTGGCTGTGATTGTGGGAGGACAAAAATCTGTGGGATCTCCACCTGCACCCTCACTCCCCCCCAGCAGAGACAAACAGTCTGCAGCAACCAAGTCAAACCCTGACATTCCTGGCTGTCGTGGAAAATCCAGAGAATCCCCCGCAGTGTCTGCTCTGTCTGCAGATAGCGTGGAGTCATTTGAGCTGCTTTTCCTTCATAGTTCCAGGCCCAGGGGACATCTTTTTTTTATTATTATTATTATTTTTCCTAATCAATTGAGAAAATACCTACTTGCTAAGAGAGGCAAGTGGTTTTTCCAGAGCTTTTCTTAGAAGCATCCCTATTTCAGATACATGGATAGGTTTTGGTCTACTTCTCCCCCCCCAAATAATTATTTTCACCATGCCAGAAATTCAAATTCAGTTATTTTAATAAAAAGTAAAATGAGAAAACTAGTACAAAATAATCTCAAAAACTACCATTACAGTGGAACTCAATTTTTATCTTTACCATACAAATTTGAGGACATTTTCAAAGCCAAAGTATGTTTAAGTGACCTTAAAGGTGGAGAAGTTTGTTAAACAAACTTCTCGTAGTTCAGACTAATGCACTGCAAACCCTCTTTGGCAGGAGTGAAGTTAACTGAGCTTAATTAACGCTCGTGTTGTCTGTTCATGCAGTGTCTGTCACGTGCCTTGCCTGGTTCAGCGAGGACAGACCATTTGCCGTGGGCTATTCCGATGGAAAATTGCTGATAGGAACAAAGGAGCCAGGGGAGAAAGGAGGAGTCGTTCTCATCGATGCCCATAAGGTAACTGTTGAAAACTGAGGGATGATTTCTCCTGGCAAAGATCTGTTGAAGCTGTTTTCTTTATTGTAAAGCTGTTTATAGAGTCAGGTGCAGGTTATTTTGAGAACACATACCTATATATGATAAACATATTAAACATAATATATTTTAAAGGAGCAGCCTACCTTCATCAGGGGAAAAATCAAGGAAGGTTTGCAGTGAAAACATCTTTGCTTTCTCTGTAGTTTCTTTCAACAAACTTCTTAAGTCTTTTTAATTTGATAGCTCTGAAAATATTATGATTCCATAATTACAGCTCCCTCTCTGTGTAACAATTTTTTTGAGAATCAAGTACTTTTGGTGTCAATAATTAAAAACTACACTAACTCCCAGAGTGAAATTTTCTCCTCTTACCGTTCCTTCAGACCAACTTTTGCTTGTTTTCCCTCCACCAGGACATGGTTGTGAGCATGAAGTGGGATCCAACGGGGAAGATTCTCCTGACATGTGCCAAAGAAGAGACAGTGAAGCTCTGGGGGTTGCTGGGGGGCTGCTGGAGGCACCTGCACTCGCTGTCCCACCCCGCCCTGGTGAATGGCATCGCCTGGTGTGCCCTGCCAGGGAAGGGGCCCAAGCCCCAGCTCCTGCTGGCCACGTATGTCCCAGCTTTTCTTGTTTCTGGAATTCTTCTGCGGGTCTGTTCCACCAGCCTGGAGTGTGCAGAGCAAAGAAAAGGGGTTTTTAAATCACATTCCTTCAATAAACCGGTGGGAGGGAGGCTTCAGAATTCGGGTGTAAAGGGTGACCCTGGTTGTGTTACCAACTGTTTTCTCCATCTCATGAGACCTGTGTGTGTTCTGGTCCTGCTTGAATTTTTTTGCTTCATTCAAATATTTTTTTCTCATAATATGTTGTCAGTAAAAATTGAAAAGCTGCAGGGTGTGAGGAATAGGAAAAAAAAAATGCATTTATCCGTTGGGAATAACGTGCCTTTCTACTTCAGATTGATTTATACCATACAGTTTTAAATGTGGTAAGACTACTGATAGCATAAATTAATACCTTCGTTTTGTTTTTCTAATTCACCTGACTTGTTTTAGGGGGTGCCACAATGGCCTGGTGTGTGTCTGGACTGTTCCCCAGGATGTTGTGATCACTCTGCAGTCCAGCTCAGCTTGCTCAGAAGGGTGGTGGGAGCAAGAAACAAGTGCCAAGGTAAAAGGAGTTCTCTGGGTGGTTAAAGAATTTTCTCTGCTCGTTGTTGAAATGGAGGGAGGAGAACAATGACAGCAAGTTCCTTGAATGTTTCCTGGGAGAAGACATTTACTGAAAAAGGAATGTCATTTGTCTAGATGTAGCCATTTTCAGAGCAGGAAATGAAAAATCACAGGTTTAAATTTGATGTGGCTAAAGTTTATCTTTTGATCTGTTTTCATTGAAGTTGATAAATTTATACCAACATTTAGGAAGAGTTTAAAGTGTTCTGTAGCTAAAAAGAGTTAAGATAAATTTCACCTCCATAAGCTGTAATGTGGTCTTTAATTTGTAAAGGGAGGAAAGATGTGACAAGATATATAAAATATATATGTATAGATGTATAAAATATTATCGTAGTAATGGGGTTTTTTTAATTATTTATTGGAGCTTACCCCTGCCCATGGATGATCAGTGTTTATTGCAGAACACAGGCAGTCATGCTGTCCCTTTTCCAGTGGGCAGTTCAGTGCTCCATGAGTGTGTGATTATTTACAGGATGGATTCAGGAAGGCAGTGGAAGTCAAGTGTGTGTTCCAGCTGAGGGGACACATCACTCCCGTCAGGACTGTTGCGTTCAGCCCTGATGGACTGGCCTTGGTGTCTGGGGGCCTGGGGGGCCTCATGAACATTTGGTCTTTACGGGTAAGATCCTCTTTGTTGTGGTTTGATTCTGGGTTTTAGCACGAATATCTGGAGTGGTCGAGGCTTCCCCCTCCCCAGATGTGAGTTAGAAACGTTAGGGAAAACTTGGTGTAAAATAACGTTATAAAATTGGAAATAATAAAGCATAGATTGAAATTGTGCTCTCATTGAAGTAATTTATATTTATGGTTTTATTACTGATTAATTCTGTGGGTTTGCTCATGTTAGTTAGGCTTTGCAGAATCAGCCACTCTTAATGGTTGAAATCAATATTCTCTTCTTTCAGGGCTTTTTCGAGAGTCAGGTAATGTGGATTATTAAGCACTTCTAAGTGCATAGTTACGTTATCTAATTAATGTGGTAAAAATCCTAGGTTGTTTTTGCCTGTAGGATAAGTATTTCCCTCTGACTAGCTGTTGAACAGCTTGGGAGGATATCATCCCTCCGAGGTGTGTGTGTGTGCGCTCCAGCAGGAATGCTCTGTGTGCACACGCTGACTCCAGCCCCTCTCTCCTCAGGATGGCTCCGTGTTGCAGAGTGTCGTGATAGGCTCTGGAGCGATCCAGACTGCAGTGTGGATCCCTGAGGTTGGAGTAGCTGCCTGTTCCAACAGATCAAAGGTGACACTGTGCTTGAAGTAACGTTCTTTCACACTTCTTCCTAAAAATACTATTTGTCTGTCTTGACTTTCTTTTCTCCCTCCACCTCCCCAACCTTTTTTTTTTTTTTTTCCTCTAGAAATATCTATCTATCACTCTCATATTTTCCAGACATGTTGTTTTGGCTTTCAGCTTTCACTTCACCCTGAAAAGCCTGGGCTTTTTTATTTGTATCCTGTGATTAATGTGGTGGGGCAGGCTGGGGTCCCTCTGATGCTGCACATGGGTTATATCAGCCCCTCTACTTAATGGAAGCAGATGGAAATGAACAATGCAAATAGACAGAAGACAGATTTATTTCTTTTGGTCCTTTATGCAGCATGAAGAAATGTTTCATTTCCCCCAGCAAATAAGATAATTTGGTGATCTGAGTTAATCTTAAGCAACCTCAGAAGTTGTTAAGAAACGGCAGAATTTACTTCAGCGTTTGCTGTGTCAGGAACTTGTGGCATCTGAACAGAGGTTTTAGAACAGCTGATTATTCCAAAATATGGTATTTTTTGTGAATAAATGTGGCACAAGTTATGACTCCTGTTAGCAGAGTCATGCTGTGTGTGGTTCCAAGCATTCTGTGGTTTTTCAAAAGTGTTTTCTGAGCTCAGACCGAGCATTAAAGGTCACATTACAGGGCCAATCCTAAACCAAGGTTACCTCTAAATTGAATCTTAACTTAAGGATGCAGCACTCACTGAACTGAACTCTTGCTTGTCACCATGTTTGGATTGTTCCTTGGAGTGATAATGGCAGTGTTGCCATGGAAATGGGAGGAAGTGGCAGATGGAGGTGGCTACTCTGTAGCGTTTGTCAGCAGATGATTCCCCACCAGAGACAGAACTGTTTGAACTTGTGTGTTTTCTGACCCCTATGGAAACCAAGATGGCTGGTGATAAATCAGTGGAGCTGCTTGGTGAGTTTTTTTTAAATTTCTGATGTGTCCTGTGCCTGCTGTCACACAGGATGTGCTGGTGGTGAACTGCACCTCCGAGTGGATCTCTGCCAACCACGTCCTGGCCACGTGCAGGACTGCTCTGAAGCAGCAGGGAGTGCTGGGGCTGAACATGGCTCCCTGCATGAGAGCCTTCCTGGAGCGGCTGCCCATCATGCTGCAGGAGCAGTATGCCTACGAGAAGGTGAGAGATGATCCAGCCTTTCAAATCCGTTGGCTGGCACGAAGGTTTGAACCTCAGCTCATTCCAGTCTTTCACCACAGAGAACCCCCCCCAGCCTTTCCTACATCCTATCTGCAAATATCCTTCAGTCTAGTAGTCACCTAATATAAAAAATATTTAAAACATTAGAAAAACTCTGATTTAAGCAGGGAGAAAAGTGTTTTCTGAAGGACTCTTATTTCTGAACTGATTAGAATCATAGAGTCATAGAATTAACTGGGTTGGAAGAGACCTCCGAGATCATCAAGTCCAACCCTTGATCCAACCCCACTGGGATTACCAGATCATGGCACTCAGTGCCACATCCAGGGACGGTGAATCCACCACCTCTCTGGGCGGGCCATTCCAACACCTGATCACTCTCTCTGGAAAGAACTTCTTTCTAATATCCAACCTAAACCTCCCCTGGCAGAGCTTAAACCCGTGCCCTCTTGTCCTAACATGTGTGTTGTCCCTGTGTGCCCTGCAGCCCCACGTGGTGTGTGGAGACCAGCTGGTTCACAGCCCCTACATGCAGTGCTTGGCCTCGCTGGCCGTGGGCCTTCACCTGGACCAGCTGCTGTGCAACCCACCCGTGCCTCCCCACCTGCACAGCTGCCTGCCCGACCCCTCTGCCTGGAACCCCTCCGAGTGGGCCTGGCTCGAGTGCTTCTCCACCACCATCAAAGCTGCAGAAGCCCTGGCCAAGGGAGCCCAGTTCCCAGAATCCTTCAGTGTGCCAGACCTGGAGCCTGTTCCCGAGGATGAGCTCACCCTCCTGATGGTAACGTTGGGTGTTTTCTCTCGGCGTGTTGTTGTGGAGCACGTGGTACAATCCAACAATTTATATTTATTAATATAAGCACCAGAAATGACTGTAAGTTTAGTTTTTAATTAACTGGTTAGAATATACTGTTAGGATTGCTCTGTGTGCAACCACACGAGTCAGTAGCGTATTAAAAAACCAAATTAAACCAACCCAAAACTGTGACAGTAGTTTTTCATGAGACGTAGAAGCAAGAAACGTAGAGCTTTGCATTGCATATTTTAAGGATAACTTTGGCACATTCTTACACCAAGTTATTTTGCTAGTGTCAATTTGCTTTATGACTTCTTATATGTAAACCAAAATGGAAAATTTTTGATTAAGAATTTTTTTATCAGTGAGGTGTTTGCAATTGAATTGTTTCAAGCCAGTGTTTCCAATTGAAACATGTAAAAACCTTAAGCATCAGTAAATAGAGAGATTAATTCATAGTGAATTTTGTTTGGTTTGCTTTTTTTCATTTGGATTACAAGACACAGATAACTGAGTCATTGTTGGTCTGCACACATCCTGATGAATCATTTAGAATAATTTGAATATTGCTCTTAGAAAGGAAAATATGTGCATAATAATAAAAGAATATCCATCTCATGAGCTGAATGTGGCAACTGTGGCTTTTGCTGTGTAGGATAACAGCAAATGGATCAACGGCATGGATGAGCAGATCATGTCCTGGGCAACATCAAGGCCAGAGGTCAGTGCAACTCTTGGTTTGGGGTGTTCTGGAGAGTTTTGTACTCTCTTGAAACATTGTGGGCTGTTGAAAGTTCTGTTGTTGTGAAGCCTCCTCTGCTGCTCTTCCCTAGGACTGGCACCTGGGAGGGAAGTGTGACGTGTACCTGTGGGGAGCGGGCAGGCACGGGCAGCTGGCAGAGGCTGGCAGGAACGTCATGATACCCGTGGCAGCACCTTCATTCTCTCAGGCTCAGCAGGTGATCACTCAAACCCAGTCATGATCTAAGGATTTACCATCTGTTATTTGTCCAGCCTGTCAAAAATCTCCCTCTAAATGTCTTTTCAGTTTGTTCTTTGAATTTACTTCTAACTAACCCAAAACGCGTGTTTTTACTGAAGAGAAAAGTCTTTAATTATTTGGCAAATTCAAACCAAGAAGCTGCTGCAATCTGACAACACAGAATTATTTTATATGAGCATGATTTATTTTATATGATTTGAAAATACCTGCCCCAGCTTTAACGTAATACACATGGCAGTTTTGCTCTCTGAAATAACATCGACTCGATACGATACTGCCTTGACATAATCACAGAGAACACCAATTAAAATGCTCTGCTGCATTTACCATCTTTTAAAACGCCTTCCTGTCTTTTCTCAACCAGGTGGTTTGTGGCCAGAACTGCACCTTTGTCATTCAAGCCAACGGCACCGTTTTGGCTTGTGGGGAAGGGAGTTACGGGCGACTGGGGCAAGGAAATTCTGATGATCTTCATGTGCTCACAGTCATTTCAGCACTGCAAGGTAACACTGCTGGCTTTGAGAGGAATCACTGAGAGAGCTCCAGGAAGCATTTTGGTAGTTAGTAGAACTGTGTTGATGCACTTTCTGCAGATTTAGACATTAAATGTTGTAGTCTTTAATTAGAAAACCCTGAAAAAATTAACTAGACATTATTTTTTCCTTCATGGTTAAGTAGTAATGTGTTCAAACTCCTTAATTTTAAGAAGTCTCCAGGGAAAAGCCTTTGCTCAGGTTAGGAACGTTTAATTTCAAAGCTAATGGCAGGACAGGAGCATGAATTGAAGGTTTTGTTCAAAAGAAAAGTCAATTAATTGCTGTAACAAGGAAACCGTTACTGTGGCTTGTTCTTTTCCCAGCCTCGATCGGCTGCCATCAGGCACACTTGATACGAAGAGTTTGTTATCAGTTATCCTGATCTTTGCTTTCTCCTGTTTGTTATCAGTTGTTCTGATCTTTGCTTTCTCCTGTTCCTCCCCCAGGCTTTGTGGTGACACAGCTGGTGACCTCCTGTGGCTCCGATGGGCATTCCATGGCTCTGACGGAGAGCGGGGAAGTTTTCAGCTGGGGAGATGGAGATTACGGCAAGCTGGGCCACGGCAACAGCGACCGGCAGCGCAGGCCCCGGCAGATCGAGGCCCTGCAAGGAGAAGAAGTGGTGCAGGTGCCAAAATATTCTGTGTTTCCTTCCAGCTGCAGGGCCTGCTAACCCAGTGCTGTGTTTTCTCTGAGTGAAAACAGGCGATTTGTGCCTTCTCTGGGCTTTCTGGATCATGTGGGTGATGTCCAGCTGATGGAAGTTCATACCCCAGAGCCTGTTGTTGATGTGGGGTGTCAATGGACAGTTGGTCCTGCAGAAAAGCTAAAAATCAGAGCGTGGAAGGAGGGGGGTGATCTAAAGGTTATCAAAATGCAGGCATGATTTACAAGCTTCCCTTCGTCTTGGCCAGGTGACTTTGACCTACAGATCTGGTGACCAGGGCCTCCTCCTGAGTGCTGACAGTGCACAAAACCACGTTTGGCTTTGATGGAGGTTTCTTTATGAAAATACAGGATAATCACCCAGCAAATCCTTCCTGCAAATATCCTCTGGGTCCTCCTCCGTAACATTACCATTGAAAAGAATAAGAGATGGGTTGCTGGAGAAATCATTAATGCTAAAATGCCTTTATTTTAGCTCTTTAAAAGTGAATATAATTCATTAAATATATGTGAATATATACATGGAAACAGCCATCTTGTGCCCACATTTAAAATGTGTGTAAAAAATGACGTTTATTTTGCTTCCAGATGTCATGTGGCTTCAAACACTCAGCTGTGGTGACAGCAGATGGCAAACTCTTTACATTTGGAAACGGTGATTACGGTCGATTAGGACTTGGAAACACTTCCAATAAGAAACTTCCCGAACGAGTGACGGCGCTGGAAGGTTACCAGATTGGACAGGCATGGCTTACCTAAAACTAGCCCTGGATCTGGGTTGAAAGCTCATGTTTGTGATGTATTTAAGTGTTCACTTGTGGCTTTTTAACCTTGGCTTTTGTTTCGGTCGTGGTGGCAGAATTTGACTCTCTTGATCCTCGTTTTGCAGAACTGCCCATGGTTTTTTAACATTTTAACATTTCAAGGTTGAGTCGATGTTTTAAGCATGAATCAGTGAGCTTCTTCACATTTTTAAACAGGGAATATGAGTAGCACAATACAATCCTTTGGCTCTGTGTGCTGACAGGAACAAATACCAAAAATTATTACTAGTGTGTTCAGAGTGTCTTCAATAAGCAAGGGAATTTTTAATGGTTCTACAAAGATACTTCATTTTTAAACACGGTTTTTCTTCTGAAAGGCAGTTGGAGTGTTTGAGTTAGTAATAAGTCAGCAAAAACAGTGGTAATAACATATTTCTCTCCCTCAGGTGGCCTGTGGCCTCAATCACACTGTAGCTGTGTCAACAGATGGCTCAATGGTCTGGGCTTTTGGAGATGGAGACTATGGGAAGCTTGGTCTGGGAAATTCCACTGCCAAGTCCTCACCACAGGTTAGAATTCACGGGGAAATTACTCTTAGCATAAATTCTCGGAGTTGTTCTGCGTGTTGCGAAGTGTTCAGAGGGTAAATTATTAATTCCATGCTGTTGTAACACATTTCTGACACAAATAATTCTGATTCTGATTATGCTGAGCCTGGTACTCTAAAGAATTTCACAGAAATCAATCACAGTGACCTTATCTCAGTAGCGATACAAGTAGAGAAAGTCTGAGGTTTCTCTTAGAGAAGAGAGATTTCTTGTTTTGGAAAATTGGAAATACTTCCTCCAGTATCCCTCCCCCTCACTCCCAGTAAAAAAAATAGATATTTTGAATCATTGAGCACAGAATAAGATGTTACTTCCATTAAAGAAAACTGTGTTTCTGTTTCCTGTGTTAATTAGTATAATCAACAATGTATGCAGTGCACAGGGGGAATTAAAAAAAAATTTCCTTTTTTGGAACCAAGAGTTTCAGATGAAATTCATGTTTGCTTTCTGTTTATACTCCTGTAATGCCATACCTTGTTTTCCTTTCACTTTACCCCTTAGAAAGTGGATATTCTCTGTGGAATTGGAATAAAGAAAGTGGCCTGTGGAACCCAGTTCTCTGTTGCACTGACAAAAGATGGTCATGTATATACTTTTGGACAAGGTAAGACAATCAGCTCTGTGGACATTCCCATCTGCAGCCTTGTGTGTATTGCACATGAAAAGGAGGACTATTAAGACACATTTCTAAGACTGACCTAAAGCTACTTTTTAAAAAAGTGCCGTCCTAATCTGAATTTTGGGACTTCAACAACGGAATTTTAACGTGCCCCTAAAATCCAGATTTGTAGCTCTATGTAGTTTGATCTTGGGTCAACCTTTCAGGCTTGGAGGTGGTTTTTTTTTTCAGTAATTCCCTTTTTGAGGAGCATTCTCCTAAAATTTCATTGAATTCCACACATCCAAGAACATTGGGTTACTTCAGAGTTTACCCAGTCGAATAAAGCGTATGGTTGGACAGGAGAATTTCCACGAGCACCCAATTATAAACACTGAATTCAAACAATTAAAAAAATTTTCTCAAACCAGTTAATTCATCTGTATTTGAAAAGTGCCCATTTCCATCTGGAAGTCTTGGGTTAGCAGAATTTGCTCTGGTTGGAGCCTTCAGAGTAGGAAACAACATTGCTGGTTTGTAGGAAACATCTCCCGCATTTCTCACGCCGGTGTCCCAGTTCCAGGATTTTTATGGAACTGCTTCCTGTCCCTCCCTCCACCCTGCTGCTGGGTGGCTGTTGCTGTCCCTCCCTGGCTGGCCCTGTCCCCAGCGCTGTGTCCCCGTTCCAGATCGCCTCATCGGACTGCCCGAGGGCCGCGCCCGCAACCACAACCGGCCGCAGCAGGTGCCGGTGCTGTCGGGGATCTTCATCGAGGACATCGCCGTGGGAGCAGAGCACACCCTGGCCCTGTCCTCCACGGGGGATGTCTATGCCTGGGGCAGCAATTCCGAGGGGCAGGTATGTGGGGTTTTTATCCTCCTAACCTTCGTAAGGCTGGAATTGTAATTTGCGGGTGTTTTTGGAATGTTGATCGTAACGACGCTTTTGGCAATTTCCATCGTTTTCCTGTTTATTCCCTGGAGCAGTTTGGGGAGGCACTCAAAACATTCTAGACAAATTATCCTAATCCAAGCTTTTTTTTGAAAAAATTCATAAATTTTTACCTAATCCTTGAGCTATCACCAGTTTTTTCAACGTAATAAAATTTCCTTGTCAATCAGATTTGTGAACTCTCCATTTTCGTAGTGAAAATGTAAATTACTCTTTTTAAAGGAGTGATTTTATTAAGTCAGAAAAAAATGTAATAAATGATAAATTCTCCCTCACCACATGTATAACTCAAATTTTTGGAAAGGACTTGAGCTTTTTGACACATCTGCATGCTACGAGAATCAGAGAGAGCCTCTTCAGACAGCAGCTGGTGGTGCTGCAGGAAGTTTGGGCAAACTTCATCCTCTGCTGTTTTAGGACTGAGTTTTTGAGAAGGCTTGTTGAGCAAGTTTTTTAGGATAATTTCTCTTTGGGGTTTTTTTATTACTTTTGATTTGTTGTTTTTTTGGGTTTTTTTCATATGGTACTTTGTGTGAGCAAGGGAAGAAGTTGTTAGGGTAAAAAATGAAAGAAATTGATTCTGAAAGCTATTTTATATGATTTTTGGTTCAAAATACAGGTTTTGTGTGAAGTAGTAAAAAAAATATACTCTTGCCATATGAAATTTTTCACCTAGAGAAAATGAAATTAAAATATGAAACTTGGTAAAAAGTCAGAACAGCTTCGGTAAACTTTCTCTCCACACAGATTGTGTTTTCATAAACCACTGTAGCATTTTATATGCTGGAACAAAAATGGTCTTTAAATGGCACAGAGGAGATAGATCTGATACTGATAGATCTGCTATTCCAGGGGAGTACAGATGCAATATTTTATCAAAAAATAAAAGAGATATATAGAGAGAGAGTAAATATTTTTAATCTCAGCACATGCTGTAGATAAATACAGTTTTTTACCGTTTGCTCCGAGTTTTTGCTTGGAGAGTTTTAGAAGCGTCACGACGGCTGTTGATTGTTCCTTGTCCCTTTTCCTCCTGTTCCCAACTATCAGCTGGGCCTGGGCCACACCAACCACGTGCGGGAGCCCACGCTGGTGACGGTGCTGCAGGGCAAGAACGTGCGGCAGATCTCGGCCGGGCGCTGCCACAGCGCGGCCTGGACGGCGCCGCCCGTGCCCCCACGAGCTCCGGGTGAGGGACTGCCGGTCACACCAAAAGGGCTCCTTCTCCATCTACCAGGGGAGGTTTGGGTTGGATATCGGGAAGAAATTGTTCACAGAGAGTGTGCTCAGCCATTGGAACGGGCTGCCCGGGGAGGGAGTGGAATCCCCGTCCCTGGAGGTGTTTAAGGACAGACTGGACGTGGGCTGGGAACCACGGCGGGGTTGGATCGAGGGTTGGACTCGGTGGTGAAGGGACCAGACTGGTGAAGGGACTTGAGCACAAGTCCTGTGAGGAGAGGCTGAGGGAACTAGGGTTGTTTAATCTGGAAAAGAGGCGGCTCAGGGGTGACCTCATCACTCTCTGTAACTCCCTGAAAGGATGTTGTAGCCAGGTGGGGGTCGATCTCCTCTTCCAGGCAATCAGCAATAAGACAAGAGTGCACGGGCTTAAGCTCTGTCAGAGGAGGTTTAAGTTGGATATTAGAAAGAAGTTCTTTCCAGAGAGAGTGATCAGGCACTGGAATGGGCTGCCCAGAGAGGTGGTGGATTCACAGTCCCTGGAGGTTTTTAGGATGAGGCTGGATGTGGCACTGAGTGCCATGATCTGGTAATCCCAGTGGGGTTGGATCAAGGGTTGGACTTGATGATCTCGGAGGTCTCTTCCAACCCAGTTAATTCTATGATTCTGTGAGCTCAGAGATCTTTCCAACCAGGCTGACTCTGTGACTCTAACTGAGGATTTATGGCTGTTGGGTTTAGTCCTGCTGTTCCTGGGCTGTGAGTGCCACAAGAATCCTGAACATGTGGGACAGAATTTGTTTGGTGTTATATCCATGCAGGGTGTCTGATTATCTTAGTCTTGATTGGGCTGCTGTCGTGGTTTAACCTCAGTAGGCAGCTAAGCTGCTGTGGGGGAAAATCAACTCCAACCCCTCTCCCCTTTATCAAACCCTGCTTTGTTTCTCTCCCCATGGCAGGTGTTTCAGTGCCTTTGCAGCTTGGTTTGCCTGATGCCATCCCACCACAGTACGGGGCACTGAAGGAAGTCAGCATTCACACAGTGAGGGCGAGGCTCAGACTGCTGTACCACTTTTCTGACCTCATGTACTCGTCGTGGAGATTACTCAACCTCAGTCCCAATAACCAGGTAAAATTCCTTTGGAAAAAACTGCCTGGCCTGTGTTGTGTTATGCTGTGTTGTTAGAGAGTTTCTGGCCAGGTCCAGATGAATCTTTGTAAAAAAATTAACATAATATATAGTTTTGGGTTAAACCAAACTTTGTCAAGGCGGTGTTCTGTATTTTCATTTACACTAGCATTGACATGTCAGTGTTTGAGTTTCCAAAAGCTTCAAAACTCAACCCAAAAAGTGCTAACCCGTTTCCTGAAGCGCTGTAGTGCCAGTGATTGCTCTGAAGGGTTTTCCTGTGGGAAGAATGGACATGCTGTCCTTTCCTGATGTGTCCATTGTGGTTGCTGCTGTGTTTCAGAACAGTACATCTCACTACAACGCTGGCACGTGGGGGATAGTGCAGGGCCAGCTGCGGCCCCTGCTGGCACCGCGGGTCTACACCCTGCCCATGGTGCGCTCCATAGGCAAGACCATGGTGCAGGGCAAGAACTACGGGCCCCAGATCACTGTGAAGAGGATCTCCACCAGGTCAGTGCTGCTCCCACAGCCCCTGGGGGGTGCTGGTACCCCCCATCTGCAGAACTGCGGGCGTTCCGAGCTCCCTGTCCGGGTGTGTCGGGGCAGGGATTCCTCACCCCTTGTGTTTGAGTTTCATTGTCTGGGTGTGTCAGGGCAGGGGTTCCTTACCCCTGTGTTTGAGTTTCATTGTCTGGTTGTGTTTCTCCCCCCAAGAGGTCGGAAGTGCAAGCCCATCTTCGTGCAGATAGCCAGGCAGGTGGTGAAGCTGAACGCCTCGGACCTGCGCCTGCCCTCCCGCGCCTGGAAGGTGAAACTGGTGGGAGAAGGAGCTGACGACGCAGGTGGAGTGTTCGATGACACTATTACAGAAATGTGTCAGGTAGGTCTGGGAACTCCAAAGGTTTTGTTCTCTCTTGGAGTGTTTTTCAGATTTTCCTTTTTGCAGCGTGGCAGTGCTGAGCCCACAGCACCAGGGCTGCCTGCTGAGGGGTGTCCCTGAGGATCAGGAAATCTTCCTGGCTTGTGTTCAAGGAGGTGCTGTGAGGCCACGCTGTAACTAGTGGTACAGGAGGCTCCTTGGAATTCTGAGATGGCCCCTACACATCCCAGGGGCATTTTGCAGCCTCCCATTCTGTCCAGCCAGGACCTTCTTGGAGGAGCTGTGCTGTGTTCCGTGCCTGCAGTGCAGAAACACCTCAGGCAGGTGTTTTCCGGGTTCCTGAAGACATTGTCCCCTCCCCCTCTTTTCAGTCCTGGAAAGATCATCAGTAGCAGGTTTTGCCTGTCTGTGACCAGGATCTTGTGGCCAATGTTAATCTTTTCAGATTCCCCAGGAACTGAAGGCTCCAGACTGCAGGACTGAGACAAAGCTGGTCCATGCTCCATCTTCTACCTGTAGTTTTAAGGATGTGTCTCAGCCCTGCGATTGTAGCCAGGAGGAGGATTCAGGGCAACGCTGGCTGCAGAAGTTTGGTTGTTCCTTAATCTCCCTGAAGCCTCAAACCACAAAGAATGAGGATCAGGGAGGTTAATGAATCTGTCTGCTTAGTCTGGGACAGGACAAGAGCTGTGGGTAGTGCTGGAGCTGGCACTGGAGTTAGAGTTGGGATACAGGATGGAAAAACTGAAGAATTCCATTTATTAGTGGGTTTTCTGAAGCCTGTAAGACTGGAGTTGGGTTGACTTGGGTAAGGGCTTGAGGCATAATTTTTGGATTCTTTCCTAGACAGTTTACATTCAATCTGAGGTGTGATGAGGGTTCAGAACAAAACTGAACATTTTTTGGGATCTTGGAAAAGCTGCAGCAATAGGAAAAAGAGCTTGTGGCTTCTGATTATTTTGGAAACAGGCACCAGGAATGTATCACAGAGCAGCCACAGGAAAATAACAATTACAGCTTGACATAAGGGCAGGTCTTGGGGAAAGAAAAAAAAAAAAAGCTTTCATTACTTACAGTCTTCCCACCACGTTTACTTTCTCTTCAGTGTTTTGTATTAATCTGTAAAGAGTAATCATCACTATAGTGGAACATTCTGTCCTGTAATGCTGTAATGCCTTGATAGTTCTGACATAGGTTTGTTATCCTGTACAATAGTTCTGACATAGGTTTGTTATCCCTGTGTCTAAGAAGCTTTTTGGTTGTTGATTTTTAAGGAACTGGAAACTGGAATCGTGGACTTGCTCATTCCTTCCCCAAATGCTACAGCTGAAGTTGGCTACAACAGGGACAGGTGAGTTGGGCAGGGCTTGCTCTCGTTGCAGGTGGGAGGGGGTGAAAATCCCAATCATCTCGTGGCTGTTTTATACCAAATGATGAGGCTTCAGGACTGTCTCCAGTATATTTTTTCCTTCAGGTTGCCATGTTGCTTTGTTATGGAGGAGAGGGGCACGGTTTTAACACGAACTTGCCGGATTGCTGATGGCGATTTGTTGTTGCAGGTTTCTCTTTAACCCTTCAGCGTGTTTGGATGAGCACCTGATGCAGTTCAAGTTCTTGGGCATTCTCATGGGGGTGGCAATTCGTACCAAAAAGCCATTAGATCTTCATTTGGCTCCAATGGTCTGGAAGCAACTCTGTTGTATCCCACTCATCTTGGAGGATTTGGAGGAGGTAGATCTGCTCTATGTGCAGACCCTCAACAGCATTCTTCACATTGAAGACAGTGGGATTACTGAAGAAAATTTCCATGAGGTAAGGTGGGAAGGTTGAGGCTTTCAGGTTTATTCTGGGAGTGGTTACTTTTATCAGATTGACCTTCACTTCAATATGTAAATCATTTCAGTCTCCATTCTTGGCATAACAAGCACTTAGTGTGCATTTAGAATAGTTTGTGATCTTATCATAGATAGTTCTAAGTGACTTATAGGAAAAAGTTCAACTGGAGTGACTTAACACTGAACATGCTTTTCCTGTTTTTGCATCACAGATGATTCCTTTAGATTCTTTTGTTGGCCAAAGTGCTGATGGTAAAATGGTTCCCATAATCCCTGGAGGGAACAGCATCCCACTTACCTTTTCAAACAGGAAAGAGTACGTGGAGAGGGCGATTGAGTACAGACTCCATGAGATGGACCGGCAGGTGAGACTCCTTGGGACTCAGCCCTGTTGGTAGTGGGGACAAGGGGGTGATTTATCCCAGTTTCCATCACAGTTTTTGATAAGAAAAGCTTGGCTTTCTGCATCCTGACCGTGTCCCCACAGCTTTTCTTGCCCCACAAGCTGTTTTGGGGTTTTCATTTCAATTAATTTTTCTCAGTCATTGCTCGGTTGGCAGAAGAGCATTAGAAGTCAGAGCTTGTCTACGTTAGAGTATCCCACTGAAACCACTTGAGAAAACCACCTGCAGTTTTGCATGCTGGGCACAACAACTGGACATTTTAACAACACAGAGCCTATCTAAAGTAAATATTATCGACAGACATTTGTTTAGTTTGAAACTGTTTCTCTTCTGCTGTGACACAAACACTGCAAACATTCCATGACGTGTTTTGGGAAGTGTTCGCTGCCTGTTTGCCATTTGATCAGTGAGCCTTGTGAAAGCAGTGCACTAATTACAAGAGAGAGATGCATGTGTGGTGTTACCAGTGTCAGAAAAGCAGCTTTCTCATCACAGGTACCAAACCCAAATCCTAAATCTCGTAGAAGGAGAACGTGGTCCAGAAGTGGCAGAGGTGAGAAAGTCGCACTTCAAATATCTGCTCTGTTTCTGGCCAACAGGTGGCTGCTGTCAGGGAGGGAATGTCCTGGATTGTTCCCGTTCCTTTGCTGTCCCTTCTGACTGCCAAGCAGTTGGAGCAGATGGTCTGTGGGATGCCGGAAATCTCCGTTGAAGTTCTGAAGAAAGTGGTGCGATACAGGGAGGTGGATGAGCAGCATCAGCTGGTGCAGTGGTTCTGGCACACCCTGGAGGAGTTTTCCAATGAGGAGAGAGTCCTTTTCATGAGGTTTGTGTCGGGAAGATCTCGACTGCCAGCCAACACAGCTGATATCTCTCAGCGATTCCAAATAATGAAGGTTGATAGGGTAAGTTGCCTGGTTTATTTGGCTGGTTTTATTAATTATTAGTACTTTTTTATTCATCTCTAGTATGGTCTGTCCTTTGCCAATAGGAGACAGTTTGCATTGTTCTAAATTTAAAGCAAAAGCATGGGATGGGACGTGCTCTGAGTTAAGCCCAGACGTTTTGATTGTGCAGAAGGACATAGGCTGCGTGAATTGCATCTTAATTAACGTGATGCAGTCAGAGACTGGAGGTCAAGACAAGTCCTTGCACTAGAAACAAACCTTCTCCTATTGTAACTTGCCCCCAGTGATTTTCTGTTCCAATCCCTTTTATCATTTGGCAATTTTCATTCTGTTTTTAAGTGTTAATTTTTCCTAAGTGATGTTCAGACACACTCTGGTTTGGAATTGAACATGGCTTGGTACAGATTGCTGAGGAGTGGGGTCAGCTGCTCAAAAGGCTGAGTCTCATCAGTGGGTTGGGTTATTTACAGAGCAGGTGACCCAGCAGTGGTTTTGCACATACTTAAGGATGAAACAAATGCTGTAAACGAGGGAGGCCAATCCGCTTCCTAAAAGGAATTTGGGGCTGGAATAATTTCTTCACTGATGATCTGGATGAGGGGATGGAGTGCACTCAGCGCTGGTGAGGCCACCCCTGGAGTGCTGTGTCCAGCTCTGGGCCCTCAGCTCAGGAAGGACATGGAGGGGCTGGAGCAGGGACAGAGAAGGGAACAGAGCTGGGGAAGGGACTGGAACACAAGTGCTGTGAGGAGAGGCTGAGGGAGCTGGGGGGGCTCAGCCTGGAGAGGAGGAGGCTCAGGGGAGAGACCTCAGCACTCTCTGCAACTCCCTGACAGGAGGGGGGAGCCAGGTGGGGGTTGGTCCCTTCTCCCAGGAACCAGCAGTAGGACAAGAGGGCTCGGTCTTAAACTGTGCCAGGGGAGGTTTGGGTTGGATATCAAGAAGAAATTTTTACAGAGAGAGTGCTCAGCCCTTGGAATGGGCTGCCCAGGGAGGGGGTGGATTCCCCGTCCCTGGAGGTGTTTAAGGACAGACTGGATGTGGCATCAGTGCCATGGGCTGGGAACCACAGCGGGGTTGGATCCAGGGCTGGACTCGATGATCTCAGAGGTCTTTTCCTGCCCAGTTGATTCTGTGATTGTGTGACTGTGAGGATGCAGAGCGGTGGGGGCAGGGCAGGAGCAGTGAAATGCGGGTGCGTTGCGTGTTTTCCACGATCCCAGCTCAGCAGTGTCCCCCTTGTGTCCGTCCCCACAGCCTTACGACAGCTTGCCTACCTCACAGACTTGTTTCTTTCAACTGCGGCTGCCGCCGTACTCCAGCCAGCTGGTGATGGCCGAGCGCCTGCGCTATGCAATCAACAACTGCCGCTCCATCGACATGGACAATTACATGCTCTCCCGCAACGTGGACAATGCCGAGGGCTCCGACACGGATTACTGACACTCTGTGAACAAAACCACCTTCCTTTTCCTACAGATAGCGCCCCGAGTCCGAGTCATCGTCGACATAATTTTACAGTAACCATAGATGTTTTAGGAGCATAAAAAAAACCCCAGATGTTAATAGGTGGTGGCCACATTTTAGTTACTCTAAATGTAACAAACAAACAACAACAACAACAAACAAACAAAAAAAATTAGATGTTTTTATTTTTTTGTGATTGTACAAAAGAAAAAAAAAAAGGAAAAACAAAACAAAAAAGTCTGATGGGTAAGTTTTTTCTCCTTTTTTTGGTCACTTTTGATAAGTTTGCATGGAGACATTTTGGTGCATTTTTGTTGGGAATAGTACATTTGTAAGCCCTCCCAGTGAAGAGTTGTACATCCCAATGAAGAGTTGTACATTGTGTATAATTGTTCATTAGCCAGGACTGTTTTACATGAATATTCACATATTTATTTTGTTTTAATTTGAATTGCCTGTGCAGGGTTCCTTATGCAGAGAAAAATAAAGCAAATTCAAGGACCGGTGGCTTGTTACACATTTGTGAACCGAGGTTGGTTGTCTCAGTCTTCGTGTTTGTTGTGTTTTGTCTCAGGAAACTGTGATGTTTTACAGTGTTTAGACAGGGTGGGACATTTGCAGCACCTAAAAGTGTTTCTCCTCACTGACTGTGATGTGTAGCACTGCTCTGTGTTCCCAGTGGCCCAGGGGTTGTTGCTCTGTTGGGATGTTGATCCTCCTGCTGCAGTCCAAGTCCATCTTGTGCTTGGTTTGTCCTTGCTTTTCCTGTAAACATTTCACTCCTCCAGAGGAGTTGTTGGGCCACCTGCACTCAGAAACCTTGGAATCTTTTGGCAAAATAGTCATGTTTTTTGCTGTACAGATCAACAGAGTCGGTTCCTGATTGGAGGGCAGAAAACTGACGGTGGAGGTGACAGGGCAGTGGTCGAGGCTGGGGGTTTATGCACGTTTTTGGCTCTGCTTTGCTCTCCTTTTGTTGCAGCTGTACCTGCCATGATCAGCGTGGTTTGGGTTGCTCTGGAGTTTCATCCTGGGTTAGGACAGGAAGGTGCTGCTCAAAGGAACCTCTGCTCCCTGTGCTCGCTGAGTGCTGGGCAATGGATCATTCCCAGGGTAGGAAAGAGCTCCTTTGTGTCACACCAGGAATGCTGCTTGGTGGTGAGGAGAGGATTGACCTGGAGAGCATCCCCAGGTGAGTCAGGGCTGCTCTGCCCCCGTTCCCCCCACCCTCATCCCCTCTGAGCTCCTGAGGGCTGCTGGGGGCATTTATCAGTGTCACCTCACCTGGGACACCACTGGTCCCTCTGAGGCTGGAGCACAGGCAGAAATTCCTGCTGTTTCTCCTCACTGTGTGCTCCCAAGGATGGATTGGGAAATTCCTGGCTGTCCAAGACTGAACAGCTCAGAGTGCTCAGAGCTTGCTGAGCTGCAGGACCGTGCAGGTCTGGGCTTTACTGGTGATGTTTTCTCAGTCAGGACTAGTTGTTGGCTCGTGGAGAAGGTTTGTAGCTGTGACCCCCACGCTGCAGGGTGGGGGGAAAGGAGGAGCTCAGGGCCCTGAAATCAAGCAGACCCTGTTTCCTTCCTCACTGTGTGTTGTGTTCCAAACTGGAGTGAGCTTTTGGTGTCCCATCGCTGTGTTGGGGGCAGTGCATTCACACTGTGGCCTGGATTTAGGGGTGTAATACATAAACACTACAGTATTACAGATTAAAGGGGGTTTTTATCCCCTGTAAGTCCTGTGTTACTGCCTGCTAGACCTGACTGAGGGGTCTCAGTGCTGCTGAGTTGTCAGCCTGTTTCGGTCAGGCAAAGGAAATAACAGAGCTGTGCCTAAAAAATGCAGTTTTAAATGGACTGTGCAATTGGTTTCTTGGGTAATTAGGGTGTTTTTGGAGGCAGTTTACAGTAAAATGAAAGAGGATGTTGATATTGGTAAACATTGATGTTGATTAAGGGATTGTGTTTGATGGAACTGTAATGGCTTGGAGCTGAAGAAAACCACAGGCCTGTTTAATCCTTCATCATACCCTGAGTAAAATGTTTTATAAAAACTTTATATACTCAGTTTTCAAATTGGATTGCTAAGTGAGAAAATTTGCTATTGGTGCTGAAAAAATGTATCAATTTGAACACAGTTGTGTTCAGATTTTACTATGTCATGAACAAATCCCCCTGTCCATGTTGGGGAGGAGCCAAGGAAAATGACTTTGAGCATTTGTATGTAAATAGGCAAAGAAACCAAGTGGGTGTTTTAAGATCCTATTTAGCTCTATAAAGTAAAAAAAAAAAAGTTACAACCCCCTCCCAAACAGTCCTGACAGAAAAGTGGCAGAAAGGTTTCAATAATAAGTGGACAGATGCAAACTCACTTTCGTACCTTGTAGCTGCTTGAAAGTCTGTTCTGCTCCACCTCCAGAGCCGTGTCCTTTCCTCCCAGGGCTTGGAGCGCTGGCAGCAGGAGAAGCTCTCTGGTTGCTGGTGTGACTCTGTAAATTCCTGCCTTGTTTTGGCTTGTCAGCACTCCCTGAAACTGGTGTTGTGTGTCCAGGGCAGGAGCGGGGCCAACAATATCCCAATCCCCACCTGACAGTCGGTCTGTTGAGCTCAGCCTCCTTTCCAGGCTGGCACTGCTGGGGTGGGATTTGCTGTTTGTCCCTCCTGGCCACACTTGCAGTTGTGTTTTCCTTTGTGCTGCACCAGGAGCCACTGAAACCTGAGGGCTGGGTGGATGAAATGCCAGAGCTGTGCAGTGCCATTAACTGCCTGAGCTGTGAAGATGCCGTAATGCAGTTCTGTTCCTTGTTTGTTTTCTGGCTGAGTGTTTCTTACAGATACTCACACTGAGCAGGGGTTTCTCTGGAACTGCAGCTCTGAGTGATTGAGATGCTGTAAATGCTGTGGTTTATTTCTTAGCTGAATTAGAGTTGCACTTCAAGGCTCTCTGTGGGTGCAGCTCACGAGGAGCGTTTTCAGGAGCTCAGAGCTGGCTCAGCAGCTTTTGCAGAGGAAAGAAGCCACCCCAGGCAGGTAGTGTGATAAAACACTTCTGCTGAAATGGTTTGAAATTTACCTTTTCTGGAAATACAATTTTACAGTTCTAGGCTTGCAGTTAAAAAAAATTGGCTTCAGGTGGAATTTGGATAACGTTTCCATTCTGTCTGTGCAAACATGAACAAAAGACAATGTTCCAGCTGAAATAAATCTCTTTCAAGGCCACCTGAGGCACCAGAGCCAGGCTGGTCATTAGGACACCCCAGGCATTTTCTGCACATTAATTAAAGGAGCGACAGTGTTTGTTGTAAAAAGAATGCAGCAAGGAACTGGAAAATCAAACCAGTCCTTCCTGAGGAACTGAGGCCCAACTTCAGGACTTGGTTCTGTAGTTTAGATGCCAATGAGCCAGGGAAAAAGTCTGCTCTGCTTCAACAGCAGTTTTTCACTTGTTCTTTGTGTTTTAGAGAGGTACTGCAGTCACACCATTGTCTAAACCTAAAACATGCATCATGTTGGATATTTGTGACAGCCTTGAATAGTTTCTGAAGAGGTCAGAAAGAACAAATTTCCCTGGGGGAACAAGTTGGCTCTTACAGTCTTTTAGTTACTGCAAAAAAATAAAATGCAGGCCAGTAGTAAAGCTGCAAAACTAAACCTGCAAATAGCTGTTAAAATGTAGCAGGTTATTTTAAAACCTTGACAGCCTTGACGTAGTTGAATCCCAGTGATGGCAATTGCAGTTCATGTGTTTTTAACTCTGATTTCCTCAGTGTTCTGTCACCTGCATGTAAATGGGAGCCAGGCCTGCTGTGCTGCTGTAATAAAATACTGAATGTTTGGTCTGTTGTGGAACAGAGAGGTGGAGACTCCCCGTGGGACAGACCAGGATTTGCAGAAGTTAGTATTTCTAAATTTGCTTTAAGGACACTCACACACACTCAGATGTTCCTGCTCTGTGCAGGGTTTTAATTTAAACCAGAATTTTATCTGCTGTGCTGCTTCACTGGGGTCCAAGCTGGGACTGTTCAGGACCCAGGGGTTGTGAAGCTGCTCCATGTGCAGCCTGGGCCTGTTTGATGTGGGAGCTGCGCTGGCACTGCTTCTCCCCCACGGAATCATCTGCCTGCCTTGGGAAGCAGAAGGTTCTTGGGTGGGTTTTACTGGATGGGACACATTTAACGTCGTTAAGGTATTTAAGGTAAACACAAGTTCAGCTGCAGAGCCAGCAGGAATGGCAGGACTTTGTGGTGCTCTCCAGGAGTCAGAATTCTGAATTCACACCAGAACTGCTGAACGAAATGGGAAATAATGGAAAGCAGACTGGGGGGATGTGCTCACAGGGCTTGAGAAATGCTGTAGTTCAACCAGCCCCTGCAGAACTCCCAGCTGATGACAGTGGTTCTTCTGGACTGTGAGACTGAGACTGCCCCTCCAGTCAGAGCTGGGTCAGGTGATTGCAGGACACAGGAAGGGACACTCAGAAATGTTTAATTTTCCTCAGGAAAAGTCTGGAAAGGCAGAAGGAGTCTTGAACTGTGGTGTGACAGCCCTGAGTGCCAATACCACCCCAAACCCAGGGTGCCACAGCCAGTTTTCCACAGCAAACTGTGTCAGCCGTTGGTTGTCAGGTTCTGTAGGTGATGGCACAGCATCACCTGCGCGGCTGCAGGTTGTGCAGTTCCACTTCCATGAAGCAGAGCGGCAGGAAAGGGACAGCCTTGTGGCCTAGGATGAAAACAGCTCCTTGGTGTGTTCTTTGCAGTGAGAAGTGGGTGTTTATCTCCAGCTGGGCTGTAGTGTGTCCCTAATTTAGCATTTAAAGCCACAGGTTGGAGGTCACTGTCCTTTCCTGTAGGTTAGTTCTCTGAACCAGCATCTGTTCATGTTGTGTTTCCTTTCCTGTCAGCTTGGAAAGATTCCCTGGTGTGTCTTACACTGTGTAAGTGCCTCATGCAGGGGTCAGCCTGTGTGCTGCGTGCATGGAACCCCTCATTTCATCCAAGAGCCTGGTAAATGATCTCCCCCTGGGAATCACTAATGCAGTGCTGCATGACAGGTACTCTGCTTTTGCTGGAAAGACCTTACAGGGAGTGGTTACCCCCTTGGCAGATGGAATGGTTGTATGGACATGCCCTTGAACAGGAATTTGGTGATCACTGTGCCCTGAACTTTGTGGCCATCCCACAGTGACTCAGTGTCTGCTCTGCCCATTATTGAGGAGTTCAGAGCGTGGGGTCCACTCTGAACCCTGTGATGGAACCTCAGTGGAGGCTCTTCCCTCATCTCTGTGTGGATCACTCTACCTCAATTCCAACTCCTCCTGTGTCCTTGTTTTTCCCATGCAGTCACTGGTCAGGTGAACCATGCCATCCAGCCCACTGCTCCTTGTCAGACTAATGTGAAACTTCCTTAAATTCCATCGAATTTATTGAACTCTTCAGATTATAATTTGGCCTCCATCAAACACCCTGCTGCTCCCTCCTGAGGTGCATTCACTCACCCCCACCAGGAGGGACCCCAGCTGCAGCGTGGGGCAGGTCTGGCACTGTGTGACAGCAGGGCAGGGTTTTCCAGTGTCAAGGAACAACAGCAAATGTTTTTTTCCTGGTGGAGATGCCTTTTCCCTGTGCACCCTTTACAAAACAAACCAGAAGGCAGGGAAGTGCCACAGTTCATTGCCCCTGAGAGGAGAGCTCAGGTGAGGTGAAATACCCCCCCTGGTGATACCCACCCTACAATCTGCTGCTCCTACAGCTGAACCAGCTTTCTTGATGCTCTTTCAAGCATCAGCTTTTTCCCTGGCTGGCTGTCTGGGATCATGCTGGCACTTCTGTCTGCTCTCAGCGTCACTGCAGGACGCTGTTCCCTGAGCCTCTGCAGCCCAGCCTGTGTTATGTTCCTGCAGAAATCCACGTGCAAGGTGTGCAGGGCCCCCCCGTGCAGCGTCACTGCCCGCAGGGTCCCGTCCGTGATCCGAGCGCAGTTCTCCAGTTTGAGCGTCCTCAGCTTGGGGCAGCTCCTGAGGAGCAGCAGGATGGAGTCATCTGTGACGTGGCCACACCCAGACAGCGTCAGGGACAGCAGGTTTGGGCACCTGGAAACACGATGGCAACAGGTGAGATGAGATGGTGGCAGAAATAAATCCTGATGGTGTCAGGAGTAAACATGAACTCTAGAGAAACCCCTCTTCATCAGCAGGGGCAAAAAGGCACGAGTAGATGGGGGCACATGGACATCTTAACCCTTACTAATGGCAGAGCTTTACCTCCTTTGCTTCCTGTGGTGGCAGCACCTCCAGCTCAGCTGGCAGTGCAGAAGGGGCTGTGGGGGCCTCTTTGAGCTGCAGCTCCGTTGTGTTTTCTTAGGGAGGTGCCAGGTGCTGTGATGAGATTCATTCAGGCACAGGCAGTGGTGAGATTGATTTCAGGAGGAAGGTGAGGACAGCTGAGAGAAGAGACTGCTGGATGTGGGCAGGTGGGACACTCCCACTCTGGATTTTCAGGAATTACAGGTCTGTTTGAGCTCCTTGGATTTACCGAGTGGGTGCCAGCTGCTACCTAAGAGTGTTGCTGTTTGAACCCCACACAGGTCTTAAATTCTCCTCTGGGTCACTGAAAGTGGTGAGAACTCCACTGGCAAACAGGGACGCAGCAAATGGAAAAAGCTTTATTTTGAGCTGCTGGGGAAGCTCAGGAAAGGCTGTTGCTCTTTCCACTGGCTGTCCCTGAGCCAGGCCTGGAGCAGCTCTTTGTGCTGAGCAGGCAGGACCCCTGTGCGGTGTCTGGTTCCTGCTCACACCTCTGCAGGTGTGAGTTCAGCCGCACAGCCTCCTGTTCCTCCATCAGCACAGTGATGGGCAGAGCACGAGCCTCTCCATCCTGTCAGAACTGTGGAGTCCCCGGGCACTTCCACGGGCAGATCTGTGTTACAGCATGTGCTTTTAGGGGTACAACATTGGGGGGGCAAAGAGGGGGGCATCTGTCCTTAAAAATGTTCCTCTGTCTGCACACCCCAGCCCGTCACTGCACGGGCTTGGTTTGTTACTCCACAGTGAGGAACAGCTGGAGAAAAAAAGCTGGCAGGGTCAAGAAAGGCTCTGACCTCCCATCCCTGGAGCCTTCAACAAAAGTACTTTAACTCAGAAAAGCTGGATGTTTAATTTGCATTTGAATGCTGGGAGTTTTGTTGGAATGCTTCCAACGATTGCTTGTATTATCCCTTGTAGGAGCAGGTGTGCTGATCCTTTGCTTATGTATTAATCCAGGTTTTTATCAGTTCTAGAACAGTTATTTCTGAAATTTGGTACTTGGAATTTAACACCCTGTTTTGAACCCCCGTCCTTGTTTTGAGCTCTGGTGCTGCCTCTCCCCAGACATCGTGTCCTGTCGGTATCCCGGGATTTTGGGCTGGTTGTGGCACTGGGGTGAACCCTGACAGGGCAGGCACTGCCACCTCCTCACGGGGAGGATCTTTGATTAGAGCTGCTTTGTAAAACCAAGCTGTTTGTAAGAAATGCTCTGCACCCAGGGCTGCTTTTCCTCTTTCTCCTCCCTTAGTGTAGTTTAATCGAGCTAAACTTCAGTGTAAAAGCAATACTTATTTCTTAGAAAGAAATTAATGTGATGTTTAGTAAGATGATTAATGAACTTGGCTGTTATGATGTGTGATTTGCTGTTTGAAATCGTGACTTTCCCCTGACCCACCCCCAGCCACTGCCCGAAGGGTGGGGGTCAGGTCAGCAGCAAGGTGGGAGGCACTACTGCACTTTCCCATATTAGTCATTCTTCAAAAAAAATTAGAAAAAATAGACTTAAGGAAAGTCAATATGAAGTATTCATTACTGCCACCATCACATGAACTTAACATTGTATTTAAATTGTAAAGGGAAAGCACTCATGTACTTCATGCTCCATTTCAGGCAGATTGGATGGAGTACTTTAAAAATAAGGTCATCAGAAGCTCTCGCTTCTCGCATTTCGCTCATTTCAGGGCAGGGAATCTGCACAGTCACACCCAAGGAACGTACCTGTTGCAAACCTGTAGTAAAAAATCCCTGACAGTGTTCTCATGCCTGTTACAGAAGTCTCTCTGGAAACTGTTTTTCATCCAGTCCTCAATGTTACACACCTTGACTCTCTCGGAATACCAGCAGATGGATAAGTATTTTAAAGCAGGTCCCAGGAGAAAATTATCCTTCTTTAGTTCCACTGGAGAATGGAAGTTCAACAAAGACCACAGCAGAGGATCCTCAAACACTTCTAGTAACTTGTGACATGTTTTTGCTAAATTTTTCCTGCTGTTTTTGTCCAGGAAGGAGAAGAGGTGCAGGAGGCATTCCCGGTTCAGCTGGGTGATGTGCATGGTGGGGCTGGAGCAGTCCCGGTCAGTCCCCTGGGCTGGGAGCAGATGGGGCTGGAGGGGCTCAGCCCCCCCAGGGCTGGTGCACATATATGGTCGTGGAATGGGGGTTATTTTTGGCCAACAGCTGGTGCAGCAGCTCAGAACAGGGAAAGCAACGTGCACTCAGCTCGTGTTCCCTGCTGCAAGGGCATGGGCTGGGCTGGGGGACAGCAGGGCCTGCCTGCCATCAAATGCTTCCTTAAAAGGGATTCTTTCCCCTCGGAGTTGAGCACAGCTCCTGGGAGTTCCCCGAGTGGGGATGGGGTGTAGCTGCAGCTGCTGCAGCTGCGGGGAGGGGCTCTGCCAGCCCTTCCCATCAGGAGCAGCACTTTGTGTTTACAACAACTGGGGCTTTTATTTGCTCATTGATTTTTTTGAGGATTTTTCTTCTGCTTCATGTTCAAGGACTGTTACACTGGATAATGACCTTTCAAAACATCATCTAAAAATGCCCTGGGTGCTTTAAGCACATCCACACCCTCTGCAGCTTCAGTTTGCAGCCTGGGAGCTGTGGGCAGTTTCCTGCACACTTATTTGGGGCTGGGCTCTGATCCCATAAACAAAGCTGGCCGTGTCCCACCTCCTGCAGGAGGGAGGGGACGGCACAGACTCCTGGGAACAGCAGGGCTGTGTTTAGCTCCTTGTGGGCTTGTGCTTTAAATAGATGTCTTCTATTAGCTTGAGGTTTACGAGTTGGGTTGGGTTGGTTTTGTAGGTTTAGTTCTGTCACCACAGACACCTTTTTTCCACTTTCTGGTGGAAAAAGGAGATATGGAAATGGTTTTACAATTGTTTGTTTTCCAGAAGTTGGAGAAAAACAGTGACACCAAATTGGAATTAAAAGCAGTAAGAGAGCCCTTGAACTTTCATCTTTGTAAAACAAAAATGCTTGGGATTAAGGCATTTTATATCAGTCTTCTGCTTGGTGTAAATGCAAGAGAAAACATTTAACAAATGGGTTGACAGAAACAGCAGAACAGTTCTGTGGGGGTTTACAAGTACAGCTGGGAGATTGATGTACCCGTGCATGTTAATTAGGAGTGTTTTCATATATGACAGGGCTGAGTGGGACCCAAGGTCACCTCTTCCTTCTTACCCTGAGAGATTCAGCTCTGAGGAACGAGACCTGAAGTGTGTTTGCAGCTGCAGTTCCACCTCCATGTCCTGGGGAAGTGCTGGAGTTGTGTGTCTGCAGATGGTTTCTCTCTTTAGTCATTTTCTATGTACAGTAAGCTGGGCTGAACAACAGCCAATCTTTTTGGTTTCACACCCTCTGCCATTTAATCTTTTCCTTGAAACGAGAAGGACATTCCTGCTCAGAGCCAGGCTCTGGACAGTGCCAGGAGTACTCCAAGGAAGGGACAAGGTTTCACATACCAGGTAAGGCAGTCACTGGAGAACAGCAGCTTAAATAGTGTCCCAGCAGGTGTTGTTCTTCATTCTCGTATCTGCATTTTCAGCTTTTCAAAGAACTTACCTTTATTTGCGAGCAGGTTTGAACAGCTGACACTGCTCGGGATTGTTACACGTACAGGAATATTATTTTTAAAAATATTATTAAAAAAACCCCAACCAACCCCAAAAGACAAAAACCCACCAAGGCAGCAGAGCTGCATGACAGGGTAAGCAGTGCTGGGCTGGACTCCTGCCAGACAGAGTTGGGGGCACCACAATCTGACCTAAAAATTAACAGCACTGCAAAGCTGGGTGTAGAGGTGGTTCATGGTCAGGAACACTTCAGTGGCTTTATTTTGTTTTCCCCTGCCAGCTGTGTTCAAAGACTGACCCTGAAGTTGTTCTGCAAGCCTGGAGAAGGACAAGAGGAGTTTCATGTTCTAAGGAAAGGAGACACTTTAATGGCACATTTTCCATAAACACACTGTGTGATGAGATATAATTCACATTCAGCCTGGAAACAGTCCAGAAACACACAAGATGAGCACAGTCAGTAAATCCTCACTGAAAATTACACACAAGAGTTTAATGGTAAACAGTTACAACTATGGCACTACAGTACTTGAGGAGATCCTAAAGCACGTTGGAATCGGCTGTCAAGGTGCCAATGACCTCATCAGTAAGACACAGACACAGCAGTAATGAAACATTGTTGGGGAAACTTTGGAACAACCACGTGTTACACTTTCCATTGCTGGACTAAAATCCTTACAAATCCTCCTGCTTTCCATCCAAGTCCACTGTCCCTGCCTGTCTCAGTTCTGCACTCTGCTGCTGACAGCTGAGAGCTGGACAGTTTGCACTTTGTTTGACGTCATAAACCTTGTCTCCAGTCGTAGACGTGGCTAAACAATAACTAACAAAAGGACAACCTTCGATGGGACAAATTCTGGTGAAAAAGACGCAAGTCTCTGAACTGTAGAGAGCAGCTGCTGCTTGCACAGCAGAGTCACAAGCAAGAAAAAAAAAATTCTTGCCAGCCTAGTGTGTATTATGATCAGCAGTAAGTAGAAAAGAAACATTTGGCTTAAATGAAAGAGATATCCCCCCCCACGAGCTAGTAGATAAATATAGGATATACAAGTAAGGTTAAAAATGTAATACTAGGCCAGGTGCAGTACATGTTACTGGTTCAGTGCTCAGTTACTTTTTTTTTTTTTTTTGACACCACACTGAATAGAATACAGTGGATAAGCAAAGTTCTCCACCAGGAAGAGAAATACTTGTGTTGCCACAACAAACTGTTCATACTGTCCATCTGGGTTTGCAGTGGGAGAAAGTTAAATTAGGAAAGGCTTTGCAGTGTCCTTGTTCCAGCAGAGCAGATGGCTGAGCCCTGGGCAGCTCCTGCTGCCAGGACACGCCTGCTGTGATTGCATTGAGTGCCCAGGCCAGGCAGACAGCCCTGCCCAGCCTGGCTGCTACAGACACAAAAGGGACTGGAAGGAAGTGAGAACAGAACTCTGACCCAAAAAAAAAAAAAAAAAAGGAGAAGCTGATTAAAATAAGTGAATGTTGCTGAAGGTTACGAATTTAAATTTCTAAGAATACAGAAAGGCACATTTACATCACTGTTCTGCAAGAACACTGCACACACCTGACTATGCAAGGTAAATTGCTGCTGGCTCACAGCTCCTGCACTTTAGGCTTGGCATTGGCAAAGGAAGGGAAAATGCTAAAGGGCTCCAGTCCAAGCAGCTTGCAGACAAAATGCAGCTCTGGATGGGATCTACACACCTTCCTACTGTGAGCAGGGAGGGGGATAACGTGCTGTGAGGCTGCTTTTCCTGCCCCACGCCCTGCCTGCAAGAAAGGGAGACATGGAAGGTGACAAACTATCTACAGTTTAAAGCAGTGAACAGTTCTGTGTACTGTTCAGCTTCATTAGAAGACAACATCCTTACACACGTGACTGTGAATCCAATAATACCCCACTGATTTCACCTGCTGCAGCTCCATGTTCATCCACCACTGGCTGTGCTGAATGCTCTCTGCAGTTTTATCTGAAGCCAATTTCTCCCCTTCCTGGTTTAAAAGATGCTGTGAAAAAGCTCTCCAGAATGCCCCTGTGTCCCGAAGATGTGGCTGTGATTTGTCTCTGTACAGCCCCTCCACCCTGCCAGGGCTTTCAGAAGCAGGAACTACACTGGGGAAATCACATTTGGAGTTCTTGTGTGTTTTCAGACTACTGTAACTTATTGCTAACAAAAAACACAGCTGAGAGGGGCTGTTTGAGGGTGTGACTCTACATTAAGTACATTCCCACCCCTGTGAGATTTGAGGAGTGCTCAGCTCCTTGCTTGGCACAAGGGGCCAGCCAGAAAGGGTGGGCTGAGGGAAGAGACCTGAAATGCAGCACTTGGCAAATGTCAGAGTTCGTGTCACGCTCCTGGCTCGTGCAGTCGTGGTTCTGCTCCCCACCTTTTTTCATCTTGCTGACTTCCACTGTTCAGAACAGCAGGACAGCTAAAATTCAGGTTGCTTTTTTAGCACAGGTCTCCAAGTTTTAGGAACTGCATCCCACTGCCAGGGTCCACCCAGAGACTTGGCTCACCCCTCCCTCACTGGCTCTGCTGGGAAACCATCAATCTCAACACAATTTAAGACAGGTAAATTTAAGAGTTTTTTTAAAAATTTGAAGTGGGTGGGGGGTAGGGCATACGTGAGGAATACTTGAATTAAATTGCAGGATTAATACAACTGAACCAACTGTTTATTTACAACGATTCCTGAAAGTCAGCAGCCTGAATACACACCAATATAGCAGCAATTACCTGGTCTAGTTAATGATGCCACGTCTCTCCTCTGCAGACAAAGAATGATTGGTCAGAGGTCACTGTTTAAGTTTCTTGCACGAGGGGAAAATAGGACGTGCAAACAATTCCTTGGTTGAAAGAGATTAAGTCATATCTAGGTGACAGCACTGAGAACAGCGTGAAGTTGTATTGCTCTTCAGAAGCACATTTATCTTGCTTGTAAGGAGGACAGAAAGCTTCTTGGATGTAAATGTGCCTTTAGAAAGTGAGAACTGAAAACATTAATATAAAAAAAAGTCAAATAACTATTTCATGAAACTATATATATAAAAATCGAGTTATCACAACTAAAGCAGCAAATCAAAATCTGCTGAGGTTTTCTGGTATAACTAAAAAAAAAAAAAAAAAAAAAAAAAAAAAAAAAAAAAAAAAAAAAAAAAAAAAAAAAAAAAAAAAAAAAAAAAAAAAAAAAAAAAAAAAAAAAAAAAAAAAAAAAAAGTTAGTTTGTGTCCAAGTTCAGTAAGTCAAATGCTACCATCGACACAACAAAACTAAAACCCACAAGAGGAAATTGCAAAGTGCACAATGAAATCAATAAGTCTTGGATCAAGTATTTATGGAGAAATGGAAATGTTTTGTCCGGTGGACTCGAGAAGTGAGACTGAGAAGGAGGTATCAGAGTTTGTCGGCGCCGGGCCGGGCCTGGCGCTCCACGTAGAACAGGATGTAGGCCTTGGCCTTGCCCACCGTCTCCTCGTCCGTCAGGGTCACAGTGCTGTCGTTGAAGTGGAACCAGCGGCCCTCGTGCGCCGCGTACGCCGTGTAATGGCCAGAGCCCACCCTGCCAGAGAGACAGTGTCACACACAGAGCCCACCCTGCCAGAGAGACAGTGTCACACACAGAGCCCACCCTGCCAGAGAGACCGTGTCACACACAGAGCCCACCCTGCCAGAGAGACAGTGTCACACAGAGTATAACCCTGATCCTGACACAGTCACACACACAGCACCTCACTCCGATCACTGCCTGCCAGGGCTGAGACGCTGCCAGGAACCAGCACTGACAGCCCCCACAGCAGTTGGGAAGGTGCTTCTCTGCTTGAGCTGTGCAGCTCCAAGTTCTCCAAGGTAAGATTTTATATTAAGTAAAATAATCACTTACTGGGAGGAGTTTAAAGGGGTTTTTATATAAAACCCCACAGGTTTTGTGCCAGGCTTCTGCAACACTGAACTTCACATCTGCCTAGGTACAAATCCAGCCCACTGTCTGTTAGTCAAGCATTAGCTATAAAAATCTCACTGCACTCTGTTTTCAGAAATCGTCCCCATTGCAGGCTGGACACAATCACACTGCCTGAATATAACCAAAAGCAGTCACAACAAACCTATTCCCAGAATATCAAGAGGGAAATTTGTGTCACTACATGGGCTGCCCTCAGCAGTCAAATCCAGGAGTTCAGACTCTTCCTCTAGAGAAAGCAAAGGGAGGGCCTTTCTGCACAGAACTGAGACTTCAATCCAGGTATCAGCAAGGTCTTGATGGGGTTTAATTTCTTTAAGAAAACTCCTTTCACAGCTCCCCCTCAGAGAGTGACTGCCTGAAGAACAAGGACACACTTCTCTCAGGATAAACAGCTGTCTTGTCCCTACTCTTTTACTCTCAACAGAGCTGTCAGAGATGGGAAAAAGTTTAAAAAAAACCCACCAATTTTACTTCAAAATATGACCAGTAGCCAGCCCTGGGGCAGGACTGTGGGGAGGAAAGGTGACAGTGGGTAAGTGCTTTCACAGTGCCCATCTCAGCACACACACACTCTTCTTTAGCCCAAGTGCACGTGCACTTTCTGGTTTGTACTAAGAATTTCAACATGAGACATCACCTTCTGAAAGGCCCCCTGATTCATTCTCTTGGTTTTTCTGTTTTCATTCCACCTCACGCTACAAGTCATTAACCCCAAGGAGTGCCCGTGGGCATTCACAGCAGTAACTGCACAGAGCCATCTGAAGGTAATCTAAATTTAGTTCCATGCCAGTTCATAAATTACTGCTTATTTCATTTCCAGCAGTTAAAATACCTTCTCTAGGGACAGAAACCCCTTCATTAACTCTGCATGTACTTGAGTGGGAGAAGGTCTGTGCCAGCACAGCTCCAGTACTCACCCTGAGCCATGATGCACAACCACAGCCACGAGGTCATACAGGCAACTTTCTGGGCCACTGTTTTCAGGCTGTGGTTGGAAAAACAAAAAAACTCTTCAGATCTCCAGAGCACCTACTGTCACTTGTAATAAATGTAAAATTTGTAACAAAACCGTGCAGGGAGTGCTGGTGAGCCTCCTTACCTCTAACAAGTAGCATTTCATGTCTAGGCCTCGTAAGGGAAACTCAACATATGTATCGACCTTGTTTCTCAGATATGCTGTCCAGTGAAAGCGTTTCAAGTGTAAGCATAGCACCTGCAGGGCACAGGGAGGGAAGGCAGTGTCACAGGAAGGGATGGACTCAGGCCCTGCAGCAGCCTGGCAGGGCCAGGTGCTGCCTGAGCCATAATTTCCCTTGGCACACGGTCACACACCGTTACTTTTCGTGCCTACACAAACCTTTGGTAGTTTCTGAATCCAGAATTTTTTGGTGGACTTCTGTTTCTTTTTGCATTTGTGACACATGTACAGCTCTGTCTCATCAAGTTCCTCCAGGTCTGTAAAACTGCGAAGACAATCTGAAAAAGAGCAAGACACAAAAGCACTGAACACAACCCCATCAAGAAACCTGATTGAAGATGACATCGAGCTATTTTTGTAACATGAAATACAACTAATACAGCAACACAGCTGAGCATGGGCTGCAGTCACTCTAGTAATATCCACCTGTGCACTAAGGGGTTTGAATACAATGCCATGTTGTTCCTGAAAACACCTGTAAGTAGTTTAAGAGAAAAAAAAAAAAAAAGGCATTCACAAAAATCTCTCTTTTTCAAACAAACTTCTGCCCAACATTAAGCACAGCTGGTTTCAAAGAAAGCCGACTGACTTCTTAAAGAAGCATGTTCAACTCTGGAAGGTGGTTTGGTTTAGATATGAAATGAAGAGAGGCAGTATCAGTATTTCACAATCTGCAGCAAGCACACTGACACATCTGTAGAAATTACCATCCTGTGGAGGGTCAGTAAGAGCACTGCTGCCCAAGCTGCTGCACTGCATTTGTTGTTTAACAAGCAGAACCCCCAAGAGCCATCATCCCTCCTGTGGGCAAGGGCTGGTGCTGCTGAGCCTTGGCAACGCCCACACTGCAGGGGAGATGCATCAGAAATACTCTGACTAGAGAGAGAAAAACCTCTGCTGCAAATTGAAGTGACCTCCTGAAGCGCTCCCAGGCCCCAGGCCATCAGAGCACGATGTCAACACACAGTGACTGGGGTAAGGCCTTCAGGGAAAATTATTTTGGCACCTCCCAGCCCTCTGAGTACGCTCTGGTGATGACTCCCCTGGCCAGGCTCCCTTACCTCGTAGCGTGCACATTGGTCCACTTTCTTGGTTTTTAGAACGTTTGTTTCTGAACTGACTTGGAATATCTAGGGAAAGGTCTGGAAAAGCAAAGATTAAAATAGAAATGAATGAAATGTGAATAAAACAACGTCAGGTCTTTCCAGGCTGAAACTCTGGTTCAGTCCTGTGACATCTACATATATCTACAAGCCCCAGATTTATTTCCTGCCCTCTGTCACGGGGTATTTTGGAAGCAAGAGGCACCTTACCTAGGAATGGGTCGAACTTTCTAGATTCAGTCCCACATATTAGGCAGTTGACTTCATTTTGAAGGATGCCTCCAAAAATGGCTGTGACAACAGTAGATGCTCCATTTCTGGACAAAACCACATCAGAGAGGTACAGTCAGTCCCAATGTCTGAGCTCAACTTCCCGTGCCTGGTACGTGTTTACACCTCCCACTGCTGGGCTGAGCTGTCTGTCCGTGGGCAGCAGGGACTGGGGGCACCCACTGCAAGCATTTAGTGGCTACACAACAGCTATTTAGTGGCTACACAATTTCTGCTTCACCTTGCAGCTAAAGAAAGGGTGAGCTGCGTGTGCTCTAAGCAGATGCTCAGCCTTTTCTGTGGTGCAATACCCCAGGTGGCTGCATTTCTCCAGCGGAGCTCTACCTGATGATCACACAGGTACAGTATTTTGACACTGTAAATAAAACTGTATCTGAAATAAAATTTCTTCCCTCCTAGAGGTAGGTCAAGCCTATTTTTGGTTCAGTTTGACACTCAGTTACAAGTACTTCTGAATTCTTGGGGGCACATTTCTGCACTTCACTGCCAGGGACAGCTCAAGCTGCATTAAGACATGAAAAACAATGTGCAATACCATCATCATTGCTCTCTAAGCTTTCACTGCTCTCCTACTTCATTTTTTTAGCAGGTTATGTAATGGGCCTGCTTCTCATAATCCAACTGAAAAAAACCCAAACAAAATTTAAGTTAGTTAGGTTATTAAACAACTGCTGACCTTGCTGGATTGTGCTGGTAGATCTGACACTACAGGCCTGCAGAACCCTGTGCTCCTGACCTGCACCCCACCTACACATATACAATTCATCTGAAAGCTGCCTGAGCAGGAGGAAAAGGCTCCTCAGACACACTGGTGCACGCAAGGAGAGAGTTTGCAGCACATTTATTACTTTACTGCAGGTGTTCGAGTGGATGTGACCTTACTTTGCCCTCAGCAGAACACGGCTGACTCCACCTCACCCTGCATCTCCACAGCCACTCTCGAGGCAAATGCAGAGTAAAGAGGTGAACAAAGTTTAAATTCTCCCTGGATTTTGCCATGCAAAATGCTTTCGGTGTTTTCAAACACATGTCAGTTCTACAAACATTTTAAGATTCTTCTGTGGGGTTTTTAAGCATCAAATAACACAACATAAACGCAGTGAAGAGCTCAGTCTGAACTCCAGGCTTTGCCTAATGAAGCCCCTAAAAAATCCTGCCTCTCTCAGGCCTGCTCGCTGTGTCCCCATCAGCACAGCAAGGGAAAACTCCCTCAAGTTTTATGTAGGGGATCAAGGACCAAATGTTCAGGCTGAACTGACTTAACATTCCTTCCTGAAGCAAATTAAAAGGTTTTCTGTCTGTGACTGAATCTGAGAGCAAACACAGCTGGGACACAATTCAGACACAACAGTATTTTGAGAGGTACAGAGAGAGGAGTGAAAGACAAAAATGACCCCTCTGTTAAGGTACACAGTAACATGAAAATCAAAACTACCCAGAAAAAAAAGCAGCAGCTTTAACTGTCAAGTGATAATGCAAATACAGCAAGATCATGTGCAGGAAAACTGACTGCAAACTGTGACTGCATTGCTCAGTCCTTAATCCAGGAGCTTTGCTCCAGTCAAATATCCAAACACTTCACCATCTTTTTTTTGCTCCTGTAACATGCAGGGCATCCATCACCCTTATTATTAAAATGCCTTAACAACTTAGCCTGTGTGCTCACTGACACCTTTGGAAATTGCTGATCTGAGACACTTCCCTTTGAAAGGACACAGATCCCACAGATGCTCACCCTTCATAACCTGCAGCTTCGCAATTCTTAAATTACAGAGGCACCTGTAAAACTCAAAACAAGGAACCCAGACTGGAAAGTTCAGGGCCACCCCACGTGCAAAGGCATTAATTAAGGCTTTGAGGAAATTAAAGGCCCCTCCTCACATGCAACACTTGTTGCTTGCAGACAGGCTGGAATTCTCTTGCAGAATTACTGAGCGAGAGACGCCGTTGAAGCCGCCCTGGAGCTCCAGGTGGAGATGGTCCAGAAGGTAACGCATGAACTCGTGGGCATCCTGCTGCTGGTACCCCCTGGGGAGAGAAGGGACAACAGCAACATCATCACAAAACAGCTCTGCTGGTGACACACAGCACCAGGCTCAGGAAACCTTTGGCCGTTCACTCCTCCTGAGCAGAATTTACACACGTGATTTGTAACCAGAAGGTTCTCCAGGCAGCCTGTGGAAAGCACAGCAATGTCTGCACAAACTGGTTCTGGTCCTTTGCAGCTCACGCTCTCTGCTCATCTCTTTTTGAGGAGGGGGGAACATTTAAGAATATGCATTTTGGATAGGAAGAGAAAACAACAGGGAGCAGCAGACACCTCCCTTTGCTCAGGAATTGGACTAACATAACACATTAGGCCCAGCCCGAGCCAGCAGCACCCCAGGACTGAATCATGTTAATAAAAGTACAGGATGTAACAGTGACTCCCCCTCCACTTGCTTTGTCACTGACTACATTTGATTCACACAGCTGATTCACAGGAATCCCACTCACACGCTGCACTGTTTCTCCCTGCTCTCAATGTGCCACCAATTATGGTCAATAGATTGTATTCTCAAACCTGGTAAGAGTCAAAAGAAAGGTACAACTACATATGTATTATTCATGTAGGATTCAGAGTCAGATTTGTGAGTGGTTTTCATTCAGCAGCTGATCCCACTCGCTCTAGCAGGTCCCAGTGTTTGCTTGCCTGTTTGTTCCCCTCCCCACCAAAGGCAGGAATTTGATCTCAGGGTTTGTTTTCCACAAGCATTTTTCAGTAACACCATGAAATCTGAAATAATTAAGACAAGAGCACCATTTTTTCTGTGGTGAGCTCTGTAGCCTGATGCTCAGAATTGCACACCTCCCCTGCATAACTCACACAATTTGCTGGGAGGGAGGTAATGGTGGGGCATTCAGAGCACCTCTGGAGCATTTGGAATCGGGAGGATGGGGCTCCAGCCTCAGATGGGCCCTGTCCTCAGCAGCAACGCTGCTCCACCACCATTATCTCACCACCACCAACACTTACGGAGGAGAACAGAGAAGCCATCGGGGGGAAACGTGCCTTTACAGTTATTTAAGCTAAATCATGCATCAAACTCAACAAACAACTGCTGTTCATTTGCCATTAAGCTGTACACTGAGACAAAGCAGGAAAGCATCCATAGAAACAGTGACAGCTTTGTGCAGCACTGACATAATTATGTGCAAGCCATTGTAGGCCGAGCTACCCAAATCCCTGCAGAGCAGGACTGGCCTTGCCTCCTCCTCTTGTCCATTCTTTGAGGCTGTTTTATCAGGCCTCCCCTCCCCTTTTCCCCCTCACTACTCCACCTAAGTATTGGCAGTAATTGTCACAAAGGAATGTCTGGGAGAGAAAAACAAATGGGTTTTTTTATGCCAGTGCTCAGGGGAGGGGAAAAATGCCTGTGATGATACTCATGGCAGGGCACCCAGAGCTGGAGAGGAACCAGAACAGACCCTGGGCAATGCGAGGCTGGTGTGCTCAGGGAAGGACACAGGTACACCCTGTGGAAAATAAAATAAAGCCTTTTCACCCTGCAGGATTTACAGTGATGCTTTCTGCCAAACCAGCAGCTTTCAAATAAATCAGTGAGTGTGCATGGAAATCTTACAGCACCCTGAGACACATGGGCAGCACTGCCTAACTTTGACAACGGAAAAAAAAACCGGCACACAGGAACACTGCTGTGCTTCAGCAGGCCAAACCCAGGACTCACTCCCCCAGAGTTGCACAAACAATTACACATTTGTTGAAACAAAGTAGTGACACCGAATTCTGCAAAGCTGCACATTAATTCTGCACAGTTTTGAAGCTGCTGAGGTAACACAGGATTTGCTTGGTTTACTGATCACAGATATCTTCACAACCACATTAAAACAGCTGAAGATTAAATTTATGGAGAGTCTTTGCTTCAGACACATTTTGGACACTGAATTTCTCACAAAAGAACTCTAAAGTACGTGGCACACTTGCTCTGCAACATGTTGGAAGAAATAAACCTCTGGAATCATTCCACGTGGCTGGCTGTGCTCCTGGTGCATGTATTTATACTTGCACACAAGTATGCTAATTATAGATGGAAAATTCTTTGGATTGGTTAAAAAGTTTAAGTACAGATTACAGCTCTTTAAAAGGACAGGATGATGTGGACATCGCAGTGTTTAGAATTAACTGTCATCTTCAAGCCCTTCAGCAAAAAGCACAGTTTCTCTGACTGTCTGTGCAACAACACTGATCTCCATCCACCTGGAGCAACTCAACTCAAGCCCACCTCCAACACTCTTTTTCCCACTGGCAAGAGGAGAGAAGATAAACAGGGACAGTCACCAGGAAAACAGAGCAGGGCACAGAGGGGCAGGGAGGGCAGCAGCACTCACAGTCCTTCAAGGCAGCTGAAATCTCTTTGAAACAACCACATTTCCAGCTGTTTCCTCCTCCCTGCCCCCTCACTCCAGGCTTCAAAAGCACATGCCAAAGTGGTTGGTTTGCTGCTAACGTGCTACTGGATCTTTCCTTCTGGCTTCTCCCAGTCTCCCAAGAAGTGCACAAGGCAGAACTGGGATGGTAGCATCGTGAGCTTTTACAAGGTGCAATTAAGCACTGAACAAATTCAGATCTTTCCCCCTGGATCACGTGGAAGTGGGCACCTGCTAAGCAGCTGACTCTCTTTCTCCAGTTTGATTTTATGAGTTCCCTTATCCATTAATCATGGACGTGCTCCCAGAAAACTGGGAATAAAAAGGGAAGAGGGAGAACCCCAACGAACAGCACTTTTAAAAGCTGTGATAGAACCCACAGTGCTGAAAATTTGCTTGAGGAACTTTAATGAACTGGTTCCTCCCTTACTCTAACAGGAATTATAGTGAAGACTGTAATACAGGGAAACTGGTCAAGGACATCATGGGTGATCTCTGTTTGCCTGTAATGATTTGGTCACTGCTTGCAACTACTGGTAATAAACTTCCTTGATTCTCATCAGCCAAGTGGAACATAAGTGGGAGTGTGGAGAGCAGAATAAACAGGGCTGTGTTACTCAGGTTACTCGCTGAGCAGGTGTGGTCACAGCATCTTTTCAGCACTGCTGGAGGTACAACAGAGAACAGAACATCTTCACTACCCGAGAACATGGAGCAACTTACCTTCAGCACAATATATCCTAACAGCTTTCAGTGCTCCTTTGAAAGAGGTTCAGGGGCCAGGACAGGGAGACCTTGGAGAGGAACGATATTTCGATTTACTTTGGTAACCTTTCCCCTTTCTTGTTATTGTCTGCTTTGTCAGTAGGGGCACAAAAGGTTTATTTTATGCACAGGATTCTTCTCTCATGGCCCTCATTTCATGTCCAGCTGATAACTACAGTATTTTGAGAGAATCAAGGAAGTTTCAGCCAGTGTGTTTGCATTTAGGTCTGTAGGTGCTGTATCTTTTTTAATCTGACCACATCACTTTCTTATTGCAGCCAAGCTGGGTTCTGTCAACACCCTGCACTTGGCACTTACTACCAGGCATTATCTTGATTCTTTCACCCTCTGGAGCACTGGCTCAAAGCTACAACTGCTGCTATTTCTTATTTCAGATGTCTGTCCTCTCTGACATTGCTCCATCCACGTAGCCTGTGGCAGAAGGGCAGGAAGAAAAGCGAGCACTACTGATGGGACACAAAACTGCAGATCCAAGCAAAGACCCTTTCCAAAGCAGATGCAGCCCATTTTAGAGTAGGACACCAGCAATACAAGTTTGCAATCAGGAATATTGGGTTTTGGTGTGGTTTTTTTTTTTTTTCTTTCCAAACTTACCTAAAATTTGGCATTATTTTCCAAACGACGTAAAATAAGGACTCCGGACTAAACGCAGTTTGGCTTCCTTGCCATAAAGCACAGAGTGTCTTTCTGAATTCTTCCACCAGTGAACTGGAAACAAAAGAAAAGCTGGTGTTTAATGTGGGTCTGTGTTACAACCCTTGGAGGTTTACTCACTCAGTGGTACCAGTATCAAACATTAGCTTGGTTTAGACTGGAGTGACTGGGAAAATACCCTTTCCAGCACCTTCAAAGATTTCATGTCCAAATTCCCACCCATAATGTTGGAGAGACACATAGGCAGAAAACTACATTTCAGATGGAAATCTCTCTACCTTTTGCCATTTTAGTGCAGACTCTGCTAACATCATTCCTTTAACACTCTTAACAAGCCACGGATTGTGAATCACTTCTAATTATTTTTTTTTTTTTGTAGTAGTAGCAGCATGTTGACTTGCAGTCACATCCCCATGACCATATTTTAGCTGGAATTAAGTAGCACAATGTCTGGAGCACATCCAACCAGCACTTCTGAAGGTTACTAAAGTGCAGTCACACTCCAGAGCTCCGTGATGTATCTGCCTGCCCTCCCTGCAGCACCAGACCCTGAACAGCAACTGCAAGGGATCCAAGTTTCTTTCTGTGCACAGACAGTGATTTTCCTGTGACCGTGATGCCTGTGAATTGTGCACCATCAGAAGTGTGTGGTGGCTGTGCTGGCCAGGCTGTTTCCTGCCCAGCACACAGAGCTTACACATTGTTGTCCCCCTGGCTCCTGGTGTGGTAAGTTCGCCGCCCCGCCGTCTTCCCATTCCTCAGCTCCACCGCAGGCAACTCTTTGAAGTAACAGCAGAACTGCTGAATGTTACTAGGAAAAAAAAAAGGAAATATGAATGAAATCCTTCAAGGGCAGAGAAAAAAGACAATGTTGTGTATTCTGGAGCCTGTTCTTTGAACTGCAGAAACACAACTCCATGCCGTGATAAAGGATAGCAATCAGGAGCAGTTCAAGACACAAGAAATACTGTAGCAAACACTCATCTTCTGTGAGTAACTGGGCAGATCTGTAAACATCACTGTCATCCCAGCTACCTAAAATAATTACAGATTGGCTCTGCTCTGACTAGGAGATACCATGACCAGTTGGTCCTGGCAGCGATGAAATGAATAACAGCTCAGTCCAGCTGTTCTCCTGCCCACTTCCATCCAACCCATCCTCAAAGACTGTCTCTGCTTTCCCAGAGACCGTAAACACCACTGTATTTCAACAGCCTGAGCAGTGCAGGGCAGCCTGCTGTTCTGCTGAGGTGATGGCAGGCGTTGCAGACAGGTTTCCTCTGGAATGCTGCCCCCCAGGACAGGGCCGTGCAGTACCTGAGGGACTGCAGGATGGCGTTCATGAAACACGTGTTCCCCAGGTTCCGCAGGCCGGTGGCACACAGGGCAGTGGTGCTTCCCTGGAAAGGAGAGCAAGGCAGTTTAAGGGCACATCTGGACAACCACCAACTACCCTGAGTGCAGTTCCAAACACAAAGCAACCACCTCACCAGCTCAAACTACCCTGAAGTTCCACCTTGACGTGAAACCTATTTCTTACTCGCTTCTATCAACAGAAACCTACGCTACACCTTCCCCTGTGCAAATAAATCTAGAATAGGACAGCACAGAGTTAATCACAGGGTCTTCCTGCCAAGGATTTGTGTGTATATATGTTCAATATTCACACTCTAATAGACGGCAATTTCCCTGCAGTGCCTTTAAAAAATGAGAACACCGATCCTCATCCATCTATTCCCACATCTAACATGCGCAGTGTGGCTGCCTCCAGGTTGTTTTTAAGTCACCAGCACTAGTTTGAGTCTCAGTGGGGTTCTGTGGTGGCCAGGAGGGTTTTAAAAAGACAAGACAATAGCATTTATCTGAGAAACAAACAGTCAAGTTAGACTGTGCAAAGAAAAAGCGACGTGTTGAATGAAGAGGAGCAAAATATCCACCATTTACAGTCCAGAACAATGTCACCCACAGATGGGCTTGCTTTTTGTCAAATAATCTTCAGGGTGGGCAGGGAGGAGAAATGTGGGCAATGCTGCATTGATGGCTCTTGAATCTGCAACACTTGGACACGCTCCATCGTCTACAAAATATTCACACTGAAAGCTCCTCACATTTTGGGGCCTCACATTTTTCATTGTTCTCACACAGTTTAAAAGCTGACACTCTTTTAGTAGTTGTATCTCCCAGTGCAAACACCACAGTGTCCTCAGCATATTCTTCTCTCACTCCTGCCCAGAGTGACCCAGCACAGCATCAATGCCCAGCAGTGCCCACCTTTGCTAGGTAAGGATCCCACGTGCCAACACTGAAAAGATAATCTGTTCTCCCAGGCAATATTCAGCATTAACAAAACTGGGAACACAGCACAGACTAAGAATAAAGGCAGCATTTAGTTCACGCTTTCTAATTCTGTCTTCTCTGCTGCCTAGGATTTTTCTTCTGGTTTTGAGTGGCTTGGAGTTTTCCAGACACACAGAAAGAACCCCCCACTGTTCGTTCCTCCTAGGCTTCCTCAATCCCTGCAGTACAGGAAGCAGGGACAGCACACCCAGAGAACCCTAAACTGACTGTGGGTACTGCATTTTTTAAACTAACTAAACCCCTCCAGTGTTTGCAAAACAGCAGCTGACTGCTTTGCTGCCAGCCCACCCCCTTCTTTCCATTCACACTCCTCTCAGGAGCAGCTTCTCTTTGTTATCAGTGAATTATTCCCTGGTTGAAGGCAGCTTTTACTGCAGCTCCCTTTGGTGCCATCGCTGCCCTGAGCCCCAGGAAGATGCAATGAGAAGAAGAAAAGCTTTCAGATTAGCCCACAGTTTCTTTTGAAAGCAACTTTTACCAAGCTCTTCAATAAAATCGTTACAATTTTATCCTTTTTCCCAACACTCACTCTTATCCCCCCCCTCCCAAAAGAGTGTATCTGCTTCTTCTGAACTTTGAAGAAAAAAATAAAAAAGAAACAGAAATGCAGCAGAGTATCAAACCCGTTTTTGTGTGAAGGGGCTCTTCTGGGTGTGTGGTCAGAAGATGAGAAAGGCAAAGTGCACCAAGCAAATGTGGGTGACTGTAAGCATTCCAAGTCTAGGCCAACTATGATCCCCAACAGGCTTCTAAAACCCCTCAAACTCACTGTACTGAAGCTGTCATACTTACATTTACTTTTAATAACTTGCTGTTCAGAGATGAGTTTTCCAACAGTTTTCTTTTCCTATGTCTGTCTGATGTAAAGGCCGAACTGTTGGAAAGTAATTAAAGGTGGTTATTTAACATAAAACCAGAGCATTGTGTGAAATGGGCAGCAGACAATGAGCCTCATGTTTAACACAGTGATTCCATCTGCCATCAGTTGTCCCTGACAGCAAACAGCCTCCCAATTTAATGCTCTTCAGAGCCTTAAAATAGGCTGCAGCCTCCTGAGTGCAGCCCAGGCACATAATCCACCACACAACGTGCCCTGAAGAGTGGCCTTATCAGCAGGCTACTTGTCACCTAAAATATTGATCTTTTCCCTTCACCAAAGAAATAATTCACACAGAATTTTCCAAAAAATGCTTCTGTCAGAAGAACCATCAGGAAGACAACTTCAAGAAAACCAGGACAAAATTAAGTTCCCAAAAATCCAAAACACACTTCTGTGTTACAGCCGACTTCTCTCACTCAAATAAAAACACATGAGGTTATAACATTTGTGTAACACTAAGTGACAAGAACAATTACTCTCTTGCACATCACTGGAAATTTGGGGCCCCTCGATTATTTGAGTTGATGATTTCTCTGCCATCTAATAGTGAAACCAAAACTTGTTCCAAGCTTCAGTTACGTTGTTTTGGCTGGATTTTTGGGTGGGGTTTTTTTTTTAGTTTGGGGAGTTTTTTTGTTTGGTTTGTTGTTGTTTTGGTTGTTTTTTTTTAATTAGAAAGCCCTCCAAACATTCAAAAACTGTCATTACACAGAATGGAAGCCCCCACAGTATCATTTACCTCCCAAAAAGATCCATCTCCTGGTCATTTCCAAAATACTAATGTGCACTTCTCATTACCCTTTACCATCTTTACATCTCATTATACACCTGAGAAGGTCACCAAAAGACAGTGGAAAAGAATGAAAATATATAATAAAATGATCTTTTAGTTTGCAAACCAAACTATATAATTAATACGAAGACTAATTCCACCTCTGTTTTCACTTCAATTTCTCTGATAAAAAAAACTTAACTCTGCTTTTTTGACAAACCTATTTCTGTTCTGTTCTGAAAAATCTCTCCCATTTAAATGGAAAAAGACTAATTATTGTCTAGCTGGGAAGACAGTTCACTGATATCTAAATTCCTGTTTCATCACATGCTGCTTCTGCAAGATTTACCACGTGAGACACAAGACATATGAGATCAGCCAAATCCATTTGTTCTGCACCTCCTGCTTCTCAGTGATGAGAAGGTTATTTAAACATACACAGTGTCCCCCACACACAGCAGCACCAAAACATACATGTTAGGTACATATACACATATAAAACAGAAATATCGGTACTACAAGTCCACCCAAAGCAGTCTGGATGCAAAGGAGCTACTCACTTTTCCAAGTTCTGTAGGTGCTCCCTGACCTTCTGTACCAGGCCCAGCTTGGTATCGTTGACTACAAAGTCATCACAGCGATAACTGCAAGAAAAACAGTCGTGAGGGATCTTCAAACCACACCAGCCTGAGTGTGGGAAGCACTGGAGTGAGCCAGGAGAGATTCTGAGGGGAACTGGGCAGCACAACACCCACACACCCAGCCTGGTTCCCTCCAGGAACTACCCCGCAGCAAAAAAAGGGTACAGGTACCACCTTACTGCATATTTTTATTTCCAGTTCAGTTCTTTATTAGCAATCAGAAGCACGAGGCACTGCCTGCCTCAAGGCAGAACTGCAGCTCAACAAAAACTCGCTGGAACCAAAAGCAGCATCAGTATGAATTTATCAGAAAAGATCAACTGGCACCCAATAAAGAGAATACAGAAGGTTTTATTGATTTTTTTAACTACTTCAACACTGTAAAGCCAGCACTGAAACCTGAAGTGCTCAGCAGATACGCAACATCCAAGTTTGTGCTATTAGGGAAGATGAACTAAGAGATTGTGGGAGTTTTCCAGAGCTGGGCCAGCAGTCTGTGGCAACTTCCACCTCGTGCTTTAACCACAAACACCAGTGGCTCTTTAGTTTCTATACAGACACTCTTACGACAAAACTTCTGGCAGTACTTTGAGCTTTTTCAGGGTAAGTGTGCAAAAGTCAGTAACTGAGCTGAAAAACAGAGCAAAGCTGATCCCTCAAGACAAATGTAAAGAAGTGAAATCAACTCAAAACTGCGAGGGTTACAAAAGTCTGCAATCCTGTAACGTTCCACAAGGAACTCGCCTTTCCCAAGCGGCAAAAACGTTCGTTATAATTTATTACAAAGGCCAAGGTCACAGACACTGCTAAAAGGGGGAGGGAGGGAGGCTCTGGAAAACCCCACACACCTTATTTCAGTGTTCTGCTGACACGTGAAGTCCCAAAGCACACCCCACACTGAAGAAAGGACAGTACAGCAAACTGTCATTGCTACCAGATGGCACCAACTTCTGCTGCTTTGCTGTATTTTACAGCCTTTGCATTTCTTGCCCTCACAAAAAGAAGGAATAGAGGTCCTAGAGTGACAGAATTCTTGTCACAGAATCAGAGAAGGAAGCATACAATGAAGCACGGAATGGTTTGGGTTGGAAGGGACCTTAAAGATCCTCCAGTATTCCATTCCTGAAGGAAAGATGACCTCCACATACAGGAGTGGGGCAGCAGAGAGGGAAGGAAAGGAAGGACAAAAATCCCTTCAAACCAAGGCACCAAATGCTGCAGTCAGTAAGGATCCACAGCAAGAGGCCTGAGCAGCTCCCCAAGGGAGGTTGGCAGCAGGAGTTGCACATCCCTGGCCCAGCAGGGCAGGGTTAGCCAAGAGCCAGCCCAGCCACCTCATAACCTGCAGCCTGCCACGAGAAACAGCGGGGTAAGAGAAGAGTTAACGCTGCCCCAGCTCTGCTGGAAGCACTGGGACAAAAAGGGAGCAGACACTTGTCATGGCCTCCCTTCCCCACGCCCCACGAAGGGAGCTCAGCTCCCACTGTTAGTCAGCCCTTGCTGTGAAGCATCAAACTGCTGCTTAAAACTGTGGCAGGCAACTGAACTTGGTCCTGTGAAGAAAACTGCCTTTGGAAATGTTTAATATCAGAGCTGTATCCACGTCTCTTTGGCACAAGAGCAACTCAAATACACCATGGTCACCTCAGGTTACTCCTGCTGGAGCAGATCCACCCTTGCTTCCTAATTTAATCAAGCTACTGACTCGAGGCACAGCTGGAATCTGCAACACTCCTTGTTGCACAAATCTGCAGTATTGCTGGTGTTAATTCAAACACTAAATTCTTGAGGAGGATACAGAGTTGACAAAGTAAAGAAAGGTCCTGCTGCTGAATGCAGGACCATGCCCTAAAGATCACACTAAGCCTATTTTCACAGGTTAGTTTAGCACCTTCCCCAAGGTGGAAGAATAAAACTAAATACATCAGTAAATGTCAGGGACCTCGCAACAGTGGGAAAGTAATTGGAAGATTTACTTAAAATTAAGACAAGCTTCTTCTATTTGTCTTTTCAATGAGCAAGTTTATTAAACTACCTCTCTTGCAACACTGAGGACTCAGCACTACTACCTGAAATAACAGCACTGCCATGAATCTATTTCGGATAAACCCAGTAAACAGAGTAAGCAGTAGTTTATGTTTTAGTAACTTCAATTTGCTAAGCCCACACACCTTAGAGCTAAATTGTTGAGCAATCACATCCTACCTGTGAAGGTGCCACTCAAAACAGATGTTCAATTTGTGATCCTCGAGATTATCCCAAAGAAACAACCTCCCTTTTTTGCACCCAGCAGTTCCTCAGTGTGCTTCCACAGCAACGGGGCAGAACCAATCCTACACCTTGCAGAGGGTCTGCTGGGAATGCTGGTGCTGCCCCTTCCCTGGGCTGCACAACCTCAGCCTGGGCCTGAAGGCCCTCACTGCACTGGAGGAATTACAGGGCAGCAAACAGGAAAAAAGCCCAAGTTTCTTTACTTCTGCTGACATTTTCTGTGAGTAAACTAAGAACTCAAAGTGTTGCTGTCTGGATAAAAGGCTTTTTACTCTCTCTTTGACTGTCACTGACTGTAGAATGCAAAATATTAGGACTAAGTAATCTCATTTTCTGATGCTCATGCACCAGCACAGTAAGTCTGGTCTGCTTTTTAAATAGAAACAGCATCACAAAAAGAAAGACTAGAAAAGAATTTTTTTTCAACAGTTACTTATTTTTCCATCAGCCAGGAACACACACACACACACATAACTGTGCCCCTTTAAGGGATAACAAGGAGACTAAATGGGTAAGAAATCTGACCTGCACACTCTGTCTGGGATTAAATGAGCACAGGAAACATATTATGCAAATACATAAACAGGGCAGCCTTTCTTCTTCTGTGCCAACTGTCTGTGCACAGAGAAACAAATTTACAAGAGTCCTCTTTCAGGAGAGCAGGGTTCCTACACGGATCACTTTACCTCTCATGCACAAAAAACCCGCTAGCCCACTAAACACCAGAGTCTGGAGACAAAAAAGATCTGTACTTCTTGTAAACTCTTTGTGTTTGGTACTTCAGAACTGACTGAAAGGCTGATTACCTCCAAAAAGTGGAATTCAGGACTCTGTTTTTCTCAGCAGGGAAGGTCTTGAATGTAATTTAGTCTGAGGGTTTAGTGTTGCACCCACCAAAGGGACCCAAGAATCAAGAAGAGATTCTGTCATAATGAATAAAATATTAACATTCTCTCGACTTTTCCACTGTGAAGATGGAGCAGGTGAACAGGAAGACATAGAACAAATATCAGAACCCTCCATGGTTCAAGCACGCCTGTATTTTTCAAAATATTACCAAATTCATAAATACAATAAAAACCTCCTCTCAGATTAAAAAAAAAAAAATTATTAAAAATTAACTACTGCCCCACCAGAATTGCAACACTTTTCCTTTCAAAGCTATGCTGAAAGCTTGTCATCCTGTAAAAGAAAACACATACACCTGCACTTCCACCTGAAATGCACTTACAGGACTGTATTGGGAGATATATATATATATAAAATATATATATATATATATATATATATACCCTCTCCCAGTAACTGTCCTATAACAGGACAGTTATTGGGATCCACAGGATAAAAATGGAACAAGAGTATTCTCCTCAGCTCTGTGCAGTAAACTAAACTGCAAATAAAAAACACAACAGCCAGCACTGCATCAAAATATCACCATTATTTTTACAGTAGAAGTAAAATTCAACTGAGTCTTAGGATGGTGTTTTCCTGACTTTCAAACTACTGAGGCAGCCCACACTGCCAGCATAAAATATTAATCTTCACATACAAGTTTACTCAAAAGGAACATCATTGCATAAACAAGCAGTGTCTACTGCAGTCATGTCTGCACTGAAGCTGACAAACAGCATTGCCAAATTCATTCTCCACAGAAGCTCAGATTCACCCAGCTCTTTGCTTTAACTGGCAAGAACTACTATTTCCCTGTCTGAAATGAAGGGGCAGAAGTTGGTTTCAGTGTCTCCTGCTCCACCTGCACACAGCCAAGCTCATTCCAGCTGGGTGCAGGAACAAACTCAGGTGTCTTTCTCTGGTCACGTGGGAAAAACCGAAATATCCCCAAGGAAAGCAAAGAGAAACCGCTTCTGAACCTTGCAGAGCTTCACATCCACACAGGAGTTCCAACCTGCTGGTGAATTACCCACCACAGGCGCTCCCCAAGGCACAGTTCACTTTGATTAGTTCCAGTTCATCCACAGATGACTCAGCCCTTGACTTGGGACTGCAGCAGAGCAGACACCTCCAGCTGAACTGCCTCCCATCTGTCCTGCCCCACACACTCCCCAGTGCACGGCTACCTGCTCCTCACAAGCACAGTTTGTTGCAGCAACAGATCCCCCAGCCCCCAGTTTGCTGTCAGCATTTCCCAGAGCCCACAGCGGCTTTGGGATAAGCTCAGCAGGGTGCTGGGACTCGCTGCTGTTTACTCATCAAGCCTCAGCAAGTTGGGCGTGCTATTTGTCATAATGAGATACAATCCAGACTTCAAACACCCTGCTAAAATCCCTCCCCACATTATGACCTTCAGAATGACTACAAGACAGGTCATACTTCAAACAAAGCAAAAAGCCACAACACAGAAGTCAGTTGCTACCAGGATTAACTGGGAAAGTGAAATTAGCTTCCCACAGCTGCTGCAGCGCTGGTAACCTGTGCATATGTACCATCAGAAAAACGTTCTGGTTTCTGCTGTTCTCACACGGGAGCAGAACAAAAATGGTGGTCGTTTAAATAAAGTGTAAATAAAAGGGTAATTTCCCTGCGTCACCAAGCTACTCAAACCTTTCCTGTGTGCTTAACATGCCTACAGCTCCATGCACCATCTGAGTTGCTCCCAACAACATTTCTTCAGATGAAGATCACCTAACTGTGATGTTACTTGCAGGGGACAAAAACATCTGTTACAGATGTATTCCTCATAAACCTGGACACCCAAACTCCAACAGCCAGATTTTTCCCAGGCCAAGTACACAAAAGACACCCAATTATCTGAACAAAACACCCATCAACAGAGCCACACCCCCCGAGACTGACACAATCCTGCACAAGTGACAACACCCCTGGGAAACCTGCAAATGGGGAAGCACCAGTTCTGGTGAAGGGTGAAGAGGATGGAAGACGCTGAAGGCAAAAAAACCCATTGCTTTAATAAACTCCCAGTCTTTGCTCCCTGGGAAGATGGGGAACCCACCATTAGCAGCATAAACATTAAATCTCCCTGAACAGTGCTCATCTCACTCTGAGAAACACCCAGGGTGATTCAGCCCAGGCCATCCTGCTGCCTAAAGACACATTCCTGTGCCTCCTCCTTACTCTTGCCAGAGAGACTTGCTGCTGCTTCCCAACAGGATCCATCCCTTTCCCAAACTCTCACAGAAGCTACACACACAAACACACCTCGAGGTCAGACCTCCTGGGCAGGAACTGGAGGGTTTTACAGCACTGTCTGAATTCTGACCAGTCAAGGGTTTGTGAAAGGCTCACCAGCCTGATGGAAGGAGGAACTACAACTGAGCAGCTTTTGCAATGAAAAGGTGAGGTCTCAGCACACCCCAAAGCAAACAGAAGCAACTGCAAACCACACAGCACTTGTTTCAGAAAGTTCCTGCTGTTTAAGCCAACTGACTGTGGGAGTTCAGCCCCAACCAGTGCTACAATCCACATGCAAAAGCAGAGTGTTTCCATCAGCCAGGTCTGGAAAGCAAGAGACGAAATGTCCAAAGAGGTGTGCAACATAAAATAATGTTTCTCAAGAGCCTAAAGCTTTCACCTTCTAGTATAAAAAAACATTGTCAAAGGACAGTGTTTGAAGCCTTACCAGTATGTGCTGTAACTACTGCAGTCCATACACACAGTATGCTGAACTTTCTCTTGTTTTTCTGGTTTCTTGTGATTGCTCATAGGAATCTGCGCATCTTCATAATGCTTTTTGGCGTGGCCATTCACGTATCTAAAAGAAACACAGAAAAAATTATGTTTTCAAACAGCCAATCGACATTCCTTAAAAAAAAAAAAAAAGGAAGAAAACAGGCATTAAAAAAGGTAATTCACCTCCAAAGCAGTTAGTTAACCCAACTGCTTTCCCACATACTCTCCTTGCAGCTCATTTTTAGCCACCCAGCTCTCCTTTTGTGACTGCTGTGCCTGTGCTGACCCCCAGACCACAGCACACCCCTTGTCAGCCTTCCCATCCTGCAGCAGGATTTAATCTCAGAGTCATCAAAGTTCATGAATCTGAAGGGCTCCAGGGCTCGGGGTTACATAACTGAAGAGGAAATCTAAAATCCTACAGCTCTTTGGCTGACACAATGGGCGTTTTCATGCTCAAGAGTGGAAATTAAGCATCTTTAATTAAAAAAAAAAAAAAAGGTACACTACACTGTACCTCACTACAACTGCAAGAGCCCAAAGTGTGAGCTGAAAATCATTAACACCTAGAAATGCATGGCTGGGCCTCAGGTGAATTCCCCCCTCCCCTTCAGCATAAATAACAGACTCACTGTCTACTGACTGCACACAAGAAAGGCCATTTGTGGACACTAATAATAATAATAATTTTTTTTTAAGATTGGTAACTATTAAAAAACTCCAAACTATTTATTTCACACCATCACATAACGTGAAGCATCTCCCCCTCTCCTGGCTCTCACCAAGTATAAATATATAAAATAAATTAATAAACAGAGAAAAACCAAAAAGGCTCGGTGCTGAAAACACTGAATAAGAGATTATTAAAACTGTGACACTTACTGCAATCCAGAGCAAGGAAACAAAAGCTGCACTTTATTCAATTCACTTCAAAAGACAAAGTTTAATGATGCTTTTCCAGAATAACAGCACACAGGCCCAGATGTTACCCAGCAGATGAAAACATCTCAGATACCGTCCAAGTGTCAACACTGACTGCATCCCAATAATTTGGGCACCTCAAACCTTTATGCAGCAGCAAATTTTCTGCAATTACCCTGCCACACAAATAAGAGCAGTGACAAATCCTTCCTCTCCAAACACACACACAAAGCAGGTGCAGAGTGAAGGAGTTCTGATGGCAGCTGATTCTTCCACTTTATGGCAGTAACTGCAGTTCCCAAACCACACTGCAGGACATTTGTGCTATTTTCTGTCTAAGCTGCTTCTCTCCAAACAAGCTGTGCCAACTCGTGGTTTTTCCAACAATTCCCTTAATCTTATATCACAACAGAAACATCTTTTACAGGATGCAACTTCAGAACAACCCACGGAATTGCTCAGTTCCAAAAGTGATGATCGCATTTACTGTCCACTTTTCTTTAAAACAGACAAACCAACCAACCCCCCATATCCTGAGTATAATCTCTGCCCTCTCCTAAGGTAGCAAAGAAGCACCTTAAGCAGAACAGACAGTGTTAAATGAGATAATGAAAGGTTTCTTGCAGGGAAATTTTGAATGAACTGCCACCCTCCCCCCCCAGCCAAGCATGAAAGGACAGTGATAAAGCTCTGATGAAGCGATTGGCACACTGAAAATTAGTACTCACCTTCCACAATGGACACTTGAACACGTCAGACACACCCAGGGACTTTTATTTGACCGGCACACTGTAAAAAAGTGGGGGAAAAAAGTGTCAAATGAATGAAATCTACTCGATTTTAAAATACAACGCAGGAACGCCAGAAGGACAAAAACGCTGGTAAACTTCAGAAATTTTGCTTTGGGCTTTTAATAAGGCACCCACTGAACACAGGAAAAAAAAACCAGCACTTCTATTTCACAGAACTCGTTGTACCAGAAACCATTCTAAAGAAGGTCCTGCAGGACAGCCTGGGGATCTGAGAAGCAGCACAGAATAAATCACTGTGCAAAGCATGACAATGCACACATTTATACAACATTCATACTCCTGTGCTGCAGTGCTCTAAAGAACTTATCCAGAACGACTTTACCCCTCCAGTCACACCCAGGAAGCTGGAAGGTTAAAATGTAACACCAGTGCTTATGCTCTGCAATCCACCCAAATCATCCAAAGATGTTATCTGAGATTCTGTCTGCCTTCTACATCTAGAAAATTTAAAACACGGAAGTTTTAAGCTAAAGGGTTTAAACAACAACAACAACAACAAAAGGTAATTATTTTAAAAAAAAGATGAAATGTCATCCCAGGGCAGAGTCATAAAGACAGGATATTCCAATTCCAACCCCTTTCAAGTCACTGAAAGAGGGATGCTGAGATATTAAACAATACTTAGATGTGATTGAAGTAAAACTGTGAATCCGTGACCACAGAATTGACAGAAATAACATCACACTTTCAAAGACCAAACTAATGCGATTAGAAAATAAAAATGAAATGTCAAGTGCACTCCTGCAAGGGTGGAAAACAACAAAACACAACTTTGATTATGCCATAAAGACCAAAGCACATGATACCACATAATTTTCTACACACCCCAAATAACTGTTATATAACAGAAGTAGTTTCTTTATCAAATTAAATGGCAATTAAAAAGTAAGGAAGAGGTTGACCTTTAATCAGGAGAGAACTGACCAGTTTTTACTTAGAAGAGCTAATATTTTCTCCACCATCAGATTTCACATTTTATATTAAAATCATATGGAAAAAAAAATAGCTACACTGCTTCTTAAACAATTATTTTCTGGATTTGAATTCGTTATTGCAAATAGTTGTTGTATTTCAACACACAGGGCAAAGGAATGCTTAAAAGTAAGAATTTTACCATGGAGAAAAAAAAGCACATTCTCCAGGACTATTTTTTGAAGTACCTATTTTAAACTCTCAGGTAAAGGCTCCAGAATTGCCTCTCTCAGCTGCTTTCCTTGAGAAGGACATTTTCCCACGTGCCTCAGTTCCCTGGTGCTGGTTCTCCAAACCCCCACTTTCCCCTTTCTAGAGCAGGGGGGTTCCCACAGCTGTGACCATAATCCTGCAGTAGGTTGAGGGCAGCCAGGTAGAGCTGTTTGGATTCACATTTCGTGGCAGAAAAGTGGAGGAGGTTCGTCTTTGCTGACCAAAATGTCACCAAGAAAACCAACATTTGGCACCGGCAAACAGAAGGGAAAGGGAAGCCCTTGAACAGCCTAAAAGGGGCTGAAGGAACCACCAAGTCCAAGCTGATACTGGCTTGGATTCCACAAACTGGAAGGTGAAATATTAACCAGGAGGAAACAGGAGCCAAAAGCATTCCTGCACTTAAACGCAGATGGAGTGAACAAAGCACTCCCCTGCACTTCCCCTGCCAGGAACACAAACCAGCCTTCCTTGCATTAAAATCCCAGCAGGAACCTCCCACTTGGAAGTGACATTTTTGCTTTCACTACGGCACCAGCTGTGGATGGAACTGGTGCTCAAGCAGTAGGTCAAAGGATTATGATGGAAACAAATTATTCTTACTTTCCACCCCATAGCAATTACAAATCCACACTCAGGTATTTTAAATACCTGCACTGCTTGTTTGTCAAGTGTTAAATTGTACTGAAGTAGTGCTCATCCTGCAGGTTTAAGTGCTCTGTGCAAAGCCAGCAAACAAGTCCAACTCTGCATAAGGCCAAAAAAAATAGCATCCACTAAAATTTTCCATCTTTCGTATCAGGGGATAGGAAAAGATGGCTCATTCGTTTACTTTAACTTTTAGGAAGAACTTTGCTCCAATTGCATCACTTTAGAAATGTGTAGTTTATCTTCTGCACAAACATCTCCACCCACAAACTCCAATAACCCTGAAGTGACTCCCACCAAGATTAAACACAGAATCCAGCGCTGAATTTGTGACCTACAATTGCTCAGTTCTGAGAGCATCTCGCTGTTGGTTTTTCAGAAGGTTGCTGGATGTTGCACTCTGTACTTCTCTTAGGTTGGTGCCTTCATTAAACCTGGCTCTCTAAGTATTCCTCAGTTCAGATCCTGGAGCAGCCACCATCTGTTCCTTAATAAATTAAACCAGACTGGAAGTTTCAGGCATCAGTCAGGACTCTCTCTAGACAGGCACGACTGAATGCACAGCAAAAGCAGTCACTGTTCTGAACTGCTTATAATCTAAATTAAAGGGAGACAGTTTGGCTTCATCTGTACAGGAACTGCACGATATTCCTTTCCAGATGTGGTGCTGACATAAAAGCAGACCAAGAGCGAGGGACAGAGAGAGAGATCCACAGCAAATGCCCACTCAGAGAACACCACACAGCCCTGGAATCGGCCCTTAAAACAGACTGGGGTGTTGTGGACTTGCGGGTCAGACAGTGACACTAAATCATGAGGACAGACTCTCCAGCCTATTTGTATATGTACTGCCTCAACGATCAGTATTCCAACTGGGATTCGGGGTGGGATGTGATTTATGTGGTACATGCAGGAAGATCAATTGCTGGTGTGTCTACGCGTCCTAAAATTTGACTCGACACGTAGAAAGACTAAATTACCAAAAAAAAAAAAAAAAGGCACTGATGTAGCTGGAGAGCTAAATGTGTGTGCTCACACAGCCCGTGTCGCTGCTGCTGCTGCTGCGGGAGGGGACCTGCCTTGGCAACTGCCCCGCAGTCCCTCCACCGCCTCCCCGCTTGAAAAGTCCTCCCTCCCTCCCTGTCCTCTTTGGCACTGCTGTGTTCAGAGCACAGGCAGATGAAAGCCAGGCATTTTTTAATGTCCGCCTTTTCCAGGGCGGAATTCTGATTGCATAATCCAAATACCGAGCTGAAGCCAGCGAGGGACGGGAATTCCATGCAGATGGAGCTGCTCACGTTGTTCTCTGACGGATGTTCCTCAGCCCTAGGAATGTGCTGGGCACTTCAATGACTTACTTATTCTAGGAAAAGTTGCTCCCCTGGCCGTGTCCTGCTATCATATCTTGATTAAACAGGGCACTGAGGGATTGCTAGGCAAAATAAAGTCATGAGAGAGGTAAAGTAGCACATTTCTTTCCGACAGTGTTCTTGTGGGTGTTTTTGATAGCCATGTGTGTAAATACCCACATCCATCCACAGAACATCCACAGAGCATCCACAGGGCACACATGTATGTGTTTGTCACCAAGGGCTGGGGGACAGTTTGCTCAGCAGTGTCCCTATCCCACTGCTGCCACAGCTGTGTCAATAGTGCTGCTGGTGTAGATGCTGAGGGGAGTAGCAGTGGGGTTTTTTCAGTTTAGCTTATTTTGGGGTAGCTGAGCCACTGGGACAGCACAACGTGAACTGAGCAAAGGTCAGTCAGGCCAGAGGTGTGTCTGTGCAGGTCACTGTGTTAGCAGAGTGTCATTGTACAAGTGGGACTGTAATATTGCTGCAGCTCCTTCTGAGAGCAAAGTCCAGCCTGTTTTGTGAGGGCCGTGGGGAATGTTTGAGATCGTTTAGTGACCTTAATCTTGTTCCCGTTCTTTGTGCTTTCCACAGAAGGACCTCAGTATCGCTCCTAGTGTATTTTGTGGCCCTTTCTGTAGTGATGCAATGAAGGGCTATTTTAAGCCCCTGCTGTAGGCACAGTGCTGCAGCAGCTCTGGCCTGGGGGCACTGGTGCTGCCGTGCTGGCACAGCCACCAGCCGGCCCGCATCCACGTGGTGCTGCGCCTGTGCCAGCCCTCGGGGTGGACACTGCAGCGGGCAGGTTTCGAAGCTTGGCTGCCTTTCAGAACCTGCTTCCTGTTGGTCTCCTCCTCTTCCTGCTGCTTTTCTCCACTGGCACTTTCTCAGCTCTGCAGTTGCTGTTTGACAAACCCCAGCGTCCCGCGGTCGGTTGGAGGTTTTTACATCGCTGGAACTTCCCTGCAGCGGGGAAGCTGCGTCTTTGCTCTGCAAGGAGCGTGGTGCCAGCAGCGTTCCTGCTTCCCAAGGCTGCATTTGGAGTCAGTGTTCAGTAAGGAAAAGAAAAACCCAGTCAAGCTTGAGAAGGACATATTTGGGTGATCGTGAGGGGACCCTGTGGTGATCAGCCATACCTTGCTCATTCTGCTTGGCATAACTCCTGGTGATTTCCAGGAAGGGGAAGCTGGAGGCACATCTCTGAATGCTCCCACAGTTCTGAATGAGTCTGCACTAGGGGGATTTGCTCTCCTGGGGATGGATTGATGCTCCATTTACGGAGGGATTTGTGGGCTGTGTAACAAATGAGTGCTCAGATTCCACTCAGAGAAATCATTCTGTAAAACACAGTATTTCCCCTTCCTATTATACGGTGGAAAATAGTGTTCCTAAGCTTCTGAATAAGATGATTTTGATGCAAAGTGGCAAGTGACACTGCCTCAGAGAAAACTGTGGCGGTGCAGATTTGCTCTCCCTTTCCTTTTGACGGGTCAGTATGATCCTCACCCCACCACTTGAAGCAATTCTAAAAATACAGCCAGATGAGGCACTTGGAGACTCCTCCTGTAACCACTTCTGTGCGAGCTGAGAAAGCAGCCAGTGCTCCTTGGCCTGTGGACCACTAAATACCGTGTAACAAACACAGATCATTTTTTTTAATATAGATAAGATGAAAAACAGTAGTGAAAAATATAATTTAAAAGAAAAAAAAAAGTCAAACATCAGAGACAGGTTTATTTTAAGGAACAAATGTGCCCAAAAGCATTTTTTAAAAGAATCATTGCCTCTGCTT